TTCATAACTGCCAGTCCACGGCTGGTTTGTGAAATCTGAGCGATCGAATTGGGACCAGGTAGGGAAAGTGGTTGATGAGCTGGTGAATCCACGGCGAACAGGGCGGGTAAGCGGCTTCGGCGCATGCCGATAGCGCAAGGGAGAGTTGCGGTGCGCCCTGAGGAGGCCACGGGCCTGTATAGGCAACCGTAGCATGGCCAAGCGCAGTGATATCTGCAGGAGAAGGGTGCGATGATGAATATATGGGAAGGACGCAAGAAGCAGCTGGTCTGTGAAAAAGAGAGGGAGAAGGAAGGCTGTGGGCAGTCGAGGACTGTCACCTCCGATGGCAGCAGATAAGATGCAATACAATCAAATCAAACCAAATCGGGCGATAGCTTTCCCCGCAGCACGTGATGCTTATCGCCGACGGTACCCGTGGATGACGTGGTTGAGATGGGCTTGTCTGACACAACAAGTAAGGTTTGGACGCAAGAAGGATCCGTCAGTAGAAGAACTCCGGAAGACGTGTTGAGCTTCGTGCTTTGTTAGTTCGGAGGTTGTGAAACTCGAGGCGGATAAAGAACTCGTGTTTCGTCATCCGGGAGCTCCAAGTGCGACGAGCGGTGGCGGTCCCGATCGTCGCTCCCGTCCGTCCCAGACACCGACTCCGCTAAAGACCGACCTGTGCCATCCTAAACAAGTATGGCCTCCAAGGTGGTCTTTATTAATGACCTGAATAAGTGCTACATGTGAGATTTTCAATAGAATAGTATGAATTCATTTGGCATGAACTGGGATTAGATCCCCTATACTTCCCCGTTCTTCCATTAATTCATATAAAACAATGCGAGTCTGCCAAGAGGCATTGAACTACTAATTGTACCAAACCTTCTTCTTTCCCCAATGGCCTCAATTATGCTTACGCACATTCCTGTAAGCTTCCGTCCCATTCGACAAATGTGCCAAGGTCGTATCGTACATTTAGCTTTGGCCAACCGAGCGGTTCCGTACTTTCCCTGACACTGGAAGTTTGTAGTCACGGCTGTCATTGTTCCAATTGAGATGTCCATACTGGTCCAATCGCTGGGGCGTCCTGTAGATATGGGAAAGCAATAGTCCCCAGGTGCCTCGTACGCGATAGCTCGGCGTCAACTGGGGAGGGACTAGTGGCGTCGACACTGCCACAGATTATACTGTAAAGCAGTGTGTTACAGCAACTGGCTGCGGCGCCAACCGCCACCCAGAATGAAAAGGAGAATTGAGCGAGTTGCGCTCGAGACAATCCATACTCCGAGATATCGAAAAGCTAGCTGCTTGATTTGAAGGCAGGCTGCTGCTCCATAGTTTGAGATATGAAGTTCCGCAGGGCCGCCCATCGATTGGAAACCGAGCCCCCATCTGTGTTGCTGTTGGAGTCTGTAGTGGTTGGCGCTGGTGCTTGCATGCTGGACATCTGCGCCATATTCTTCGCAAACCGATCGCGCTCCAGCCGTTCTAGCTTCTCTCGACGCTTCATAGCACCTGGCCTATGCTGCAGAGTTTTCTGCTTGATGATATTAACCTGTTTGCTAGGGTCGGTAGCAGCGTCGTCGGCGTCCGGAAGCGCATCGGCCAATGAGTCCAGAGCAGCAAGTTTCTTGGAGGCACGCCGGCGCTTTGTAGATTTCTGGGAGTTCTTTTCTATCCTGGACACAAAGCTGCTGTGCTTAATCAAGCGCTTGTCCTTCTTCGTCGTGCGAAACTCATCGTGGAGAAAGCTGGGCTTAGACGAGGGAAGAGCGCCTTTCCCACTTGCAGGCTTCTTGATCGAGCGAGTAGGAGCCTATAGCAGTAAGGAGGTATTGGTAAGAATACGTGCATGCATGATATCAACTAGGGGAAAGCTTACCATGATGGGGAGGGAAGTGCTGTTTCTCCGTTCGGGGAACAAGACGAAAAAAGGCTTGCATGTGCTTCACGAAGAACCGAATTCTTCGTTGATTCCGATGGGGTAGCGCGGACTATTCCGGAAGAGCACTAGTCCCCAACCGAAGACCCGATAGTATGTGTGGCTCACCGCCCAGGTGATTTCGGGGCCTCACCGACTGGCCGAGTCTAACCACAGAGTGACAAAGTATTGAACCTCAGGCAAATTCCCCCCTTCCCGGTCTAGTTCGGGGTCCCTGATGGCCGTCTTCAGTCAAAGATCACTCGCGCTTTGTCTCGCGCCAGCCATTCGGGTTCCATCCTGTGCTACATTAAGGCTGATAAGAATTCCCAACAGTGGGACCAACAATTTAGTAGCAAGACACTAGACCTGACTAGGCCGACCGTAGTTCAAGGCCACAGAAACTGGATCGTCATATTTCCATCAGAATCTCTCCCCCTGCTCCTGGTCCAGTTTTCTTGCGGGAGGCAAAGATCCACATTCACGGGTTCCGAACCCGCCTTTTTATCTTGCACTTGCCAGGCTCAGTGTCTCAACTTACATCAGGGCACCACCACGCCGACACCGGTTCGATAAGATTGCCTTCTCATTTGTGGCCTTGCATGTGGATGCTGTCTCCAGCGCGCCTTTTATCTCGCCGGACGTGCCCTTTTCCATCGAGGACTACTACTGTGCCTGTGACTCTACCTCGGCCCCCGACCTTCCATCACCTCCTGTCTACTCCATTGAGTCGGGAATTTTCGCCGTGTCTATCAGCTTCCACAGCATATAAGCCTCAAGGGCCCGTCGCAGTCCGCTACTTCTCGCATAGCCCTTTCCAATCGTCGATCATCCCCGCCAGTACCGAAGCAACAATGGGCTCTCTCGGACCGTATCAGCGCAAACACAAGATCACTGTGGTGGGCTCAGGAAACTGGTGTGTGCAAGCTGGCTTTCCGTCATGGTACTAGTGCCAGGGAAGAAGGAAAAGGCTGACTCGGGTCATGTATAGGGGATGCGCAATCGCCAAAATTGTCGCCGAAAATGCCGCCAGCAACCCCGCAATTTTCGAGGAGAAGGTTGAGATGTGGGTTTTTGAGGAGAAGGTGGAAATCTCCAAAGACTCCCGGCACTATGATCCCTCTTCACCGCTGTGCCAGGGCCCACAAAACCTGACGGATGTGATCAACCAAAAGCACGAGAACATCAAATACCTGCCAGGAATTACTCTCCCCTCCAACCTACATGCTAACCCGTCGTTGGTTGACGCAGTCAAGGATAGTACCATCCTTGTCTTCAACCTTCCCCACCAGTTTATCATCAAGACCTGTGAGCAGATCAAGGGCAAAATCCTGCCCTATGCGCGGGGTATCTCCTGCATCAAGGGTGTTGATGTGAACGAAGAAGGTATTCATCTCTTCTCCGAGACCATTGGCAAGATCCTGGGTATCTACTGCGGTGCTCTTTCTGGCGCGAACATTGCGAGCGAGGTAGCCCTGGAAAAATGGTCCGAGTCAAGCATTGCCTATGATCCTCCGCACATGGATTCCAAGGCGCCATCTCCCAATCGTTCCCCGTCTACGTCGACCGAGAATCTCGTTCAGTTCGAGCACAAGGATGTTTCCGGCCAACTATCACGAGTAAAGCTGCAAGCGCTGCCGTCCGATTACCCCCCTGTGGACCACGCCGTCCTGAAGTCGCTCTTCCATCGTCCGTATTTCCATATCCGTGTGGTGAGTGATGTCGCGGGTGTGTCGCTTGGAGGCGCCCTTAAGAACGTAGTTGCTCTTGCTGCCGGCTGGGTCGACGGCATGGGCTGGGGTGACAATGCCAAGGCTGCCATCATGCGGGTTGGCCTTCTCGAGATGGTCAAGTTTGGTGAAAAGTTCTTCGGGGCCACCATCAATACTCGAACCTTCACCGAGGAAAGTGCGGGTGTTGCCGATCTGATTACTAGCTGCAGCGGTGGCCGGAACTTTCGCTGCGCGAAACTCAGCATTGAGAGGAAACAGTCGATTGAGAAAGTCGAGGAGACGGAACTCAACGGCCAGAAGCTTCAGGGTACTTTGACTGCGGTTGAGGTAAACAACTTCCTGAGGAAGCAAGGCCTTGAGGAGGAATTCCCCTTGCTTACGGCTGTGTACCGTGAGTAACCCAGTTCCTTTTCCCTTTATTTTGGTTTTTTGCCATCGATGTACTGACCATAAAATAGGTGTTCTCGAGGGCAGTATGTCCGTTGAAGATATTCCTTCTTACATTGAGCGGTAAATTGGACCTGTTGATCCTCTCCTTTGGTTTATGTTCGGGTTGTTAATTTAGGGAAATCTGTTCCTTTTGTGTCTTGACAGAAAGCCGGAGTCTATCTCTTACGTTGAAACCGGGCGGGTGACCAGCAGTGGAACAAGCCAGGCAGTCTTGAGCGCCAGGTTGTGATCGGGGGCAGGATTCATGCATTACCCCCTCCTCTTGTGTTTTCCCCATCCTTGTCACTTTCTTTCCTTTCTTTTCATCACCTTGTTTGTCTTTATCACCATCTATCTTTTGGGGGAAGCGTCTGTTGGTAGGTATACTTTGTCGAGATTTTCTCATGCACATAGACCGATGACTATAGACCGCAATGACACCGGAATGTCTGAATATTCTTCAATCCCATCACATCCACGCCAGTAATGAGCTGTACAATTGCCAGATCATCAATGGCCTGACCGGGGGCCATGAGGGGAGGCCAGCAGGGAAAGAGGAGGCGTGCGGAGGCCCGTGTTCTCGCCCGGGCCGTTCCAGCCCGCGCTCTCTTTCATGATGTCAGTGATCCCGCGGGGTTGCCCTGAACCTCCCAGGAACAGGAAACCTTGGTCGGCCTTGCTTCTCCTCCAGTTGTTCTTTTGCTCATAAATAGCCAGCGACCTCTGCGCCGTGGCTACACGGGTTGTCTGTGCTTTTACTTTCCAGGAGGACACCCTGCCCTCATACCCATTCCTCTCCGTTCCTTGGTTAGTCTGGCCGGCAATTCACCAAGAATAGCGCCGCTAGGCTCACCATTGTCACGAAGTCTAGTCGAAGCTCTATCCCCAAGCTCCCCTAATCGTGACGGCTAGTATCATTGGAGCTCACAATGTCCTCTCCACAGCAGGTTTATCTGCTGCCTCTGAAGGATGATGGATCGCCCGATGTTCCTGGAGGATATATCTACCTCCCTGCTCCCACTAACCCGCCATACTTACTTCGGTTTGTCATTGAAGGCAGCAGCTCAATCTGCAGAGAGGGTGCTTTATGGGTAAACATCCCTGAGAAGGGCGAATCTTTCAATCGGTCTGCTTTTCGGAGCTTCAGGTAAGCGAAATAAATGGCCACAAGTTAATCAGCATTTGACCTTTCCGATAAAATTAGCCTATCCCCGGACTTCAACAAGAACATTCAGATCGATGTCCCCATCACCTCTGCTGGTTCTTTCGCCTTCTATGTGACCTTCTCCCCGCTTCCTGAGTTCTCCGTTCTATCAACACCCACCCCAGAGCCAACAAGGACTCCAACCCATTATATCGATGTCTCACCCAAGTTGACTCTTCGCGGTCAAGATCTCCCGCTCAATGCCCTCTCTATATACTCTGTGATCTCTAAGTTCATGGGCCAGTATCCCAAGGAGTGGGAGAAACACCTCAACGGTATAAGCCAGCGTAATTACAATATGGTTCATTTCACGCCCTTGATGAAACGCGGAGCTTCCAATTCGCCTTATAGCATCTTTGATCAACTACAATTTGATGACGCCGTGTTCCCCAATGGTGAAGACGATGTTGCGCGTCTGATATCTAAGATGGAGAATGAATATGGACTTCTGTCGCTTACGGATGTTGTATGGAACCACACCGCCCATAACAGCAAATGGCTGGAGGAGCACCCAGAAGCCGGTTACAGTGTCGAAACTGCCCCATGGCTTGAGGCAGCACTGGAGCTGGACACTGCGCTGCTGAAATTCGGACAGGATCTCCAAAACCTTGGGCTGCCGACCGAGTTTCAAACTGTGGACGAATTGATGAAAGTCATGAATGTTATGCGGGACAAGGTCATCGCTGGAATACGACTATGGGAATTCTACGCCATTGATGTGAAGAGTGACACACATAAAATACTCGACAAATGGAAAACATCCAAAGACATAGATCTAACAGACACGAACTGGGCGCAACTCAATCTTCAAGACTACAAAAACTGGACTTTGAAGCAACAAGCAACCTTCATCCGAGACCATGCTATACCTACTTCGAAACAGGTCTTGGGCCGGTTCAGCAGAGCTGTTGATTTGCAGTTTGGGGCAGCCATACTAACAGCACTTTTCGGTCCGCATAATCCTTCGACGTCCGATACTACTATAGTCGAGGAAAGTCTCTCTAAAATACTCGACGAGGTCAATCTTCCATTCTACGAGGAGTACGATGGCGATGTCTCGGAAATTATGAATCAAGTCTTCAACCGGATAAAATATTTACGGATTGATGACCATGGACCCAAGCTCGGCGCCGTCACGGCACAAAGCCCATTGATCGAAACGTACTTCACGAGGCTGCCTCTGAACGATGTTACCAAGAAGCACAAGAAAGAGGCGCTGGCGCTGGTCAACAATGGCTGGATATGGAACGCTGATGCTCTGCGGGACAATGCGGGGCCTGACTCCAGGGCTTATCTGCGACGTGAAGTAATCGTCTGGGGTGATTGCGTGAAGCTGAGATATGGCAGCTGTCGTGACGATAATCCTTTCCTCTGGGATTTCATGACAGACTATACTCGGCTCATGGCCAAATATTTCTCAGGGTTCCGCATCGACAATTGCCATTCGACACCATTGGTGGTTGCCGAGTATCTGCTAGACGAGGCACGCAAAGTTCGACCCAATCTGACTGTTTTCGCGGAACTATTTACTGGCTCGGAGGAAGCTGATTATATATTTGTCAAACGTCTCGGCATAAATGCGCTCATTCGTGAGGCCATGCAAGCTTGGAGTACAGGGGAACTAAGTCGTCTTGTTCATCGTCATGGCGGACGCCCGATTGGTAGTTTCGATCTTGACTTGCCCTCTTCAGGCAGTAGTCATGCAATAGCTTCTTCTGGTCTTGACTCCGGCAAAGAAAAAGTTGTTCATATTCGGCCTACACCAGTTCAGGCCTTATTCATGGATTGCACTCATGACAACGAGATGCCCGCGCAGAAGAGAACCGCAAAAGATACTCTGCCAAATGGGGCTCTGGTAGCTATGTGTGCCTCAGCCATTGGCAGCGTCATCGGCTATGATGAAGTATATCCTCGGCTTGTCGATCTCGTCCATGAGCATCGGCTATACTTCTCTGAATTCTCAGAGGCCCCCGAGACTGGTCTGAACTCTCTCGAAGGGGGGATTGGAGGCATCAAAAAGCTACTCAATGAGCTTCATACCAAGATGGGTATTGAAGGTTATGACGAGACGCACATTCATCATGACGGTGAGTATATCACAGTGCACAGGGTGCATCCCAGAACACGGAAAGGTGTTTTCTTGATTGCACATACGGCGTTTCCTGGTCAAGATAGCAGATCTGTACTTGCGCCTACACATCTTGTCGGTACTCAGGTCAAGCATATCGGGACGTGGCTCTTGGAAGTGGATACAAGCCAAACTACCAAGGAGCGGATACAAGCAGACAAGTCCTACCTACGGGGCCTGCCAAGCCAAGTCAAAACGTTTGAAGGTACCAAGATCGAGGAGTCTGGCAAAGATACCATCATATCCGTTTTGGATTCTTTTGTTGCCGGGTCTATTGCGTTGTTTGAAACATCCATGCCGAGTGTTGAACATGCAAGTGGACTGGACAATTACATCACCGAAGGCGTGGATCATGCATTCTCGGATCTTAGCTTAGTCGATCTAAACTTCGCGCTTTACCGCTGCGAAGCTGAAGAGAGAGATTCGAGTAAGGGCCAGGACGGGGCTTACGACATCCCCGGCCATGGCCCCTTGGTCTATGCCGGTCTACAGGGGTGGTGGAGCGTGCTTGAGAACATCATCAAATACAATGAACTAGGCCACCCACTGTGTGATCACCTGCGAAACGGACAGTGGGCTCTGGACTATATTGTGGCTCGTCTGGAGAAGTTGGGCCACAAGGAAGAGCACCCTGCCCTTGGCAGGCCGGCTGCATGGCTGCAGGAGAAGTTCCAGGCCGTTCGTCAGCTGCCAAGCTTTCTTTTACCCCGGTACTTTGCGATAATCGTTCAGGTTGCCTACAATGCCGCCTGGAAGCGAGGGATTCAACTGCTGGGACCGCATATACAAAAAGGGCAAGAATTCATTCATCAGTTAAGTATGGTGAGCGTCCAACAAACTGGATATGTGAATTCGGCGTCTTTGTGGCCCACAAAGAAGGTACCCAGTCTTGCAGCTGGCCTTCCGCATTTTGCGGTAGACTGGGCGAGATGCTGGGGCCGCGACGTGTTCATCTCACTCAGAGGCCTCCTTCTGTGCACAGGTCGCTTTGAGGATGCCAAAGAGCACATAACGGCATTTGCAAGTGTACTGAAACATGGCATGATCCCGAATCTTCTGAGCAGTGGGAAGCTCCCGCGCTACAATTCTCGGGATTCTGTATGGTTCTTTCTGCAATCCATCCAGGATTACACTGAAATGGCACCAGATGGACTGGAAATTCTCGATCATAAGGTTCCCAGACGTTTTCTACCATACGACGATGTATGGTTCCCGTTTGATGATCCGAGGGCCTACTCGCAACAGTCAACGATATCCGAAATAATTCAGGAGGTCTTCCAGCGACACGCACAAGGACTCTCCTTCAGAGAATACAACGCCGGGCCTGACCTTGATATGCAGATGACACAGGATGGTTTCCAGATTGATGTCAAAGTCGACTGGGAAACAGGGCTGATATTCGGTGGCAGCCAATACAATTGCGGGACATGGCAGGACAAGATGGGTGAGAGCGCGAAAGCGGGTAACAAAGGCGTACCTGGGACACCACGAGACGGGGCAGCAATCGAGATAACCGGGCTAGTGTACAGCGCCTTGACTTGGGTTGCTAAATTGCACGAGCGTGGCATTTACAAACATGATGGGGTTGACATTGGAGGTGGGAAATCCATCTCTTTCGAGGATTGGGCGTCAAGAATTCGGGCCAACTTCGAACGCTGTTACTATGTTCCTCTACAGCCAAAGGATGATGGCCAATACGACATCGACGCAAGCATCATCAATAGACGGGGGATTTACAAGGACCTGTACAGGTCTGGTAAACCATACGAGGACTACCAGCTTCGTTCCAATTTCCCGATAGCCATGACCGTCGCTCCAGACCTGTTCACTGCCTCCAAAGCACTTGCAGCTCTCGCTCTTGCCGACGAGGTCCTGGTCGGGCCAGTGGGAATGGCCACTCTGGATCCCTCCGACCTCAATTACCGCCCTAACTACAATAATTCCGAGGACTCGACCGATTTTGCAACCGCCAAAGGGAGAAATTACCACCAAGGTCCTGAGTGGGTTTGGCAGCGTGGGTACTTCCTCCGCGCCTTTTTGCACTTCGACCTTGCTCGCAGGACGACAGCGGCGGAACGGACGGAGACATACCAACAGATTACTCGACGCTTGGAGGGTTGCAAGCGGGCTTTGAGGGAAAGTCCATGGAAGGGCCTTACCGAACTAACGAATAAGAATGGTGCATACTGTGCAGATTCCGTAAGTCCCGATGCCTTCCCCTCTCTCTGTCTCTTTATCGTGCCGATCAATCTTCGCTAACCTTATACAACTCTATAGTCACCCACCCAAGCATGGTCAGCTGGATGTCTGCTTGATTTGTATTATGATGCATCAAGACATTCACAGAGCTGACTAGCGTGTTGTTGATACAATTTTCTATCTTGATCTAGCGAAGATCATCATGAGTTCGAATTAGATATATGTTTGTCCAAACTTAGTTAATGGAAATAGCTTTTATGTGCTGGCATGATCCTTACTCGTATGACGCCGGGCCGTCTGCCGTTGCGGAAGACCGCATAAAAAACGGTCGCTGAGTAAGCCACGTGCACAACTCATCGCCAACTAGAACGAGACGAGACTAGTACTTTTGAGTTTGGGTTCGTCAACATGTGTTTTAGCAAGCGATGCCCGACTCGGGTCCAATTTGCCGTTCCTAGCGCGGAGATTGCGGTGTAGAGTGTTTGTATCGGTGTCGCCTGACTTCTCCAGTTCAGCTTTTCGTGTCCAAGCAACATCCCCCAGGTCGCGAGCCCGTCTACTATCTATTGCGTGGCCCTGACCCCTGACGTCAGTTGTTTTTGACCTACGCATCCTCCCGAGCACAAACGTTTCCGAATGCATTGACAAAGCCGAACATCAATCACTACATCTCCGGTGCAGAACATCTGCTTTTCGAGCGTCATGTCTCTCACGGAATCCGCCGCGGCAGCTATGCTGACCGCCGCGGTCGTGGTAGACAGTCCCATTGACGTGCATGAGCCTAGATGGGATGACCAGACCAGGGGTCGCGATTTGTACACACAACTAGTGATCAGTTTGCTGGTCGGGCTCAGCGCCTTTTTTTCATTCTGTGTAAGTCTATGCTGAATGCAAGATTGAAACGAATCTCTCTAACAACTCGCGTCTCTATAGGTTTTACGACCGAAATGGACCGAACTATACGCCGCTCGGCGTCGTCAACGCAACGCGGCTTCATACTTGCCCGAACTACCCGACAGTTTCTTTGGCTGGATACCCGTACTATATCGGATCACTGATGAGCAGGTGTTGGAGTCTGCAGGCTTGGACGCTTTCGTTGTAAGTTCTATATGTTGTCTTGGTCGCGGACTAGATGTCAGAATCGGCCATTTTCTGACGTGGGGTCGTTATCCTAGTTCCTCACCTTCCTGAAATTCGCCATTCGGTTCCTCTCCGCTATATTCTTCTTCGCCTTGGTTATCATTCTACCAACACACTACAAGAATACCGGCAAATCGGGGGTTCCGGGTTGGGATGACGACGATGACGAGACATTCGATGGAGACAAAGACAAGAAGAAACTCATATCGGATCCGAATTACTTGTGGATGTATGTCATTTTTACATACATTTTCACTGGGCTTGCTGTCTACATGCTCATCCAAGAGACCAATAAGGTTATCCGCACGAGGCAGAAATACCTTGGAAGCCAGACCAGTACGACCGATCGGACTATTCGCTTGTCTGGGATCCCTCCGGATTTGGGAACCGAGGAGAAGATCAAGGATTTCATGGAAGGTCTCAAAGTGGGCAAGGTTGAGAGTGTCACACTATGTCGTGACTGGCGCGAATTAGACCATTTAATCGACGAACGACTGAAACTGCTGCGAAATCTTGAGCGGGCCTGGACTAGACATCTAGGCTACAAACGGGTTAAGGCAAGTCCGAACGCATTGACCATGATGCACCAGCAGCCGCGTGGCTCCAGTATTGTTTCAGATGGAGATAGTGAGCGAATCCAGCTTCTTTCTGAAGGAGGGCGCGACCACGTTACGGACTATGCACACAAGCGGCCGACAGTGCGCATTTGGTATGGGCCTTTCAAGTTACGCTACAAGAACATCGATGCGATCGATTACTATGAGGAGAAGCTGCGTCGTCTCGACGAGAAAATTCAGGTTGCTCGTCAAAAGGAATATCCTCCTACCGAGGTTGCCTTCGTAACGATGGAGTCGATCGCCGCGTCTCAGATGGTTGTACAGGCCATCCTTGATCCTCACCCCATGCAACTACTCGCTAGATTGGCTCCAGCTCCAGCTGATGTCGTGTGGAAAAACACATATCTCCCGCGCTCGAGGCGGATGATGCAATCCTGGTTCATCACTGTGGTCATTGGCTTCCTGACTGTATTCTGGTCGGTGCTTTTGATTCCCGTTGCCTATCTGCTTGAGTACGAGACTCTCCACAAGGTGTTCCCTCAATTGGCCGACGCCCTTGCTCGGAACCCACTTGCCAAGTCCCTTGTGCAGACTGGTCTGCCGACCTTGGTTCTCTCGCTGTTGACTGTCGCTGTGCCTTATCTCTATAACTGTAAGATGGTTCCCAACGTTACTTTTTGTCTACTCACGCGCTAAATTGTCAACAGGGCTCTCGAACCAACAAGGCATGATGTCTCGGGGTGACATTGAGCTGTCCGTAATTTCGAAGACCTTCTTCTTCTCTTTCTTCAACCTCTTCCTCGTCTTTACGGTATTCGGAACCGCGACGACATTCTACGGGTTCTGGGAGAATCTCCGAGATGCCTTCAAAGATGCAACGACCATAGCGTTTGCATTGGCCAAAACTCTGGAAAACTTTGCTCCGTTTTATATCAACTTCCTATGTCTTCAAGGAATAGGATTGTTCCCGTTCCGACTCCTTGAGTTTGGAAGTGTTGCCATGTATCCCATCAACTTCCTGGCCGCTAAGACCCCTCGAGACTATGCTGAGCTATCCACACCCCCTACATTCAGCTACGGATATTCCATTCCGCAGACGGTCCTAAGTCTTATCATCTGTGTGGTATACAGCGTGTTCCCTAGCTCATGGTTGATATGCCTGTTTGGATTGATTTACTTCACAATCGGCAAGTTCATCTACAAGTATCAGCTTCTGTACGCGATGGATCATCAGCAGCATTCGACGGGACGAGCGTGGCCGATGATCTGCAGCCGAATCTTGATGGGCTTGATGGTTTTCCAGCTGGCGATGATCGGCGTGCTAGCCTTACGCCGGGCTATCACCCGCTCTCTGCTCATCGTCCCTCTCCTTATGGCAACCGTATGGTTCAGCTACTTCTTTGCCCGGACCTATGAGCCTCTTATGAAATTCATCGCTTTGAAGAGCATTGACCGCGAGCGGCCTGGCGGGGGCGATATCTCTCCGTCCCCGTCGTCGACCTTCTCTCCTCCGTCCGGCCTCGACCGCGATTCTTTTCCGATCCGGATTGGTGGACAAGAACTCGGACTGCGGCTGAGGAAGTATGTCAACCCAAGCCTGATCCTGCCTCTTCATGATGCATGGCTTCCGGGACGCACGATGGTTCCAGAGCTTCAGGGAGAACTGGAGCATCGCAATTCCGGAAACAATGCGGCCGATGAGTCCGTCTGAGACTGCATCAAAGGCGCCAAAGTGGATTGATTTCACAACATTACAAGTCAATCGATCTCTATCATTGTCTATATATGTATTACTTTCTAATTACCCCTTGTTGTATGAGTTGCTTTTTCCCGCCATGATCTACGATGCCATGCCTTTGATGTCATAGATGGCCATATACGCCTGATAGTCTCACACCCTCGAGGTGAGACGGTCGATTTTATGCGCTGCAATTTTCACGCGATCAGATTTAGATGTCACTCATCTTTGTTGATAATGGTTTCCTTATCTCTCGTTTATTGATACCAGAGGCCTTCCTGTAGGAGGTTTCATTCGACGCATTGATGCCAATATAGCCTGCATGTACTATCACTTTATGTACTCTAGGGAGGATTCCTGATGCTCTTGTTAATATTTGCCATTAATGAACCGCGTAACCTGGGGTGTTCTGATTCCTTGCCAACTACCGTATCAGGATGAGGAAGCACCCCACGGAGCTGATTATGTGACAGTACCAGATCCCACCACTCCTCCCTAATATTTTCCCCTGGCTATTTCCTTCAAAAAGGTGGCATTGATATGCCGAATATATAACCAAGCATTTTCACATACACCTATGTACACATAACTACTAGAATGTCTTGACAGCGCCGTCCATCAGCGAGGTCATCAGATGCGGAAATTACATGCGAAGCAATCTTGTTCATACAACTGGAATCGGTTGACGCTCCGTTCTTCTTTTGACGCAGCCACCAATACAATGAGCTCTCAGCCAGGGACAGATTGCACTGTTGTGATGTGTGAATGGGTACAATGGCATGCTTTCAGGTTTGGGTCTCGGATAAGAAGTCCAATCGAACTGAGCAGTAAGCAGTCCAGTCATGAGGTAGAGCAGTTCGTCCATCGTTCCTGCCCGGAAGGTCCGAAAACATTGTCATCGCTTGTCTTTCTTCCGCTAGAAGACCTGCTGTTACTACGGATATCCCAGGAAGTTGGACGGGTTGACGGAGTGGTAGAACTGGTTGTCCAATCGTCCAACCATTCTGTCCGGGTTTGGGCCTCAGTGAACCGGGTCAAACAAGAGTCATCGATGTTGATACTCGCCTGGTTGTCGATATTCCCTATAAAGTCGTCCGCGTTGGATACGACGGCGATATTGCATCAGCGGACTCTGTTGATGTAAGACCACCCCAAGCTCCACCACCAAAATTCACGCGCAAACGGAAGCATACTCTTTGGCAGATTTTGGTGGGCAGCCTTCGAGGGCTCGTTGGCTTCAGGATATCATTCTAGAAGAGGTCGAGCCGTGACGGCTGGCCCAGCTTGAAGCAGGCTCGTATGAGATCCATCGGTACATATACATAGATCCTTCCTATCTTGACCTTGAGATTCCCGAGCGAATTTCTCCCGGGGAGAAATTGTGTAGGATGGTGGATATAATGTAGCCTGGGGTGTCGGTTGTCTTTATAGATAGCTCATAAGTTGTTGTTCTTTTCTGTCTTGGAGTTCCTCCATTGGTAATAGCGCAGATTGTACTTGACATGGGTTTTGCTGGTCTTCACTTGCTACTCAGACTGAATTCTGGTTTCAATTGATGGGATTTTGAGTATACTCATAAAAGTCAATTAATCTGGATACTCAATGCTAGTTCTATTACCGTCATCACAGTGACTGACGGCTGTGTTTATAAGACACGCAAGCCAGGGACCATGAGTATTTTCAAAGCTTGAGACCTTCTGTCAAGGTATCGTTGAAGTACCCCAATGATATAAGGCTGACATCTGTCCCATTATATATAAAATCCCACAATACTATCCATACATAATTTAGGAGCCACGAAACAACTAGCCTCACCGAAATCCTAGAATAAAAACGTGTACTACAATCCGAAAGAAATAGAATAGAACATCGGAAAGACATCACTTTTTCATCTCATCCAAGAAAACAAACGAAAACAATGAATCAACAACCGCTAGAAAAATCCGATCCCTTAATCAACCCATGCGTCGAGTGAACAATAATGGTATGACTGAGCATAACGTGTTGAATCCCATATAGGAACAAATGATAACAGCAATGCAGAGAGAAAAGAAAAAGAGGGTCAAATCCCAACTGGCGACCGATTTATTGGGAGTTGCCGTTGCCATTGACAGCAAGCTTTTCCCGACGGGTGCGCACAGCCTGTGCCAGGTTCTCCAGAACAAGTTCCGTGTCTTCCCAGTGGATGCAGGCGTCGGTGATACTGACACCGTACTTGAGGCCGGCCTTGCCCTCGGGAGGAACCTTTTGGTTGCCTGTTGTGGTGATGTTAGTGGGATGGTGTGATGGAAGGTTTTGGGTTGGGGGGGAGGGAGGGAAAAAGGGTAGAACATACCCTCGTTGATGTTGCTCTCGATCATGACACCCATGATGGCGGTCTCTCCAGCGGCGATTTGCTCGGCCAGAACAGCAGCCACCTTGGGCTGGTTCTTGTGGTTCTTCTGCGAGTTACCGTGGCTGCAGTCGACCATGAGGCGGGGAGGCATGCCCTGGGCGGTCAGCTTGGCCTTAGCCTCGGCGATGCTCTGGGCATCGTAGTTGGGGCCCTTCTTGCCACCACGGAGGATGACGAAGCAGTCGGGGTTGCCCACGGTGCCGACGATAGCAGCGACACCGGGCTTGGTGACGGACAGGAAGTGATGAGGGTGCTTGACGGAGCCAATGGCATCGACAGCGACATCCAGGGAGCCGTCGGTACCGTTCTTGAAACCAACGGGGAAGGACAGACCCGAGGCCAACTCACGGTGGACCTGGGACTCGGTGGTGCGAGCACCAACGGCGCCGACGGAGAGACAGTCGGCCAGGAACTGGGGGGAGATGGTATCGAGCATCTCACTGGCGATGGGCATACCCTTGTTGGTCAGGTCGACGAAAAGTTGACGGGAGGTGCGAAGACCCTTGTTGATCTTGAAGCTGTTGTCAATGTCGGGGTCGTTGATGAGACCCTTCCAGCCGACGGTGGTACGGGGCTTCTCGAGGTAGGAGCGCATGACAATCAGCAGCTCATCCTTGTACTTCTCCTTCATCTTCATGAGGCGATCGCAGTATTCGAGGGCCATTTCAGGGTCGTGGATGGAGCAGGGACCGATGACAACCAGCAAACGGCGACGGTCGGTGTCTGTGCCCTGGACGATAGCAATAGCCTCCTCACGACCTTCCATGACCGTTTGCCGGGACTTCTCCGTCATGGCGATCTCATGCTGAAGGAGGTTGGGGGGTGTGAGAGGGTTGTATCCACGAACTGTAGAGGAAGAGAGAAACCGAGGGTTAACGGGTGACGGAATTTTGCAAGTGAGTCACGGGCGCACTTACTTCTGGAATCCTCGAGGGAGCATCTGTCCCCGACATTAGGGTTTTCAATGAAGAACTGGAGGCATCATGAGTATTAACATTGCCATTGAGAGGGTTGAGATGCTGGAAAAAGCAAAAACATACCGACATGGTGGTGCGGCGGGGTAACAAGTGGACTGACGGAGGGGCAGAAAGAGAAGGAGAGGCGATAAAGTCGCAGCTTAGATAGGTAGATAGTATGCCCGACGGGAGGTATGGATGAGTAAGTCAAAGGGAAGATCGGTTCAGTGGATTGGATCGATGAGAGCTTAATGGTAGATTGATATCTTGAGATTTCGAGATTGCAACCGGGTGGAATCACAACCAATATATAGGAAAGATGTATGAGAGAAGAATCACTGGAATTGTCTCCTTGCAGAGTCTCTCAAAAAGCAAAAGCCAGAAAAAAAAAAAGTACTATTTCTTTGGCAGTGTCGAGTCATTCCTGCCTCATTGGGTAATCGACACGTGATATGCCGGTGAGCGGACGAATGGGGCGAGGTCCAAAAAAGCGCCTCGCCCGCGGTATCGCCTGCCATTGGCCTACCCTCCCCATTCGTCGTCTCTCATTCCTTCTCTTCCTGCTCGGATCAGCATGAAGGATACTCCGTAGTCCGTCATCCGCTATCCCGTACCACATGCCCGAGGTATCGCCCGGCGTTGGATGGTCAGCCTTAGCAATAGATGACGCCCCTGAGGCTGCCAGTACGACCTGGATTGGGGGCGGAAACCTTGTATATAGTTTCGGATCATCCTGGCTTGGAGGCTACGTTGGCACTAATCTCTCTCTGGATCTGGGTTTCGCCCCTTGAGTGTTGCAGAATACGAATTGCAGATACGACTAGCCGTTGCTGTAAGAAATAAGTACAGAGTCATCGCCCGAGCAAAGATGAGACTTCACTGTTGAAGTGTATACTATCCGGATCCGAGTCAGCCCGGACCGGAAACCTCATCAAGTCGGAGCATCAGAAGCTGAGATGATGAGGCCTAGCTTCAGGTCATTTCCTCATCTGCATCCGATCCCGAAGCTGCTGCTCGTCCCGCTCTAGACGCTGCATCAACTCCTGGCATACTTCGGTATGGTGTTCGCGAATGGAATTCATCTGTTGCTGGCACAATCTGATCCGCTCTTCTTGGGCTTCAAAGAGCTGATCCAGGACCCGGTGACAATCTCGCCGATATATCTCTAAGACTTCGTTGATAGTCTTTTTCTCGCTTTCGATTTCTTGGATTATATGCTTGCAGCCAATTCAGTATGAACGCTTGGAATCCCCACGGGATGTCGCCTACCTCGCTTGTCGCAAGAAGCATGCTTTGCGCTCTTTTGTGAAGCACCTGCAGGGATGTCTGCCAGCTGGTGTGCTCCAGGACACCATCTGCGGTGGTATTTGGCTTCTGCGAACATGACTGCGCCGATAATTGGTCTGGAACTACTGTCGACCCAGGTAGGGAGTTGCATGTCGCATGAGGCTCGTTATCGCGTTCCAATGTCAAATGTGCATTTGGACTCGATCGTGCGGGATTTCTAAGCGGGGTCTTGTTTGATGTAGGTTTACCTGTACATGCCATTAGACGATCCTGGAAGGTCAGTACTTCCTTCACTTGTTTCGTGCAGGTTCCGGAATGTTTCGATCCTGAAATTACGTTTCGCTCGCAAAAAGCAGGTAGTTCGTCATTTTGTGCACCATCCTTCATGATCCCCCGAACGTGCTCGCTGGTGGAGGACCTGTCTTCCGCGCCTGACATTTCTCGAGGATTTCCGTCCACGTCGGCCCTACCACCCATGTATCCGCTTTTGATGTGGTATAGAAGGCGAGGGCTCCCATCAGCATCCACTATAGTTGATCGGGGGGTGTTTCTCAATCGCTTTGTGGGATTCCAGTGATGTTTGCGAACCAACCGCCTAGAGTCTTCCCTGAAAGCATTTTCCGAAGCATGGTCCCCTGTAGTTGGGTCATCTCGCATATAGTCTGGACTGAGCGCAGCTATCTTTCTCTTCACTGGCCTAGCCCGCGGGCTTTTCATGCCCTCGGATGTGGTCTGAGGCATGTTGGAAGTGCAAGTATTATGCGCGGCCCCGAGGCTCTCCTTGCACATTTCAAAGGGGAATTCTTCATTCGAACGACTTTCCCCTACACACAATGGACTTGAGTCAGCGGAGGGCTCCTCGTTGTCAATCTTGAAGGAGCTGCTCCTGCTCGTATGCCTTTGGACAGAACATTCTGCATGAAGATCATCCTCAATTTTGCTCGTGAATTGCTCGTTTGGTGTTTCTAAGGGCAATACCCCATCATAGATGGTATATCGCTCTATGACAGACTCTGTGATGTCGAGCTGTCCCTGTATTCCACCGTCACACACGGACACATATAATGTGTCTGACAAACCGAGCTCATTTTCGTTTGCTAGATTATTATGGGTCTGTATATGCTCTAAGCTGTTTTCCTTATGCCCGCCATGGCCTGCTGAGGGGTAGCCTTGCTGGAAAGCTGCAGACAGCTTGTACCCCACTACACGGCCCCTACCTTGAAGTCCTTGTGCGGTCGGATGACACTTAGGAGTATTCATCTGATTATTATTATCACCCGTCACACTTGTAGATAGCTCCGAATAACTTTCATTTTTCCCGGAAGCTTGAATCCGAAGCGATCTGGTGCGATCATCATCGTGTTGTGGTGCAGCAGAGTCACATCCGACGATGGCATTATCAGAGACGAGCTCGACATGAGCACTTTTGGCCATGGCACCTACATTTCTTTCTCTCGAACAAGGTATCAGTTTCCCTATTATGTCATCATCTGATAGTGTGTGCCCTGGCTTATGGTTGGGGTTGTCAGCATCTTTTGTAAATGCTGATGCTGGTGTCGCTTTCTTGGTATTGTTTTCATTCTTTCTTGTTGGGCGAGAAGATACTATCTTCTTGCGCTTTGTGGCTAGCTTCCTCCCTCTGGCTGCTCTCTTCTTGCCTGGAGCTGCCGAACGACTGCCGAACGTCTCACCGGGCAAGGGGGAAGAAATTGAAGTTACCTCCGCATCCTTAAAAGGCCGTTCCACTTCATCGTCACTAGGTCGGAGATCCTCGTCCCAGTCGACAGCAGCTTTGGAATTGGCTATATATACCTTCTGCTTGGAATGTCGCGTATAGATGACCATAGACTCTTGAGTATTCGATAGAGGGTCTTTCCGTCTATTCCCACTTTGCAAGCGACTTGATCTTCTTCTTCCGGTATCTGGATTTGGTGCAAGTCTACCATATGGTTTTCTCGGCACTCCTTTGGACAGTGATGGGTTTGATAATGGCACTGGAGGTTCACCTGCGTAATTTGCTCGCTGACACTCTTGCTGAGAGCCATTACGTTCTAAATGAACATCATCCAGATTCTCATTCGTGGTATTGCACTTCTCGAGCTCTTCTGAGTGTTTCTCCAACTCTTTGACAGACTTTTGTATCAAAATGGGACCTGTGCGGGGTCCCTCCTGCCCCTGTGTGTTGTTAGGTGAGATCCCAGAAGATTTTCTTGCAACTTCATCGCTCGTATCCAGTTCCATCACCATTGAAGATGTCCGAAATATACCATCCGTATTTATAGACCCCCGGTCATTCTGACAGAATGCCTCGATGGCATTCCGCAAATCACCAGGATCTTTATCGGATAAGATGCTTAAAACATGGCCTTCGAAGCATAGCCGTCTGCCATTTTTCACGACCAGCTTATTCTGGGAAAGGACTAATTTCAGACAATACATCATAGATTTGTCCACAACCGTGCGCACGGGTAGACCGATGCTCTGAATGTAGAACTCAACGTATTCTAGGCACATTCTCGTTGTGTTCTGTCTATAGGTGATGAATGTCAAACACCCCTCATCGATTATGGCAAGGACAGTTCCTTCGAACAATGGTGTCTCGTCGATGTGAAGTGACTGAAGAAGAAAGCAGCGTCGGAGGTAGGAAGTCTTATCTACCACTTCCGATACAACGGCCATGTTGGATAAGGTGTAAAAGTGCTGTAGCGGATCATTTCTATAGGAAGGTAAAGTATCGAAGAACCTGACTCTGTCCGTGCTACTGTCGGATTTCCAGAGTGCTTCGTCGCTTACTCCCGAGTTATGTAGCGCATGGATCATGATAGTCGCGAGCAGTTTCAGAGTACAGTTTCCATTGAGGATGACGTGCGAAAGCCTGGTGAGCGCTTCGCATTAGCACAGATAACATCGCTCACATAGAAGCGTATAATACCGTGACAATTCCACATTTTCTGATTCAAGGAAGAAGGCGTCATTATGCTCTGGCTCCGAAAGTATCTCCAGAAACATCTTGCCAGCCTGTTCACATGAGAATCAATAGAACCAGTTATTGTCTTGGTCTCACCAATTTCCGTAGCCATGTAGCTTGGCCTTCAGTGGAAAACAAGAGGTATAGCTTGCTCAATATCCTTCTCTGAAGCAAGCGGGGCCTGTCCACAATTCTTGGGCTTGCTACTTGATATACCATGTGCCCTGAGTCTCTCATGTATTGCGGTTCATCCTATAGAAAGCATTAGAAAGCGGAGAGGTGCATACATAGGTAGCTAGCAGACCAGCAGCAGGTAAATTCCATTCTTCAGCCCGTTATCTACGTCTGAGTTGAGCAATAGGTATGCCAGACAACGCAGTGAAGAGCGGTCAAGCGCCTGAGTTATACGCTTTGATTCCCGTTTCAGGATGGACAGTAATTGGTGTATGTTGCGATTATCGACCTTTGACTCATGATGTAGCAAGGCCTGAATCAACTGGTTTGAGAATGTATAAAGGCGCGGATCACGCAGGAGACAAGTATAATAAGGCTTCGAAACCGGGGATTTATCCTCAGTGTCACCTCCAACGTTCGTTACACAGGCCAGCTGCGAGGCTAACTCTGAGATGCAAGCCCATTGTGATTCTTCCTGAGATGCATTAATAAGAAAAGACGTCATTTTGCTTGCTGAGGGTCAATATATTGTGGAGCGTTATAGACTCGCAGTGGCAGTTGATGGGAGCTACGTATTCAGCGACTGCGTGTAAATGGATCACATGATGGTGTATTTGCACTTGACCGAAATGGCATCTTTCAATGTTTGTCAACGAAATCGCCTATTTCCAGTTTCTCTGTTTGGTCTACAGCATTCAGATACTTGACAGTGTTAGCAACGCCCATCAAGCAAGTCATTGACCTTAAATATGTCTTCCAATATAAGCGAACAATGTTAGAAGGCTAGATACCTGAAGACCGCTTATTTCTCGTTCATTTCATATGTTATTTTTGTACTCCCACAGACGGTAAGCTGCATGAATCTTCCAACACTTAAGTGCTATTAGAAGACTGCTGGCATTCATCAAGGCTGGAGGCGGACTTTCATGATTTGCAGGCTCCGAAATATGGTACGCACTTTGCCCTCTGGCTCACAATGACGAAGTCAAATACTACAATGGGCCAATTACCTTCCTATGATACTGCGCAGGAAGGTTTGCGTACAGCTAGCGGAAGATGAAGAGCCCTTATTCAAGATGAAGTTGGGTGGAAATAAGCATTTACGATAAGAAGTTCACAAATGACAACCAGCATAAGCTCCGCTTCGCTTCCGCAGGCCCCTAATCAGCCCCGACTTTGATTAGCTAGATATCGCGCGATAGTGCGCTAGCAAGCACAATACTTCCACTGGGAAGTATATCAATATCATATTCTCCCAGGTCCCCAGAAGCTCTCAGATTCACCGTCGAACATGCTGGATGGTAACGGATGGAGAATTCCCTGGGATTAGTGGATATTGGTAAGCCGGCTGCTGAAGTATCCGTCCCGAGGCTACTCCGGCTCCGCTCCAGTTAGAGAGGACAACCGGAATGCATGTTATGCGTTTCCGCTGGGAGCCGTGCTGTCAGCATAACAGCCGTGGTACAAAGCACGGAGATACTATTAAAATGGTCACATACATTTGCTCATACCCTTGTCACCCTGGTTGACTGACGGACAGGATTTGTTCTGACAAGAACTATTGACCAACTGGGCCAGCTTGACCTGTTCGAAAGATGGCAGCTGTGTATCGAGACGAAGAGGGAGGCCACCCCATCCCTCGCACACGCCGCCCGAGCATGATCGAAACCTACGAGCGACTCGGAGAGATTAGCCCTCTTACCGGTCCCACGCACCCATCCGAACAGGAAACTGGCCATTTCCTGCCCGAAACAACTCCCGAAAGGCGGCAAGTATCGACAACAGATCGGTCCCTCGATAAGGATGCCGACCTTGCGGAGAAGGTTACGACTCATCATTTCGAGGAGATCGGAGACGGAAACCCACCGCCTGACGAAACCGTTCTATACCTTGCCTACGGCTCGAACTTATGCTCCGAGACCTTTCTGGGGAGGCGAGGCATCAAACCGCTTTCTCAGATCAACGTCGTCGTTCCAGACCTGTGGCTCACCTTCGATCTCCCAGGCATACCATACCTTGAGCCCTGTTTTGCAGCAACTCGACTTCGCAAACCCCCAAACCCAGAGAAAGACAATGCATCAGACGGAAAACCCATAACAGAGGAGACCTCGCGTCTCCTCCACAAGGGCCCCGACTATAACCCCAGCATGCCCCTCGTCGGCGTCGTCTACGAGGTTACTCTCACAGACTACGCCCGGATAATTGCAACGGAGGGTGGAGGACGCGGATACGAAGACAAAGTCGTCGACTGCTACCCCTTCCCGAAGGCCTACAACCCAACGGACCCTCTCCCCGAGCGTCCAAGCACGAAGCCCTTCAAAGCCCACACGCTTCTATCCCCCGCCGTGGCTGAGGACCTAGTAGAAGCTACTACTACCCAGGACCATGCTCTTACAAGCCGGAAACAATGCGGTTTCGTCTCGCGCTTTAGCCCTCTTGTCCGCCCGAACCCATTCTACGCCCAGCCTTCGGCTCGCTATATCAACCTAATCAAAATGGGCGCCGCTGAGCATGACTTTCCCGTCGCATACCGGACATATCTTGCTGGGATTCAGCCGTACCGTATAACTACCCTGCAGCAGAAGGTAGGCAAGGTGCTGTTTGCGGGGATATGGATGACGCCGGTACTTCTGGTCTTGCTCTTGCAGAGGATGTCCGCAGGCTCGGATGGACGCAGTCCCCCCTGGCTGGTTAGATTGGCGGATGCTATTTTCTTTACGATGTGGCGGTCGTATGATAATTTATTTCTGGGTATCTTTGGGGATGGGGAAAGGACTATTGGCGATAATGCTGCGTGATGATATAAATTCTCGATCTAGACAAAGTCCTTAGGCGATGACGTTATTATCACTGGTAATAATAGAAAATCGGACTGTTTCATAAACAAAGCAGATATAACCAAATAAATACATTGAGGCATTCTATTAAGCCTTCCCATAGTGAAAGACAGAACGGCTATTGTATACCAAAGCCCATACAACATGTGTAATAGCTAACAAAGGAAATTGTGACATTGGATCTTGAAGCAACATTTTCAACGGAGAATAAATATCTAGGGTACAGATACAAGTGTCCTGAGTAACATCTAACGAAACATGCAGAGACCATCGAATAGAGTGACAGGTTGAAGGAAATGGCGACGTGGGACCAACATGACTTGTTGGACGATGGATTATATCAAGGCTCACTAGCCGCCTGTTCTTTTCCTCCACGGTGTGCAATTCATACAGTCCGCTGCAACATTCAGCGCCGGGAAACGGGGGGGCTGTACACAATCTTTCTCGTCTTGATCGGGGACCACTTGTAACGCTTGACCCAGACGCTGATGGCGAAGAGACCGGTCAGGAGGGTGATAGCCTTGACACCCATCTTCTTGCGGTCGTCCATCTCAGGCTCGGCAGCCCAGTTGAGGAACTCGACGACATCCTTGGCCATCTGGGAGGTGGTGGCGGGGGTGCCATCCTCGTACTCAACAACACCATCGAAGAGAACACGACCCATGGCAATGGCTACAGATTGTTAGAATTGAGCATAGACGAATTAATTGTCAGGTGTAATATGCAAGTGGTGACATACCGGTACCGGGGAAGTAGGGGTTGAAGTTCATGCCAGCACCGACGGTGGCACCAGCCGGGGGCTCATCGGGGTAACCAGTCAGCAGACTGAAGATGTAGTTGCAGCCACCGTGACGGCCCTTGACGATCAAGCTGAGATCCGGGGGGAGAGCACCACCGTTGGCAGCACGAGCAGCCTCCTCGTTCTTGTAGGGAGCAGGGATGTGGTCGGACAGCTTTCCGGGACGCTTCTCGATCTCGCCCTGGTCGTTGGGCTCGGTGTCGTACTCGTTCTCTTCAGCCATGGCCTTCATCTCATCGACGGTGTGCATGACACCGACGAACGAGCGCCAAGGCACACGGGTCAGGGAGTGGCAGCTGGCACAGACTTCACGGTAGACCTGGAAACCACGACGGAGGCTGGAGTGCAAAACATGAGTAAGATGGCCGGTATCGGGGAGAGATGGCGAGGGTAGTATTCGCCCGAAATTGGAAGACTCACGCCTGGTGATCGAAGGTCTTGTTCCACTTGGCGTGCTCCCAAGGGTACGCGGTAGGGTGCAATCTTGAAATCCATGTGCGTCAGTCTGGGTGTCAAACAGTCGGGACCGGGAAGGTGATGCCTCGGTCGGAGCAACGGAGCAGCCAGCTACGCGTTGACCATTCCCTCGAGCATCACCCGATAATCCACTCACCCCTCCTCAGCAGGTGTCATCGCAAAAGCCTCCTGGCCATAGAGATACGCGGCGGATCCGAGAGCGACGGCGGTTGCGGCGGACGCAGTGAGTGTGAGGTGGAAGGGGGAGCTGGCGGATTCGGCACCGGCGGCGGAGGAAGACGCACGCTGGGTGATTCGTTAGTCAAAAACCGATACAGAAGCTTTCCTGAGAGATAGGGAAGCGATTGTCCTCGCCCATTGGATCCAATGGACGGTCGATGTCGGGGAAGTTCGTACCGTGGAGGTCTTGTTCAAGGACTGGCGTGCGACGCCCCGGAAGGGCACGCTGCGCAAAACAGTACGTGCCAGCATACTGACGATGTGAAAGACCCTCCGGACAATGGGGTATTTAAGAAGGCACGATAGCCAAAGAAGGGGAGAGGGGAGGGGGAGGGGACAAGGCTGAGCGCACAGGAGAATGTGCTTTTGGAGGTGAAGTCGAGGTTGGTCGAACGGGTCAAGTTTCTCTTGGGTTTGGAATTGCCTAAACCCTCGTTCTGATTGGCTGCCGCCCCGGTCCTAACTGCCTTCGGTGAAAACCGCGACTTTTCGGAACAACAATTTTCGGCGGCCACCTGATGATTGCTGACCACCAACACCATTTCCCAGTTCTCGCGATAACACGGTGGGAAGAGTTCTACGAGAATGCATTCCGGGTTTCAATTTCATACACATTCAACAATTCCATCGCTTTTCTACCATTCTGCCAGCTCCTCACCCACCGTTCCGTTCTTCCACGCTGACCCCGGCACACACACTCACCCATTAATTCCAACGCTCTCATTGGCCATTGGCTTGTGTTGTTCCCGAGATGTGCTCTCCCGCCATAGTCATCATCGCCTCCGTCTTAGCCTGCCATTCCGACGCTATTCCCATGCGCAGCGCCTCAATTGCTGTCCGAATATCGCATCGAGTACCGTTACTATATAGAACTAACGATAGAGCGGGCAGTCTTCGAACCGTGCGACCGCTAAGCCCCTAATCGCCATCGTCAATACTTCAACATCTGTACCGAATGCTCATCTTCCATCCAGAATTACTAACCTCGCTTTCAAAAACAGCATTAGCAAGTAGCGTGGGTATAGCGTCGGGGAACGATCCATAGTGCAGCAGCACTTCGTCAAAAGTCGGGAGGATGAGGTGTTCCGCAGCCTGCTCCACATACTGCAAAGCCGTCTGGGGATCGTCCGGAGTAACTTGGACCACGTCGAATGAGACACCCTCAATGATTCCGTTTTGGCTCAATTCCTCTAGGCAGTCCTTGTAGATATTATATGTAGGTCTGCTGGATAGTTGCGGTATGTATTGTTTGATATCTACTCGATCAAGGAAGGCTTGGTCCTACAAGCGAGTGCACACCGTCAGCGTCATTGCATAGCACTTGGCCATGAATAGGAGCTTACCAGCGCCGTAATTAAATTACTGGTGCAGACAATGATAACATTCGAATGCTCCTTCAGCTTATCCAGCCCTGTGAGTACCGCATCGACTGCTCGAATAGCGTCGAAGGGCTCATTGCTACTCAGTGCCCGGTCTCTCCGAGCAACTAAGGTCTCTATTTCATCCATGAACACGCAAATGAATGTATCTTCTTCCTCCTGAAGAAGCGTCTCGATGTTTTCAAACATCCCATTCACCAGTTTGCTGCTCTCGCCGAAATACTTGCTTCCTAGAGAATATGTATTGATCTCAAATAGCTTGCTCTGGGGATAATCCTTTCCCAGGCGTATTGCAAGCTTCTGGGCAAGACCGCGACTAAACAAGTTAGCTACCAATCACAACCTATGTAACACATCCACAAACCAAAGGCTCGTCTTCCCACTTCCTGGTGGTCCCCATATGAGTATCAACCTGTTCCAATTGATGGTCCACTTATCGAGTTTTCGAGCAGAAAACGACACTACTCGAGTTAGATTAAGTCAAGAGACGCAAGGTGGAAGGGGGAACCTCACCCATCCTGCTTATAGCCGAAAGAAGCGTTGACTGGACTGGTTGATCGTAATCCAAACTATGCAAATGATCAGTCACTTGCATCCTTGGGAGATTAAGCAGATCAGCGTACGTCTCCCATAGTCCCTCCAGATCTATGCTCGGTAAGGCCAGTACTCTTGCCGTAGCGATAGCGACATTATCTCCAGCTACTGTTGAATCCTCGAGTATATGGGACTTCTGCGAGCTTTGTTGCTCTGATCGTGTACGGAGTTGGTACACTTGAACGTCCAATTGGACTTGCTGAAGCTGATATGCTCCGGACTCCAGATTGCCGCGGCTACATTCGGTGACAAGTATAAACTCTAGGGCTTGAGCATGTGGTTCGCTTAGACCTTCTGTTTATTGTCAGAAGGACGTTCGGGAAGCTGTCGTCTTGGAGAATTTCTGACCGAAAGAAGAGATCATCTGTCCAATGGATAATACGATGAAATTGTTCAGAAGCCATTCTGTGACCTCATCCCTAATCTGCTGTCCTGTTATTATATGAAGCGCGAGTGTTTCAACCAGCCTACCAAATCAGTGCGAACGATGATGCCATCACCAGCACATTTTACACGTGCCTCAACGTGCAATATGGGTCGTTGAGAATCTTCCACTGGGCTCGAAATGCAACTATTAACGCTCACATCCATTTTGCTTGTTGGTTTGGGAGGTGGGTAATTGAGAGAAGGGAGGTTGAGGAACGCAAAGTGAACATCTGTGGCCGGTCTGGGAGGTAATCTCGTACTAGAAATTGTGACGTTTCAAAACAGGCAAGTCGTCTACATCTGCAACCTCCAATTCACCTGATCGCCTGGGTTGAGAGCCTGTTCTCGGCCTTCTGGGGTGATCAAACGTGTAGAACAATGAACATATGCAAGATAAGCCCAATACGTAATACCACTGCATTGAACCATACCAATATGTAACTATACCTCTTCTCACAATACGTGCTGCCACATGTGTATATCCCCCCTCTGAAGTTGAAGGTTGATTGCAAGACGCCCGTCAGAGCTACCTGGGCAAAGCCGATATGAGAGTAATTACTATTGAAGGGAGGTGAGAACAACTGGCTCATTGAGCCGTACTAGTAGTGATTATAATAATATTAAGTCACTCCGTTGGAGACTATAGGTACTATCACTCTAAGTACTACTACTAGTACTACTATTTCCGGCGCGGTTATTGAAACTTGGTACATTCGAGGGAATGCAACCTGACGACGGAGAGCTCTCTGTCTCTGCTCTGGATTTAATATATATCGCCCCACTGGTAGATTCTGGGGAAAATTCGCGAACGGATCAACTTGACCACCCACCGGATGTTTCAGAATTTTGTGTTCGTCAAGAAATAAACTATTTCGCAACAACTCAGACCGCCATCAGAATTCTGTGAAACAGGTGGTGATACTGCTTACTGAGGTGAGATCGGATTCCGTAGCAGAGCAGCGGAAAGGTAAGCAGCCGGCCGATCCAACCGTGGAATTTCTGGGGTGTTCCGCCCACAGTGACGAACTGCCCAACCAACCGACGCAATTGCTCGGCGCCGTGGATTGTTCCTTTCCTCAGATTTAGGGGCTATGATTCCACCATGCGAACCGATGTTTCATGATCCCCCATTTTTGCCAGCAATTCCGGTGCCGCTCGATTACTCGGGTTTACGTTCGACTAATTGGGGCAGCCCCGCGGAGCGAGCTAGTCGGTGGGAACGCTGGGACCCTGACCGGCTTGTCCGCGCTGAGCTTCTGGAGCCTTTAACGGACGAATTCGACGTCCCTCCCGATGCCGACTGTGAAATTACAAGATGCAGAAAGCGAGGACTGGGCCAGGTGCCGGCGCAAAGCCGCGCAAGGATGTTCTGGCTTCACTCAAGATGGCCTCGATGGAGGAAATCTCCAGGGCCATTCTTCCAGCAGGTACGTCTCAACGGTGACAGCCGAACAAGAAAGAGCGGAAGGGGAGGCGGATCGCATTCACTGCATGACATTCTAACAAAGACCAGAAATCATGTCCTCGATCCTTGATTACCTCTCCCCTGTCGATCTCATACGGGTAGCTCGATCGTCCAAACTCCTGCGCGAGATGGCATACGATGACACACGATGGGTGCAGAAACTGAAACGGATGGGCTGTTGGGACGAGGTGGAGGCAAGAAAGCGTACGGAAGAAACGTTCGGCACCATCGCAGATGTGCGAACGGTTGAGCAACAGGAAGTTGAGGATGCGCAAGCACCGCACGACGAACCTGCACCGAACGTCTCACGCAGTTCCCGAGCCGATTTACAATCGATCTCTGACGGATTCGACCAAATCAATCTAACCACTTCGGCCAATGTTGATATGTCGGATGGATCAGAGAATGATCCTGTCATCGGCGCGCTCAAACAAGTGAAGTCGGTTCGTGGAGACGCACGCCAGGAGTACGGAAAGGTACATGCAGCACTGGCACCATACTACAATGACATCGTTATGAACGGTCCTTCTCCGGATAGCTTGCTTTTCAAGAACTACACCGATCCTCAGCACCAAGCTCAGATACTGTCGCAGCTACAGTCCTTTTCCAAATGCGATTCGGACGAAGGCTGGCGTGAACGGATTGAACAATTGCAGTCTGCTGTGTCGATGTTCGAAATATCGGCTATAAAGGAATTTAGACATGGATATGAGACAGAGGATATTGATGACAGGATGCGAAAATATGCCCACGTGTTGTACACGCTGAACGGCGGAGAGGCAGCTGTCGAACTCTTCATACAGCACAACCATCTCGTTACCAGAAGATCAGATCTCGGCAAAGTTTCGGACTGCATTGACCCTTTCTCGCAGCGGGTCAAACTTGAACATACACAGGCATTCTTCACTCGGCTAAGTGTGGCTTATAATGAGGAAGTATCGATCATCAATCGTGCCTTTCCCCCGTCTATGAAAATCTCGACCCCGTTTATTGATAAGGTTGGGCAGGATGTGCTCTATCCATTTCTGACTGCCATTTTTGATGAACTACATGGTTCAAATACGGAGTCCTACTTGACTGCCGTCTCAGGAACATTTGCTCAATGCCTTAATCTGTCGGATACATTGCTGCCAATACAGAATCTGAACGACAGCTTTGATGAATTCATGGACCATGTCATAGCAAAAGCCTATGTACCCCACATGGATTTATACCTTGCTGAGGAATTGGACCATTTCCGGAAATTGTCTGAGGCGGCTGTGGGAGACTGGGATAGACAGCTATCGGAGCAGGCAGCCTCGACGGAGTCATTCTTGATGTCAAACATCAACAGGCAGGCTGATAAGCGTGACTTCTTGACCTCATTCAAGAAGGTTATTATGGCTCCCGTTAATATTCTTCCAAGCTTCTCCGGAAACAAGGCGAATGAACAAAAGGCACCATCGGAGCCCACCGCCAGCGACACCTCGTCTTTGAAAAGCCCTAATCGGTTCTCAACCATCGCGTCGCCCACGACACCCCCGATCATGGAGGCACCGACCACAGAGCTCGCAGCAAAAGCCGCGATTATGAAGTCTAAACTAGAGGGCATTCGATCTCTCTTCAGCATTGAAGTTGCTCTTAGTCTGGTCCATGCGGCAAAATCAAGCTTGGAGCGAGCCGCGCAGTTTGTGAAGATCAAAGGCGAATATGGAGCTGCTGCAAAACAGCAGTGCGAGGCGGTTTTTGTCGCCCTCGTGCGCATTCTGGGAAATCGTCACTTGATCGGTGGATTTAACAAGGCCGTTGACCACTTGTCGAATTACCGGCCGCGCGAGCAAGGGGAAAGAGACCAATCTGGCGTTGAGCCGCTGGTCACCTTTCTGGAGCTGGTGAACGTTGGTGATTTGATCCTCCAGATGATCGATGTCTTCTACGAGCAGGAACTCATCGGCACCAAACTGACGGACCGCAATGATTTTCTTGATCCAGCCGTCAAGGAAAAGAAAAAGTTCGAGCAGAGCCTGGATGAACGGGTGGCTGCTGGGCTTAACAAAGGAATTGACGTTCTCATGGAAGAAGTTGACTACATTCTAGCAACGAGGCAATTGGCGACCGACTTCAATCCTAGTGTCTCTACTGACCCCTATCGCAAAACGATGGACGTTAGTATTACCGAGGCTGCAGCGGCCGTGGTAGATGTGGTGTCGTCACATACGCAGATGCTGGTTGGGAGCACAGACAAGAGTATGCTGGACGTCTTCAACCAAGAAGTCGGGCTCCGCCTTTTTGCTGCTCTGTGCAAGCATCTGAAGCGACAGAGAATCAGCGTCGAGGGGTCATTGAAGCTCATCAGGTAGGACTCTTGTGTTTATGAATTCGAATGCGAAGCTGACTTTATCAAGTGATATGAATCACTACTTCAAATTCATCCAGACGTTCAGGAATAACGACCTTCTCCTCTATTTCAAGGCGTTCCGAGAACTGTCGCAGATCTATTTGATCGACCCCTCCGATGCCAAAGAGCTTGCCACAATCATCGCCGATGCGGACCGATTCAACGGGATCTGGCGAGTCGAGGAGGTGTACGAGTTCGCCGAGCGACGGGCGGATTGGTATCAAGTGAAACGAGACGTCGAACGAGCCATGTACGGAATTGGGTGCAACGTTATGTGAAGATCATGTCCAGCATTACGATTATACGGTGTATATAGAGCTACGAATACCCCAGGGCTTTGCCATTTTCATGGTTAGAGAATAGACAGACGATTATATGATCCAGTAGAAGATAAAAGGACTACGAGTTGATATTACTACAAATACCCAAAATCTAACGAGTTATCCAACAACAAGCTGACATGACCAGCATGCAACAATTCTAATCCAGCCAACCATGAAAACCTCAGTAGTATCTTCTTTCGCATTAAGTTATTACTAATAACCCAACCAGTTGCATCATTCATTACAACGACTTTACCCATCCGACGGATCGCATCTCCTAGAAACTCTAAATCTATCCGGCTAATTCCTTGACATCAATCCAGTCATAACCTTGAAAACAATGACGATAATAAGCCAAAGAGACATAAAGATCTGACTACTCCCCGGCCCAAAGGAAAGAAGCAATGTGTTTCAACCTGGAACCAAGCCATTGGCGCTACAGCCACCACTCACCACTGCATTGTCCAGTCTGACAATTGCTGACTGACTGAGCTCCATTTATACAATCTACAATCCCGTCATGAGAAATACTTATATCCTCCCACATACTATAAACTTTCTATACTCACATAACATATGAAATCATCATCATGCTCCATCGTACTAGTGTCTCGAGGATACTACCACCAACCCAGATCCTCTCCATCACCACCACACTCATAATCCTCCTAAGCGCCCTCACCCTCACCACAGCCCAACAACCAAAATCAACCGTAATAATCACCATAATAGCACCACCAACCGCCACCCAACAACCCCCATCTTACACCTCCCCGGCGCTCTTCCAATCCTCCATCCTAGACGTCAGCAACACCTACCGCAAAGCTCACAACGCAAGCAACCTAATCTGGAATATGACATTGACTCAGTACGCTCTCGATTGGGCACAGGGTTGTAAATGGCAGCATTCGGTATACCCTTCCCCTCCCTTTCCCCCAAGATATGAATACACTGGAACGAAAAATAGCTAATAAGTAATGTACAGAACGGCCCCTACGGCGAGAACCTCGCCTTCGGGTACCCCAACGTCTCGTCTGCCGTAGCCGCCTGGGGTGACGAAGTCCAAAAGTACAATTTCCAGGAACCGACGGGGTTCACGGAGGAGACGGGGCATTTTACGCAGTTGGTGTGGAGGGAGACGAGGGAGGTGGGGTGTGCGGCTATTGATTGTGGATATAACAATACTAACACTACTAATGATAATGATAATCGGAATGGGAAGAGGAGTGATGGTGGAGGAGGAGGTGGTGGTGGGATAAATGGAACGGAGAGACCGCAGGGATGGTATGTCGCTTGTGAATACTCGCCTAGGGGCAATATCATTGGGGGCAATAAGAAGTTGGGGGATAAGGAGTTCTTTAAGATTAACGTGCAGCCGTCGAGTACTTATTCCGGGCCGTATAATACGGGATCGGCTGGAAATGGGGCCGCGAGGGTGGAATGTATAATGGGATTATGGTGGGTTGCGTTGGGGTGGTGGTTGGTGTTGCTGACTTTTGGATAGTTTGGTAATTGGGATATGGATAGTGGTATAAACCGAACTTGAATGATTGCAGTAGTCATCATTGTCTGTCATCTCTCATTGCTACCAACATCACGCACATCAAAGTATCCCCTCACGCTCGGGAAAGAAATATGCAAACACAGATTCTATTCACTTTTTTTGAAATGTTCCAGACACAGGTGCCCCCACGCGCGGGCTGGAACCAATCCAAATGGATCACAGATGAAGTCTCACAGGGAAGAGAGGAAGAAGTGTGAAGGGCTTCAGGGAGGATAAGGAAAAAAAAAGGCGAGGATATCGACAGACAAGATGCGAGATAAGGATAAAAGGAAATGAAAAGGAAAAGAAAATAGATGGAATAGAACACATTAGATACGAAGCTGGCTTCCCAATCAACCAATGACTTCCTCGTTCTCCTCGATGATCTCTTCCACAATCTCCTCCACCACTGTCTCGCCTTGGTCCTCCGACACAGCAGGGGCATCCTTGGCCTGCTTGGAGGAGTCGACGTCTTCCGGCACACCGTAGGCGTCCTTCTCCTCCGCAAGCATCTCCTTCTCCCTCCGGATCCAGGCAGCCCACTCGTTGAGCACGCGCTTGCGCGTCTCCACAACTGCTGTGTTGGCAATGTCGACAGCGTACTTGTCCTCCTCGTCGAACTCCTTCGAGTACTCGCGGAGGTTCTTGCGCACTTGCTTCTGCTCCTCCTTGCTGAGAAGAGTGGGGGGGCGGGGGCGCCAGATGAACTGCTTGAACTTGTCGGTGGGGTGTTCGGCGAGGGTCTGACCGGCGAAGGTGTGAATGTTGTAGCCGTTTTCCATCTACAGAATATATGTCAATAATCCAGTTGTAACAGGATATCAAAAGAAAGAAAGAACATACCGAGTGGGTCCACACGCTAGCACTGCTGACAACGTAGCGACCCGTAGGATCCCAGTCAATATCCGTGACACCGTAGTGCTCAACGGTCTTCATTAATTGCAGGTTGGCGGCCAGATCCTTCTCGCCCTCGGGCTTCTCACCCTCAAAGTCCATATCCCAGAAGTCAATGTCGAAGTTGGTCTGGGAGTGAACAGTAGCGACGACGACGAAACGTCCCTTGGGAGACCAGTAGATGGCGTTGCTGGTCTTCTTCTCGATGGTGCGCACAACCTTGAAGTTGCCGGCCGAGACACCCTTCTTTTCGGGGGCAAAGAAAGACACGGAGGTCTTGGGGAGAACGGCGGCGCCGCTGGGGGCCTCGCCCGTGGTGATGGCGACGAAACGTCCTCCGTTGGGTTCCCAAGCAAAGTTGATGACTGTATCCTTGAGACTGTCGACGACTTCCACGGGGACACCCTTCTCGCGCACGCGGAAAATCTCCAGGTTGGTGGCCATGGACTTCTTGGACTTGGAGTGACGGTCGACCTTGACACAGACGTAGGTACCTTGCGACTGCCAGTGCAGCTTGACATCCGAGACGTTGAACAGGTTACGCGTACGGACAATCTCCTTCGAGGGAACGCTCATCAAGGCGACACGGGCCGGGTTGCTGCCGATTTCGGGAGTCCAGAAGCAGAGCAGCTGTTCGTACTGCTTGACACCCTCGCGGACGACGGTGGCGGGGGACCACTCGAAGTCCATGACACCATCGATCTTGACGGAAGTCTTGCCCAGCAAGTTCATCCGGGGGAGCTCGTAGATCGAGATCGACTGGTGCTGCTGCATTCTCGCAACGTACTTCTCGTCAGCAGACCACTTGAAAGCGGGCCACTGGACCTTCTTCTTGGGCTCTCCATCACCACCAGGGCCGGCAGTCAGATCGTGGGAGACGAAGGAACGAAGAGGCTTGCCAGTGACGATATCCCAGATGATGATGTTCTTTCCGTCTTCCTCGTAGGTCAGGACCGGGTGGCCCTCCTCAACCTGGATGGGGCGGGCGGACCAGGTGGTCAGGTAGCTCTCACCGGGCGAGAATTCGACCAGCTGAACGAAAGGATGGGGGAACTGCTTCTGCTTCGAGAAGGCGGGACCACCCCAGAGCTGGACACCCTGGGGGTGGACGGAGGCGAGGTAGGTACCCTTGGGGGACCACTGGACGAAAAGCTGCGTCCAGTGCGCGCGATCGACGACGTTCTCCGGGGGATTGCTCTTGTTGTTCCAGAACACACCGACCTTGTCGCCACGGTAGAGGGCGAACTGGTCACGGGCGTTGGCGTCGCCCAGCCATGAGCGGAGGTGCTCCTTCTCCTTGAAGGGTTCGATGGTGGGGGGCTTGTATTCCTCGTCGATGCGTCCTTCACGGCCATAGCGATCGATATCCATCAACTTGTTGACGGCGAGAGTGTGCTTCTTATCGAGGGGTACACCGTGCAGTTGCTTGACGGCAGCGATGGCCTGTTCGGGGGTCTCGTACTCAACGAAGGCGAAACTGAAACGACGTGTTAATGTTTCCACAACCTTTCCCGACCACAATCAGAATTCCTAAGTTGAAACATACCCTTCGGACATGTTCTTGTCGTTGAGGGGCATGAAGACGGCATCTTCCGAGGTGTGGCCGACCGTGTTGAGCTTCCTCAACAAGAACTTGATGAGCTTTTGCCGGCTCTCCTCGGGGACGACCGGAAGTCCATCGATCACAACAAATGTGTCCAAACCCTCCTCAAGCTTCACTTCATACTGCTCCTTGAGATCTGGATGGAGAAAAACGGGCGGAGTCAGCGACGAGGGGCACGGGGGAAATTGGGCGAGAAGAGGATGATGGAACAACAACGCGAGGCGCACTCACCGGAGAAGTCAATCTCCTCCTCCTCCTCTTCGTGGAGGTCCTGCTCAGTCAGGGTGTCGAAACTGGGCGCCATGGTTGCAGTCGCAGCGAACGGCGATATGGGGGGTGAGGGTGGAGAGGGTATGATCTTGAAGATGAAAGATGCTGTTCTGGATTTTCTGCTGGTCGACCCCGATTTGGCTGATTTTAGGGCAAAAGAACAAATCCCAAACCACAAGCGCCTTCTGTGTGCGAAGGCAGCTGAGTCAGGGCTGAGTCATCTCCCCATTGTCTCTGCTTGCTTTCACTTTCGCGCGGTAAAGTGACGGTAAATGACCATTCCCCATGATACCACTAGTAAACTGCCTATTCTTTCTCCAGCTCCACCACGTGATAACGCTTATCTAAGCCACCCGCCCCCAGCTTCTCGCCCGGCTGATTATGTCTTCTGTAACCGACTTGTACAATCGGCTTGGACCAGCCATAACATTTCGCGATCCTCACGCATCGTCCCGCTTTCCGTTGCTGCTGCGGGTGATAGCTGCTGGTCGTTGTGGGCCGGCCATCACGAACTCCTCGTCTATTCGTTTTTGTCTTGTCTAATCCATCTCTCTCCCTGTCCTACTTCCTCCTGGGGCTTTACGTACCTCCTCTCTCTTATGCCCCGCCGGTCCTAAGCGCCAGCGCTACGCCCAGATCTAGACGATCCTCCTCAGTGCACGACCACCGTGAGCTGAATCCCGCTGCTGATAGCCTTGCGAACTCTCAAATTGAGTCCAGTCAGCAATTGACAACATCAAATTCCATTCAGTTGTGTTGTTTCCTGCAGAGGTGCTGCAAAGCAAAGCTAACCGGTCCACCATGTCGCGTAAGTTCGGAAGTCTGATGTTCCCGGTCGATGCTCCACGCCGAGATCGCTCTCAGCTGACATCATGGCTTTTTCTTTTTCTATGCAACAGTATCTCCAGAAGCCCGCGATCAATACATTCCGATCATTGATTCAATTCTCGCCAGAAGTGATTTGACCACCATCTCTTCGAAAACCATTCGCAACGGCCTTCAGGATGAGATCGGCTATGATCTTACCCCGCATAAGGTCTGCGCCCCCGGCCTTTCATTATTGTCGCATATTGCTCTTTGCTCTTTCGATTCGTAGCGGTAGATCTCAAACATAATGCTAATGTTACTTTTATTCATACAGCTTGCCATCAAGCAGCTTATCATGGAGCGATTCGACGTCTGTGCGGCACAAAAGGGCATCCAAACCGCATCCGAGACACCGGCGACCTCTGCTTCCACCACCAATGGCCATGGAAAAGACCACGACTCGGTGACCCCTGTCGAGCCGTCCTCTCCGGCCCAATCTTCCATGTCGCAGAAACGCCAAGCGGAGAGTGAGGAGCACTCGGACACTTCAAGCAAGACTCCTCCTGTTAAGAAGCAGAAGCCCGACAATGACATCGATGCGGATGCCCTGTTCGCGGCCAAACTTCAGGCCGAGGAAAACATGCGTGCGCGCCAAACCCGCGGGGCTAGTACACGCAGAAGCCAGCCCGTGAAGAAGAAGCAGCCTGCCAAGGCAAAGACATCCAAGAAAGTGAAGGCTGAGGACGATTCGGACCTTGAATCGGGCTCGGACTCAGGAAAGAAGGTCAACAGATCTGGCGGGTTTCACGTATGCTGCAAATATTCCCTACTGGAGGTGACTGGTGCTGACGGCTGTCTAGAAACCGCTGACTCTTTCCCCGGCACTTTCGGCTTTGTTGGATGGCGAGGTGACGGTATGACTATTTCTTCCCATTTCCGGTCGGGTAAGAACTACTACTAACATTCGGACAGCTCTCGCGACCGCAGACAGTGAAGCGGCTTTGGCAATACATCCACGAGCATGATCTTCAGGATCCCAATGACCGGCGCCAAATTCGCTGTGACGATGCGATGCGTGCCGTCTTCAAGCAAGATCGCATACACATGTTTACGATGACCAAAATCCTCAGCCAGAATTTGTATAGTCCCGATGAATAACCTTAGGTATCTAGACGCGAACTTATGCCTTCCGGACAAGGCAATCGCAGCGACCAAGTCGTTGCCTTAATGATTCCCCGACTTTTGCTTATTACACAGCATTTGGAACCCAGGCGCTAACTCTCTTGTCATTCTGCTCCAACTTTTTTTTACTTGCTTCTCATATTGATATTTTGCTGCACTTGTTGCTACTCTCATTGGCGAACTGATTGCCCTATCTTTCCTTGTGTTGACCTGCTTTTCTCTCCAGCGGGAGTTGGTGCTGCCTTGTGGACAGGCGCGATGGATGTTGCTACCTAGAGATCGTATTCGCTTATTGATTTGGCTACATACATCGCATCGCGTCATTGCATGATACATTTTCAGTTATCGCACGAGCAGCCGGTACAGTTGTAGCCGAAGGGGCTAGTAATATGCATCCCATGGCTAAGCCGCACAGATGATCTGCCTTGTAGTTGCATGAGCTATAATGAGTCAAAATGAGTCATATCAATAACTGGAACGAATTCCCCAATAGATTAATTACTTAGTTCTCCTATGCCGAGTTAATCGCAGTAATATAAATTTGATAGAACGGGAGCGATGCTCACTAAGCATGCCGCCGAACCAACTTTTTTGCCCGCCGCTCGTAACGTGAAAGCTGGTCCCTCCACTGCAACGCCGGCTTATCACCCCTCCGCCGAAATTCGCTGTCTGGTCGCACAGGCTCACCAAAGCGCGACGCGCTTCCCCTCCCAAGAGAGCAAATTCTGGGCACTGCCCCCCCAAAACATCACCTTTCCTGATCACCTCGAGTAACCGCCCCTCAATCTTTCCACGTTTCCAATGTCCGAATCCCAGCCCGCCCAAGCTCCCGGAGCGCAAGGCCAAGGTCGGGGCGGCCGTCGACGAGGCCGCGGAGGAGGCTTTGGAGCTGCTCGCCAACCAGGACAAACCGATGGTCACCATCACCATTCCCATGATGGCGCTGGAAGGGGTGCGAGATCTAGGGGCCAGGGACCCCGTCGCGGAGGCGGCAGCGGAGGACGGGACAAGCAGGGTCGCTCGGGGAACAAGCCGGAGGCTTCTGCTGCAGGTGGACAGGGTGATACGAATGCTCAGACGGCGTCAGAAGGCAAGGGGAAGCAGCCTGTCACAACAGAAGAGTCCGATGATGCGGATGATGGCGAGGTCTGCTTTATTTGTGCTTCGAAGGTCGACCATACCTCGGTCTCGCCGTGTAATCACCGGACTTGTCATATTTGTGCGCTGAGATTGAGAGCTTTGTACAAGAATAAAGCTTGTGCACACTGTCGGGTATGTGTCTTGTCTGATTGTCTTCTCTGGTCTTCGTTGTGGCTATGCGCTGACATTCGCTTTTGGATTAGACGGAATCCAACTATGTTATCTTCACGGATGACCATGCCAAGCGCTACGAGGATTTCAAGGACTCCGATTTTTCGCAGATGGACGAAAATCTAGGAATCAAGTACGAGAACAACGACATCTTTGAAGATACAGTGTTGTTGTTGCGGTACAATTGCCCGGATAGAGGCTGTGATGTGGCTTGCTTGGGATGGCCTGACCTGCATCGTCACGTCAAAAGCAAGCATGGCAGAGTGATGTGGTAAGTTCCTTCTACCGTTGGATGCGATGAGCTGTGTAGGCGCATACTGACTTCAATGTCCCAGTGATCTTTGCACACGAAACAAGAAAGTGTTCACGCACGAGCATGAGCTCTTCACCAATGCAGAGTTGCGCAAGCACGAGAGGCATGGAGATGATGTGCCTGGTGCCATAGACCAGAGTGGGTTCAGAGGCCATCCTGAGTGTGGTTTCTGTCGGCAACGGTTCTATGGTGACGACGAATTATACGCACATTGTCGTGACCGTCACGAAAGATGCCACATTTGTGACCGTCGCTCCAGCGGCCGCCAGCAACAGTACTACATCGACTACAACGCTCTCGAAGACCACTTCCAGAAAGATCACTTCCTGTGCCTCGACCAGGAGTGTCTGGAGAAGAAGTTCGTCGTCTTCGAGTCCCAGATGGACCTCAAGGCACATCAACTTGAATGCCATCCCAACGGCCTTTCTAAGGACGCCAGACGCGACGCTCGCACTGTTGACCTGTCATCCTTTGATATCAGAACTCCTTACCAGCCTCAGCGCCAGCGTCGAGGTGCTGGTCGTGGACGCGATCCTAACGCGGAGCCTCTACCGGTGTCCAGCGCTCAGCCACTGCGAAGAGACGAGATTGCGTATCAACGCCAGATGGCCATCCAAAGTGCACAGTCCGTGTCTACCCGCAGCTTCGGCGGCCAACTAACACGCAACGATACTCAGCCTGTGCGTGCTCCGGCTCGTCCAACGCCCACACAGACCCCTCCCGCAGCCACGCCAGTTGCCGAGATGGAAGACCTCAACCTCAGTGCCGATTCGGGTACTCCTCAAGAAAAAGCCCGCCGTCTCCGCCATGCGGCTGTCGTCGAAAGAGCCTCGAACCTCCTAGGCAACGACCAGAACAAGCTCAAGGAATTCCGTGCCCGGGTTTCCAGCTACCGCACCACCTCAATCTCCGCCACAGAACTCATCGACGCCTTCTTTTCGCTCTTTGATACCTCCAGCACCGAACTGGGCAAACTCATCAAAGAACTCGCCGAGATCTACGAAGACGAAGGCAAGCGCAACGCCCTCCTCAAGGCCTGGAATGACTGGCGTGCCATCAATGAAGACTACCCAGCTCTGCCCGGCCCCGGCGGCATGCTTCCCGGTATGTCCCCAGGAACCGTGAACGGCAGCGGAGTGGGAGGAAAGCGTGTCCTGCGCCTCAAATCCTCAACAGCCCAGTCCTCCCGTTCCTACGTTGGCAGAAGCGGTGCTATGCCTTCATCATCCTCCTCTTCCTCAGCCGCTAACCCCTTCCCCCCTCTCTCCTCGACCACCGCCCGCTCTACCCCCCGATCTTCCACCCCCGCCGCCACTACTCCCTGGGGCGCCGCCGCGGCCGCAGCTCCCTCAGCCCCGACCTCTGCCTTCAGCAGCGCCACCTCTTCCCGCTCCGCCTCGCGCGCCCCGGCGCGCCCAGTCAACGCCAACAGCGCCGAAGCCTTCCCTGCTCTCCCTGCTGCGCCTAAGCCCAACGTCCTCATGGCAGGTCTGACTCGCGGCACCGTCCGCTGGGACGACCGTCACAAGCCATCCGGGAATGCCTGGGCCTCTCGGAACGACCCCGGCGCTAGCTCGTCCAATGCAGAGGATGATTTCCCCGAGTTCCCTGCAGGAGGCAAGAAGGGCAAGAACAAGAAGGGGAAGCAGACTCTGTTCCATTTCGGATAATGATGATACATACCACACCACTATACTGTTCTTTTCTTCTCTTCTTTTCTTTCACTTCACACATACGAAAGTGGGTTTGTGTCTATGCATCGTCGGTCCGGGTCCTACGTTTGTTGATGATGTTGTTGCTTGTTCAGCTTGTATTTGAGCGAAAAATGTTTGTTACTTCTAGAGTTGCTTGCGTGAGGTAAATAAAAGCTAGTGGGCTGGTTTTTCTTTCCGTTGGTGCAGGGGGGTGAATGGAAATAAGTACATTTCAGTCTGGGGTTGGAATATGGGGGTGTAAAACAAATGCAACACAATACTGTTAAAGTCATACACTATGTGGTAGAGATGAACGGATCAGGATTCATCATCCATAGAGGAAATGGTATTCTGCTCGTCAGTGGAATCCTCATTATTCTCAGAACGTGACATGGCGAGTCCAGCTACAGGCCCTTCGGAGACGTCCGAGGGAGGAGCGAATAGTCGTGATATACAATCATTAGGACTTTCGAGAAGGACTTCTGACTCAGGAATTCCAAGCTGACCTTCAGCAGTTTGCACCAGGGTTTCACCCAGTTCAGAGCTATGATGGACCTCAGGGCCCTCATCATCGAAAAGAAGGTTCCTGGTAGAACTAGTGTCCTCATACACTTCCCTGGGCACAGGTGCGTCTTCGTCGCTGGCACATGCCGCGTCCTCGTCGATAGCAGCCATACCCAGAGCAAAGTCATCCTGGAGCCGCTTCAACCATTTCCGAAGGGCTTCGCCTTCCATAGTTCCATTACGGACTAGAAGGAGTTGTTCTTTCAGCGAGAGGATCAGATTCCGTCTACGAGTCACCGCCAAGGCTCTGGACCTGCTATGTCGGCGTTTAGCGAGCTGATTGAGTTTCTCTGATACCTGCTGTGCGGTTTCGAGAACACCTGGGGGAAGGTCGACGAGCTTGGCCAGAGCGAGGCCGTAGAATTGATTCGTATCGATGCCTTCGGCTATCTTGTAGAGCATGGTCATTTTCGAAGCATCCGGGGATACTTCTGCCGTGAGATGGAGGCTCACGACGCCATTGCGCTCGCCCATTATTAAGGCGAGGTCTCGGAAATGGGTCACAAACCAGACAAGCGCGTGGCTTTCTACGAGTGCTTCCGCGATGGCGATGGCTATGGCCAGGCCGTCTGTTGTGCTGGTGCCGCGCCCTAGTTCGTCGACGATGACCATGCTGCGCGGTTCGATGTTGCGGAGGATGAAGGCCATTTCGCGCATTTCGGCGGCAAAGGTCGAAATATTTGCTTCGAGGTCGTCGGACGTGGAGACTCGTGCGAATAGCTGGTGGACGATGGGGAATGATGCATATTCTGCTGGGACGAAACAGCCGATTTGCGCCATTACGGTCATCAGCGCTAGGGCGCGGATGTAAGTGGATTTGCCGCTCATGTTGCAACCTGTGATGATCTGGAAGCGAGACTGTTGCGTTGCGTAGGCATCATTGGGGATGAACTTCTTCGTGTGTATCTTCTCGCGGATCGGATGACGTCCGGATTTGATTGCGAGGGTATCTGTCAGTTCAGGCCGGATGTAGTCGTGTGATGTCGCTAATTGGGCGAACGCTGCTAGGATGTCAAGAATAGCAATGGCTTCGCTTACTTTGAAGAGTCCTGAGATCTCTGAGCAGATGCTGTGAATCAGTCCCTGCACCGTTTCGTCGCTCATATTGATGACTTCATTGTGTGCATCTGTGATCTTCTGATTGAGCTTAACGAGATCGAGCGTTTGACACTCTATACGGTTCTTCTTGCGAAAGACGTTGATGAAGACATCTGGCAAGGATTCTACTGTTGTAGCCGAGAGACTAATGTAGTATTGGCGAGCTCTGTCGAACTTCAAGTCGAGGGCTATACTGTATGTTTCTACTACTATCAGCTACGAGCAGTTTCTATGCTCCAATGTACTAACCTGCTAGCTCTGCTACGAGATCCGCGGCATCTGTATTAGCTTCTTTGTATGTTTGTCTCGCGACGTCGAGGAGGCTGTTCACACCAGCCTAGAGTAATCTATGTCAGGCATGCAGGCGAACTTGCACATGTGGCTTACCCGGACACAGTAAATGCGCTGGTTCCTGAGATCAAGTGGCCGGGTTTGGTATGTGACATGCTCGTTGAGAGTCTCTTCAATCATCTGCTGAACAGCCCGGTGGCCTGCTGGGGCACATAGCTGTATAGTGGTTAGCTACCTCAGGACAATAACAACATACAGCTACCTCTCTTATGGTTGTTAGAAGACTGCTTTGAGCTGCCATCAGTGCCTTGTAAACTGACTTAATTGATCCCACGTATGTCTTGACCATGATGACATTGTTGACAGACTGCTCAGCGTATTGTAAGGCTCGTTTATTGGGCACAAGGATAAGCTGGATTATCAGTAAGCTATCAGGAATGTTAGTTCTCCACTTACACAAGTAAGAACTTTATCCGCATCAACAAAGCCTTTCAGAGCTAATATTTGGTATGGTTAGACTACAGTCATATATAGCAGGATTCTAAACGTACCTTGTCTCACTGAGACAAACATGTCCTCCTTTGTAGACAAATCCTCAACAGCATCGTATCGTGCTTGTAGCTTTAAATCCTCGGTCGATGGCTGAAGAATGTTGGCTCTGAGAAGCCTTGCACCCATAGGTGTCAGAGTCTCGTTGAGAAGTCCGTACAGGCTATCCTTTGATTTCGCATTGTGTATATTTTGGACCAACTCCAAGGAGACAATGGTGGATAGATCAATGGACATGGACCCCTGTGATGGCTCGAACCTGATTCGAAGCGAGTGGCAGGTGAAGGTTCTGTTTAGCTCCAGCTCGACATACTTTAAGACCTACAGAAATTAGTCGTGTCGGCCAGACGGTTGTGGTGCTTACCGCAGCAAAGCAGCAGGCAGCATAATAGTTCCCTCCCAGGATGATTTTGATGGGCTCAACATCCCCAGAAAAGGCGAGCCGGTCTACATAGTCATGGCCAGCTCTCTCCGACCAGAACTTGCGGTCTAAAAAGGTAAATGTAGTATCTTGGATATTCTCCTGTATGATGTAGAACAGCTTGGATCTTTTGGCAGAGGTTGCGAACAGAATCTCGGTCGGTTCGAATACCCCGATCTTTGTGACAGTTTTGACGTACGTCTGACTATCGCATATCTGACACAGCACTGTCTCTGCAGTGGATAGATTGACAAAAGCAAGGCCAACCGTCGAAGAGATACCCCTAGACTCACTAACGGCACAGATGATGTCCTGAGAAGCAACGCTTGTTGCTGTTGTCGTCGGCCTCGGCGTTGTTCTGGGGAATGTGCTGGTTCTGAAAAAGGGTGCAACAGAACTAGCAGCCCCAATAGAGGAGCTTCGAGCAAATGAAACCGACATTCTGCGTTTCGCATGATTTACCAACTGAGGAGGAGAGCGTTTTTCCATTGATGCAGGATATAGTTAGAGCTGCCGTCCGGAAGCGGACTAGTGGCGATAGACTCCCCGCGATAGCGACGGCTATCTTTTATCTTTTTTTCGGCGAAAATCTTCAACGACAAAATCATCCAACAAAGAGCGACACAATGGCGACTCTTCTACCTCCCCCGTCGAAGCGTCAGAGGACAGAGAATGCTGAGCGGGCCCGCCTGCAGCAGGAGATCCAGAGTATCCCAGAGAACCTGGGTAGCATTCGTGTGCAATTCTTCGACCAGGCGACGGGATCTGCGACCGGGCCGGCGGTGTCCGTTCCAGTTGCTGATGCCAGTGTGAAGAATCTCGAGACTCTATTGAATACGTTACAAGGCAATGTAGGTATGCAGCAAGGCATTGTTCAGCATATACCAGAGACTAATAGATTTTTCTTTTGCGCCGCAGGAAGAAGATGAGCGAGTACCATACCGGTTCACATACCAATCCGATGGCAAAGAAAAAAACGACCAGACAATCGATATCCTCTCTGACTTGTACCACTCCCTCTTGAAGCCCGGCCTGAAGACAACCGAAGATACTGTACATCTCTACTTCACTCCCCAGGCTGTGTTCCGCGTCAAAGCCGTCTCACGATGCTCTGCTGCGATCGCCGGACACGGCGAGGCAATTCTTGCGACCAGCTTCTCCCCTGTTAACTCGTCCACAATGGTTACCGGCAGCGGTGACTCTACAGCTCGCATCTGGGATTGCGACACTGGAACTCCTCTGCACACTCTGAAGGGACATACCAGCTGGGTGCTGGCGGTCAGCTACTCGCCTAACGGCGCAATGATTGCGACGGGAAGCATGGACAACACCGTGCGCTTCTGGGACGCAAAGAAGGGAACCCCATTGGGCGCGCCCTTGAAGGGACACGCCAAATGGATCACCAGTCTGGCCTGGGAACCATACCATCTTCAGCAGCCCGGCCGGCCGCGCCTTGCGTCCGCATCCAAGGACTCGACAGTCCGCATATGGGACGTGGTCTCGAAACGCATCGACACCGTTCTCACCGGGCACAAGGGCTCCGTGACCTGCGTTCGCTGGGGCGGAACCGGGAACATCTACACTGCTTCTCACGACAAGACCATAAAGGTATGGAATGCTCAGAACGGTACCCTTATCCAGACCCTTTCTGCGCACGCCCACCGCGTCAACCACCTGGCCCTGTCTACCGACTTTGTCCTCCGCACTGCGTACCACGACCACACCGGCAAGGTGCCGCAGGCCGATGCCGAGAAGATCGCGGCGGCCAAGCAGCGATTCGAGCAGGCGGCGACCATCAACAACAAGATCGTCGAGAAGCTAGTGTCAGCGAGTGACGACTTCACTATGTACTTGTGGGAGCCGGTTAATTCGAGTAAGCCAATTGCGCGACTGCTGGGACACCAGAAGGAGGTGAACCATGTGACGTTCTCGCCGGACATGGCGTACATTGCGTCCGCGGGATTCGACAACCATGTTAAGCTGTGGAACGCTCGTGACGGGAAGTGAGTTTTACCACAGCTTCAGAATATGACATACAAGTACTAATGGACAATAGGTTCATCACAACACTCCGCGGCCACGTGGGCGCCGTGTACCAGTGTTGCTTCTCGGCTGATTCCCGGCTGCTGGTCTCATCGTCCAAGGACACGACGCTGAAGGTATGGAATGTGCGGACGGGCAAGTTGCAAGAGGATCTGCCGGGCCACAAGGACGAGGTGTTTGCAGTAGATTGGAGTCCGGATGGACAGAAGGTGGGAAGTGGCGGGAAAGACAAGGCGGTGCGGATATGGAGGAATTAGATACCACACAGCCTTTCAAGTTATCAAACTTCGTACTATACTAGTATACTACTATAGAACGCATGACACTGTTATGACTGACAATATCATAATAACAACAACAACACCAACTATACTGCCCACCAAACTAAATCTTACAACTAATGAACTCCAAATCAAAAATATCAACAATCATTGATCACATTAACATACATATACAAAACACTCATTAATAAAACCAAATGAACACAACCACTATACTACCAACCCACTTCATCTATAACTACTTTAGTATCTTTTCCTCGACCAACCATCCCCACCAAAACTAACCCCGCCCCGAAAAGGTAGTACTAAGTAGTTTAGATATACTCCCAAGCAGCGACAGAACCATTGGTAGCCACAGCGAGGGCATCAAAGCCCAAGCAATCAGCGACATTGCCACTGGGCACGGTAGCATTCTTAGTAGCAGCAAACACCTGCCACTTGTTACCCTGGTCAGGGCAAGCCATGAAGCCCGTAGCACCGGCACCGGTGAAAGTCCAGCTGCCGAAGGGCTTGCCGGGGGTGTACTTGAAGGGGCCGGTGGACGAGCCAGCGGGGATGTAGGCCGAGTGGGGGACGGTGAAGGTCAGGGCGCCGCTGGGAGCGACGTAGACTTGCTGGCCGCCGGGGACTTCGACGTCCTATTTCATTATTTCATTAGTATATGGGGGTCTTGTGTGGTTTTGATAGGGGAGAAGAGGGTATGGGAAAGGTAATATGGTTATGGTTATGGTATGGGGGGTTTATGGTATGGGAACTCACCAAAGCAGAGCCATCACCAGCAAACACGGTCTCAGTACCAGGAGGGCAGCCGGAAGAGATCGGGCAGTAAGAAGAGGTGTTTCCACCCAGGTAGAAACCGCCGCTGTTGGCGTTCAAGGGGAGAAGGTGGATGGGAGAGCCGGAGCGGGCGGACATGATGCCGAAGGTAGAGGGAGTGGTGGCATTGGTAGTATCACGCTGCTGGGCGGGGGCAGCGGCGGCCAGGAGGGGGAGAAGAGTAGAGGCGAGAGTGAACTTCATTTTGATGGTATTAGAAAGTTTTGATTATAATATATAGTGATAGGTGTGGTGGTATGGTGTGGAAAGGTATCAAGTTGTTTTGTTTGAAAACGAATGTCTTTGGAGTACTGAAGGGGAAGAGAAGGAGGACCCTTAGGCTGTATTTATATCCTTCGATGATCAGACTATGAGATCAACCCGTTACTATTAGGGAAAGAAACTAAGTGGAGAGAGAGCTCGAAAAGAAAGAGTGAGAGTGGCCAGTCGAGCAAGGGCCTCCATCACAAGAAACATAACGAGGGCACTACGGTGCACTATGGATAGCAACAGACAAAACATCGCCTCCGGCATCCATCTCAACCCTGCCACAGCAGAAAACGCAGGGAAGCGGCACGAGCCGTCAGAGAATAATAGAGCCTAAACCTATCAGAAGAGGCCTCCCACTTACTATCTACTAGCCCAGCACACTAAAGTGAAACCGCATGGAGACGAAGACCCTCACCAGCCGTGCAGAGTGGCTCAATTGAAGGAAAAAACTGGGGAACCCATGAGCTCATGACGTGCCGGTTAAACGACCTGTCTCAGTTGTTGCTCCGAGACACGGCAAGGGAAGAAGAAGAAGGAAAAGGGAAAAAAGATTGATGCCCGTTGGCGACCGTTTAATTATAGAACGACGATCATCTCCAATCAATACCAAGAAGTTTAGGGAAAACAGGGTCCGTCCAGCAGACTAGCACCTTACTATGTAGTCAGGGTTCCCGGTTCCCGAATATCCGATGCCCCAATCTAACTCTTTTCTCACTTGCTCTTTTTTTGGTCGGTCGGACAAGCCCGATTTACCTAGACCATCCCTTACGAAGGTTTTTGCTGAAGACTGAGCTTCGAGCGCCTTTTTCCGACGCCCGCCACCTTTCCCATGGAAGCTGGTGGCCGATCGACGTCATCGTCGACGTTGCGCACCGCCACAGTCAATACGAGCTGCAGAGGCGACCATGTCTCGGTGGAACGATGGTTCGTCCGGACGAAGCAACTGCGCGTGTCCGAACAGAACTTTAACCTAGTCCAGAGGGTTGATAGACCGCGAAAGAGCACAAAGGAATGGATTACTGCTATCAGGCTATCATTCATACATTCTCCTAGGGTAATGCAATACAGTACAGTCCCCCATAAGATGAGCATTTTCGCCTCTAACCGTTGTGCGCGGGACCGTAGGACCAGGCGCGAAAACCATCACTTCGTATAAAGCAAGTCACACGAATCGAAAGCAAGGAAGCATTAATCAAATATCACGTAGCAAGGAGAAATGAACCAGGAGAACCCGAAGAACCCTGTGACACCGGCCCAGATAGTAACAATACACCCCCATACCGTTTGAAAGAGCCCATCACCAACACCGCAGAACCAAACCCCGCGTCCAACCTTGACCCGTATATATATAAACCGCGTGAGCAAAAAAAGCAACCAAAAACACAAAACATCGCCCATTGGTATCCCGAATTAGCAAACAACCTTGGTTTAGTCGTAATCGTCCCCGGCATCGTCTCCGTCGCTGTGACGCCCGCGAGATCCCTTTACTCCGTCCTTGCGGATGGGAATCTTGATCCCCTGGAGGGCAAAGCATTTGCTCAACGGTGTGCTCTCTATGACACCGGGGAACTTCTTGGCCGAAAATACGTGGAATGGCTCGGAGAACACCGAGGCCAGTACTGGCGCAGAGCCGTGGTTGATCACGGAGACCCCGTTGGGGGAATCGCCGGACTGGCTGCCCACATTCACAAAGCTCATTTTGAGACTGCACGCGAAATCAGTTACATCAATCAGATCGTGATCAGCTCAAAAATCTGCACTTACCGGAAAGAGCCCTCTGTGCGGACACTCAGGTCCTGCAGGATAAACCACACTCCGATCTTGTTTTCCGGGTCGGTCAAGCGAAACGCGCTGGCGCTGAGGCTGCCGATGAGGTTCCGCGTGAACATGCCGCCAGGGCCAGAGGCCACAGGCTGCGCCGGGGAAATGTTGGTGGGCGGCATGTGACCGCCGGCATAGTAAGGCTGATAATAGGGTGCTTGTGGATTCGCTCCATACGGGTTTTGATACTGTAGTTGGGGGTTGCCACCGTAGTAGTTGTTCATCTGAGGGTATCCAACAGGCTGACCGTAGGCATTTTGCGCGTAGGGCGGGTAGGAAGGCGAGACACTATGCGGCGGAGGGGGGTATGAGGAGGACATGGCCGTCGATATCGATGGAGAAGTGGCGGAGTGCTTGACGAGGTTTACCTCGCTGGTCCCTTCCGCGTTCCACAGATCGACCATGAGCACGTAGAAAGACGTGTCGATCTCACTAGAATGGCCGGTCAGCATCTATCGTCGGCAGAGCGGAATACGGTGCCGTCATACTTAATGTCAATCTCCTTTTCAGTTTGGGCATCTCGGACAACCAGGCGAATGCAGGGAGGAGGTGTAATGGGTCGGCGATCCTGAGCTACAGTCAGCTACCCATCGAAAAGGTGGGAAGAAAAGAGCGGTTCAAGACAGCACAGCAAGACCTACCTTATCGCCGAAGCCACACATCCGGGCGCGAACCGGCTGCTGAACCACCTGCAAAGACCAAATGCGATTTTCATGGACGGTGGAAAGCGGCGCTAGATGGCTCGACGGCGGTAACCCGCCGGCAGACGCGACGCCTGCAGAGCCCGGAGTGGGGTATGAGGAGGATGGGGGAGGGATACGATCCATCGAGAGCGGCGGCGGGGGAGGCGGTGCGGTATGTGTGCGATCGTCCAGAGCGTACATGACGCTCATCACGTTTTGGAAGAAGGTGAAAGTCGAGGAAGTGGTGGCGGGGTGAATGCCCGAAACTGCTGCAGCAAGACTCGCGACAGGCAAACCCAATCTATCACGAGTCTAGATCGGGCAACGACACAGGCTCCTATGGCAGTCTTGCAAAAAGGAACCGGATGAATTAACACGCGTCGTTTGGAGGATGGTGCACAGTTGTAGACGTGAAGCTCGAGAAGTGAGGATTGAACTCTGGGTAAGGCGCAGCGACGAGCTGTCAAAATGCGGGAGAATCGCTGAGCCTTCCACGGATCGGCCGCAGGACCACAGGTTCCCCAACGATGACCGCTTTATCCTGGGAGGTAGCACAAGGACAGGAACCCGCAGGGCTAAATGATTGGCGGCTTTGAAGCTGCGAGCCAACCCGAAGCTGGAAGAAGACAGAACAGAGGATAGACTGGAGGAGGAGGAAGAGAAGCCAAAAAAAAAAAAGGGCGGGGTTGCGAAAGAGGGCAGGCTGAACGTGAAGAGGGAAGACGGAGAGTTGGTGCGGACAGCAGAAAAGATTGGAGCAGCCGAGGAGGGGACGAAAGCAGAAGGTGAGCGAGTCACGGGCAGCTCTCGAGGTCCAGAACCTTAAGTTTGGGAGGAGATGAGCTCATTTGCGGTTTCTACTTAAGTTACTGTGTATTACATCTCGATATTCCTACGGGCGCTGGTCCTTTCGATTCCATATAATCGAATCTGATAGACGATGTACTATTCTACTATATCCAGGGAAGCAAGATATTCTAATCTCAAAGTATGGAGTCAGTCATCTGTTGCTGGAAGGATTTCCATAGAACGCGGATTGAAGGAAAAAGGAAAGCCAGTCCACGGGTCCCGGGGGAAGGAGGTTAGAGAGGGAGCCAGCAGTCCCAAGCAATCCCCAGCAGCCCCGGCAGTCACTAAGATTGGGGGGCAGAAGGATTGGGGCTAATGGGCTTAGCTGGCTCTTTTCCCTCTTTCCTCCCTGGGTCGTAGCGTCACGGATCAGGAGGCGATCAACCCGGCGCAGGAACCTCGCGACCCAGACGGTCGGGTTCAGCAACTGCTTTTTTGGCCCAGCAACTCCCGCTGGATTTTTCCGCACCGGTCCTTTGTTTGCTATTTACCTTTCTTTTTTTGTGTGATCCATCCATCTATTCTCCTCCCCCCCCAAGTTTTCCTTTTAATTGCTGTTTATTTTTCCTGACTCTCCTTTGTCTGTATTCCTGCCAATAAAGCGAGGGGGTAAAAAAGAATAAAAAAGAAAAATCAAAAATTAAAAAATGTTTCCCATTCATCTCGTCACCATCACGGCTGGACCCCATCAACCCAGTTCAGCTTATGTTCCATCCATCCATCCATCCACCTCTCCGAACTTCTATTTACATTTTCATGCAGCAGGCCTTTGCTGTCACCGCAGGAGTGGGTCGAGCACATAAATGCAACGAAAAAGAGATGCAGCCAGCTGGAGTCTCCTATACAGGGATTGGCCAACTACGGCAACCCACCCCGGCCAAGGTGTGCATAGTTGTGGAGCATTTGCTCATAATTCAACCAATCCACTGCATGGATCCCTAGTATTGGGTCGGATTGAAGGCTGTGGTCGCCGTTCCAGGTTTAGGCGGCAGGTAATCAAACTCCAACCGTTCCGTTTTCAGTCAAGACGGACCCCATCGGCAAGGAAAAATCCCTCCGGTGCACCATCCACTTTGTGCCGCCGGGAGCTGAAGTGTGTAAGACTTCCGATCTCTTTTTCCCTCTGGAGACTTTACCTTCAACCAATAATCGATTTAGATCTCACTTATCTTACATTCCCTGACTCAGGGGAGGTGGGATGGTGATTGGAGGGGATAGCAGACCAATCGCCCGTAGACGGATGATCACCGTGGCTGTTGCACCAATGCGCTGCCGGAGAAATTGGGAAAAAAAGGCCCTCGCTAAGTCAGTAGTCTAAATAAAAATCCAACAATTCCATCGGGCGCGGGCACCACCGGTGGATCGGTAAATAGGCGCTGCATTGGTACCCGGCCACTTGCCACTACGTACACTCACTGCTCTTACTGTATGGGGATGCGGTTGATTTATCCGCAGTACTGCCGGCCGGTCATGCTCCGTCTCGCTTGCATCGCATGTTTTGTGAGCAATTACAAATACTCGGATCGAGTGAGATACTACACATAGAAGAGAGTCATGGCCACCGCGAATTTTCACAATTTTATGAACATTTGGGCATAAGTGATTAGACCCAGAAGGTCTCCAAATTTTCTGTGGTTTAAACCACACTGAGTACGGAGTACACAGTAGAGTAATGAACATTTGAATATTACTTCTTGATCATCAAAACCAGTTTTCGCGCACAGGCGCATTGCTCAATCAAACAGTTAAAAGTCACCTGCAAGAGAATCCATAGAAGGCAGGCATCTGGAAGATCGTTACGCCTTACCCGTGTGACACATGGTAACACTAACAACTACTAATTAACTCAACTATATGCATGTACTTTCCTGGAGGGACAGCCTGTCATCGTCCCCTTCTGCCCGGATCTGCATAAGCTCTCACCTAAATAGAAACTCAAATAGCGACTACGAAGATCAGACCCTCTTTGACTGATGGCATCAACCGGTTTGTCGGACATGGTTACACCGTGACTAAGAATGAAGTCACTGACTCCTGCAACGCGATGGATTCAGCAACAAGGAATGTCCATGCCGGTCTGCAGCTATCCGATGGTCCCTGATGAAATTGTCCAGTATGTGGTATGCCCTTCGGTCGCTTCATTATACCCATATTCCGTATACATTCCCTGGTGGTGTCACAGGCAAGGGATCGTATGTATCCAGGGCTGGGGCCAGACCAATCCTGCGGTGACAAAGGTCCCCCGAAACTCCCCCAAGTCTGATACCAAGGGATTGTAGCCACATTCAGGCGGTTCCATGGTGGTAATTACTTGGCTTCATCAGCAGTGCCAGGGGGCTCCATTGTTGCGCAAGGATGAAAGGGCGTCAACAGGAGCTACAGTTCGTCGTCCAACCCTCTGAAAGGAAGGCGGACGATAAAGCTGCGGGATAAGCTTTGGTGCTAACGAGAGTCTGCAGGGATGCTATCTCACAAACTTAAGCATAACAGAGGATCACACGTGCCCGCGTGCCGGTGCAGAAGACAAGGTTTTCTTCTGAGAAAGAACCTCGGCAGAATGCGCCTGTAGGTGGCTCCTCTGCAGCTCAGTCACTAACCGACCATATCTTGCCCTGAATGTGTCCCTGGGCCTCTTTGAATGCAGCCCTGGGCCTTTCAAGAAGATTTATCTCCCGCATGTCTTTTCCGAGGATGGGTAGATCGTGGATTCAGGGACGACCCAACGATGAACCCGACCCGGGAGCCCCACGATCAGCCATGGAAAACCATCTCAAGGGTCTGCCAAATCGCGAGGGAAAACTCGGCAGAGGAAGTGTACTTCACCGAGTGGCCTGGCCTGGAAACAGGATTGAAGCTGGGTTGTGAACATCTGGAATGCGGGGGTAGTGACCATTGATTGAAGAATGTGAGAGCCCGGGGCCGGCCTAGAACGAGCCGAGGACGGCGACAACCTGACAAGAAACGTCGAGGATGATCTACGATCTGAAAGATTCGATCTGCCGGGCCCGTCTCAAGGCTGAATAATGGGATTCATGACCCAGGGGTAAGTTCTAGGTCCGGGGCCGCGATTGGTCGCCGCCTGGCTGGGCAGCTGCTTTTACATCCCGAACTATGGACGAGAACGAATAGCCATACTTGCTACCAGTTCCTCCATCACTCTTTTGCTAGATACCAAGCCTATCAGAACGACAAATATTGTGACCCACTGTTTCCAGCAAAAGTATGTACCTGAATCAAATTGTGATGATGATGGGGACGGGGTACTTGAATGCCGTATGCCCTGGAGGCTCAGCGTGCTGCCACAGGTGAGCGGCGACATTATTGTGTAACACATACACCATCTCTTTCTGCCTCTCTTCCTGCAGACCATGAGCTGCTTTGGGGTTTCATGTCTCCAATGGGTCTGGGGATGCGCTCTTCTGCAAATCGTCGTGTCTGCCTCCTTTGCTCCCATCCTGCCTCCAGCTTACCCCCTTGCTGTTCGCAGCCCCTATCTGTCTTGTTAGTCTACCTCTGCTCTGGACTACAGTCCTGATTCGCATTGCATTCAATGTGTAGAATCAATCGTATACTGACGTATACAGCTTGGCTTCCCGGAAATCAGGCCTCTAGTCTTCCTTCTAGCTCTCCTCAATTTTGGTTTGGAAATAACCTCACATGGTCTGTCATTGCTCGCGTAGATGGACAGGCATACAGTCTTTTCGGAGTCTCCAAGAAGTTGGAAGGCATCGAGGCTGCTACTGTCAGAGATGGCAATTTCACCTCGACGCACAGCACTTTTCTGCTGACAGCCGGGTCGAAGAATTTCACCCTCGACTTCTTTTCGCCTGTCTCCCCGACAAACTATCTACGCCAGTCACTGCCCTTTTCATATCTCACAATATCAGTTAGTGGGATATCAAGCAATGACTCCGTTCAGATCTACTCAGACATCGATTCGTCCTGGACCGGTCAACCGAAGAACGCGACTTGGGCTTTCTCAGAAATTAACAGTACCTCGGTGTTTCAGCTGAGTCCTATGGAAGAGGCCTTGTTTTCGCAAAATGCTCAAGAACAAGCGCTTTGGGGTGAGACGGTTTACGCCACGCGGGCTCCAAATGGAAGCGTCCTTTCTTCTGCTTCGGGGCCGTTATCTGCTATGCGTTCTCAGTTTGTGGCCAATGGATCTCTGAGCAACTCATACGCAAATTGGACATCTGATGGTGTTGTAGCATTTGCGCATGAGTTGGGATCTAGTGCAAAGAATAGTTCAATCACTTTCGCGATAGGCCATGTGCGCGAGCAGACCATTGATTACCTCGGTAGTACGCAAACTGGATACTACCGAGCAGATTATCCAAATACTGCGTCCGCCGTCTCACATTTCCTTGATGATTACTTGGATGCACTAAATGAGTCGATCAATATGGACAAATTCATTCAGAAGGGTGGAGAGTCATCATATGGCACCAACTACTCCGATATACTTGCACTGTCTCTTCGCCAAATCTACGGTGGCATGGAACTCACAATCCCGAATGATACATTAGACACCAACGACACCATGGCCTTCATCAAAGAGATCTCCAGTGATGGCAACATCAACACCGTCGATGTCATCTACGCATCATTCCCGGTCTTCTACGTCCTCAACTCCGACTACATCCGACTCCTCCTGAAACCCGTTTTCGAGTACATGGCCAAAACCAACTACACCTACGACTTTGCCGTACACGACATCGGAATGGACTACCCAAACGCCACCGGCCACAGCCCCAAGGGCGAGTTCATGCCCGTCGAAGAAAGCGGAAACATCCTCATCATGACCTACGCCTACGAAAGCGCAACCAACAGGACCAACATCACAAGCACATACTCTCCCCTTCTGCAAAAATACGCACAATACCTCAACACCTACGGCAAATATCCCGACGCACAACTCTCCCTCAACGACGCCCTAGGCAAGATCGCCAACCAAACCAACCTCGCGATGAAAGCAGCCAGCGGCCTAGCCTCCTACGGCCACCTGACCTCGCAGCAAAACTACACCGACGCAGGCAAATCCATCGCCGACGCCCTCTATAACGGCCGGCTAGGCACAGACCCCAACGGCACCTATTTCACGATTCAGTACGGAAGCGACTCCTGGTTCCTCGCTTACAACCACTACGCGGACGTCCTATTCTCCCTGGACCTCTTCCCGGACGAAGCCTACAATGCCACCACCGCCTTCTACCCTACCGTCCGCAAACCAGCCGGCGTAGCCCTCGACGCTAACCTCGACTGGGGCCAAACCAACTGGCAGGGGTTCGTAGCGGCAACAGTCACCGACGAAGCAAGAGGCATGTTCATCTCCGATATCCATGCCTACATCGCTAATGGACTCAACGATGTACCCTTCTCGGACCGGTACTGGGTAAACGATAGCACTACTGGTGAGGCTGGTGAGTACTTTGCTTTCCGGGCAAGGCCGGCGCTGGGGAGTCACTTTGCGTTGATGGCATTGCAGGGGGCGGATCAGTGGGGTGGGTTGCTTGCTTGATGGGGTTTGCATATATATTGCATTCTGCGTGCATTTGTACATAGTTTTAATTGAGATTAGATTTGCAGTGAGAGAGAGAATAGATCCATGCATCATCCCTAACTTGTTCAGTTGTGATGAGTAAATTTAACATCATCTGCATCCCCTGCGACTTATATTGAATGATAAATTGTACTTTGATAGGGATAGTGTTACACATAACACCCACAATCAGAGACAGAAATGGTAGTAGACCAGTATGCACAACACAACGTAAGTACTCTCTTGGTATTTACTATTCCAGATATCGAATATATATATATATATACATATCTCAGCCAAATATCAAATAAACATTCAATGAAAACATAATACTAACTAGTACAACGTGGGTTTAGTATTTATCCTTTTTAAATGACATAGAAAGCCAACTACTACTAGGTTGACTGGTAATGATATCATTATCAAGAAGAGTTTGAGATTAGCTAAGTAATAATTTTATATATCATGTATGAAACATCTGTAATGGTAATGTTTCTATATAATTATACTACTTACGGTATTCGAATGGTAGTTTGGATTAAGTAGTCTGTGATTACTTATATATATATTTACTGATTGTCTACGATAATCTCCTACCATCATACTGCTAGTAGTTACTATTACTAACTCTTGGGCTACACTAGTATGCAGACAATAGTGAGATCTTCTGCAGTTGTACTAAAAAATTTATACTTTTTTACTTGTGTCCACTTCTTGAGATGTTATATATATTTGGAGCATATGAGATAAGTAGTATTATAGAGATACTAAAAGTGTGACTTGGTTTAGTACCGATAATATTACTACATCATTAGAAATACAAGTAGTAATCGAGTAAGAACCTAAGGGTGCCGAGAGACGAAAAACACCTGATAGTAAAAGTGTATCATGAATCCTCCTCAATTCTCTTAGGTTTACGACTAATAGCCACATCAAAGTCAATCACCACCAAGGCCAAGATATACTCTGCCTGGTATTAATTCAGGTAAATTCTTTCTAAGATCGTATTAGTGTGTTAACCTTTTTTACACGCTATACGCACAATGTGTGATTTCTGTATTCTAATGTGATTTATTGTGTAGGGATGATTATTACTAGAGGCGCTGAATATGAGTGTGACTTTGATTGAAGTATACTATCGTCGTAAGGTTGGGTGCGAGACTAGATAGGTGATGGGATGCAAATGAGTGAGGTCTGATAGGGTCTAGATAGCGCGTTCGGTCATCATTGGATTCACCGTAATGTGTAAAGGTTTCCGAGGTGGTAATGGTAGCAAAGCAATTAAAGGATGGATGAATGTCCGGTCAGGTCACGGTTAGCAAATGGCATGGGTAGTTGTGGAATCGAAGACAATTGGTCCAGAAATGGCAGCAAGCTCGTTATGTAGGATCTGTATCTTAGATAAGTTGAAGCTTAAGCTTACACGTGTATCTTGAACAGATGGGATATGCTACATAGTTAGAGAGACGCCTGCGGATGGTAGGTCGAGACGTAATACGCTCATGTTGCTGTTCAATATGGTTGGCTGATAAGACTATCTGGTTAGCAAGTAAGATGACAGTATTGTGATTGTTGAGCACGACCTGCATTGCAGATGCAATTCTACCATGCTGTCAGGCAAGCAGTGTAATAGCAAGTTTAGTAGTGTAGTATCGTGTGTCAAAATCTACATAGTAGAAATCTGTTCGCATTTTATCAACAACTCTGGTGATTGGAACCTGGTCTTAGACCTCCAACCTCGCAGTTGAAGAGCAACTGCCGGGTTTCCGGTTGGATTTGAGATGGGGCGAATCTGGAGTCACTCTATAACGCAACAAACTGCAGAAAAAACCATCAGCGGATGCATTCGGATGCAGATGTACAATTCCCTCAAGCTCGGACCTTTTGCCTCGAAATTGTCGACAGCTTCTGTCCGTTCTTCAGACAGACCGAAGCCCCACTATGGGCAAAGCATCATTTCATCTCATCACGGCGACTCCGTATGCTGTGCCAGTCGAGAAGTAAACGTAGTAACCTCCCAAGTTGCACACATCTGTACACATCCGGCTCTTCGGTTCGGCGTATTTCCGGCCCAGCTGACCCAAGTGGTCTGACGAGAATTCCAACATGTCCACTCCCTAACCGAGCATGTCCAAGATTCTGGGCGAATCAATATGCTGACGCCTTATCAAGCGCCCAAACATCCAGTCCTATGCGCTGCAGCTGTGGGCTCGAGACGATGCTAAGCCGTCAAGCATGGAACGAGCGTCCCGGACAGACAGCCAAGTCCAACGGGCTCATGGCACCATGCCCCATCGTTGCTAATGCAGAGTGGCCAGTTCGTTTATCACCGAGTGGCCCAGGATGACAGATGAGTTGCGAGATGGAGGGATTCATATATAAGCAAGACCTGCATTTTCCCAGTCGGGAATGACGATGACGTCTTGCAGGAAGAGAAGGATTTGCGGAGACGGTGTATCTGATGTGCTGGCTAATCAGCAGCTCCAACACACCGGTATGGTCCAATCCGATATCCAACGCGCGCGACTTTTTCTGACGCCATGCCTATTCGAGTCAAAGCGGCCGGCCCCTCAGGCGCATCTGGGCGCATGGAGAAATCTACCAGAAGATTCAGCGAAGAGGTCTGTGATCTGGAATCCACCCATGGCTTCAGCCAGGCCCGCTGTTCGAGGACCTTGGCCCCAACAGTGGTCGTTCCTTCTGGACCGACTTCGATTGTCCCGTCGGCACGATTAGGGTAAATCCAATCCCCCGGCAAGAATCAGGTGGACCCACTGGCCGCCTTCTGATCGCGGTACCCAACGGTGAGGCCGGTTACCTTCCGCCGGCCGAGATGTAGAGGGAACTAGTATAGTAGTATCTCGATTCTAGCTAGCCCTGGTCCATTCCAGCTGACGCTCGAGGATTACTCACACGCGCAATGTTGGTGGAAAAGCGCCGGGCGGAACGGTCGGGCTTTTAGTCCGGAGTATGGCTAGCTGTAGGATGCATGCACCTCGCACTGTGGGCTGAGCTTGATCATTGGGCAGCGAGGGCAACGTCACGGACGATTGGTGGGATGCCTATGTGTGATGCTGCTGGAAGGCGTGGGAGGCGTGGGCGTGGGTGTGGGTGTGTGTGGGAGAGGCTGCGGAAGAGGCTTTGTCGCAGCCGGGGTCCATCATCCACGGAAAGTACGCCATGGTGCCACCGTCCCCGATTCCATCGAGCTTCTTGTAAAAGAGCAAAATGACAAGCGGGGAGGTCAGTAACTCCTCCGTGACGTTAGAGTCAACGGCTTTCCCCTCTTCAGCGGGGTATTGGCTCTTGATGGATTGAGTGATTCAGGATGATCGTTAACGAACCATAGCTAGAAGAAAGCAGGCCAATGAGAAGACCGATAAGCCCCCAAGAATCTGAGTTACCCAAAACAGCAAAAGCAGGGTTCATGGAGGCCTAGCACTAAGCCGCGATAGGCAAAGGGCCAGGAGCCGAAGATGGGGATTTGACTTTTAGGTTTTTTGGCTGCAAGTGGATTTGGGGTGGATCCCGGCTTTGTCCCAAGACGGCATGACGAGAGATTCATTGCTGGCCTGTCGGGGTGGAAGCATCAAGTTTTTTCTTCTCTTGTCTTCTCCCCATTCATCTTTCAACTTTATCCCGGAACTGATGGATATCCGTTTCCCGGATGGAGATAGACCGCTTCTTATTCAGTTTCGGGGGAAGATCTGGGATAAACTACACTTAGTTTCATAAATAGTCAGTAGATTATTGTTAGGATAAACGGGGGGGGGCTGCTTCAGGGGGTGTGACTGCTTATGCCTGATTGGGTCAATTGGGGTGGTGGTCAGTGGGGCATGTCAAGGATGGGGGAAGAAAAGCACACCACTAAACCCGACTAAATTAATACTAGTTACTGGTATTAGATAGTAGTTGTCTATCTACTAGTAGTTGTGAACAGTTAACCCTCTTTTTTTCCTTTATTTTTTTTTATTTTTTATTTTTTTATTTTTTTTTTTTCTCATTCTCGTGGAAGATCACAGACGGTATACCATGTAGAGTAGGATGAACACTGGACATGCACAGTACTTGCTTAATTGTATTTCTTTTTTTAAACCAACAATTGTACATCAAATCTTTCTAATCAATGATCATCCTCTCAAGATGGCAAGTCATCAGCGAGCAGGGTCATGACAGACAAGCGACAGAAAGAAAAGAGGCAACGATGATCCAGGGTTCAGTACACCGCGACCCAAGACAACCATTTGCCCATTCGACCGCATGATGCATCAATCTGTCTCTGTCTCTGTCTCTTTCCCTTCTGCTGCTACGGCGGTTGGGGCGCCGAGCCCCTCGTAGCGCTGCATTAAAACACAACAAATCCTTTTTTTGCCCGCATTTACTGGTTTCGTCTGTCTTTGGGAGGCCAGAGCCCTCCAAATCCATCCAAACCCATGCCCATACCATCGGGGATTCGCACTCTTACTGCCTCCGTGCAAAAGACGACGGAGTGGGGCAGCGATCTATCGGCTAGCTTGGGACGACTTTGGAATTATTGTTGGAAAACTGCTTGGTGGTGGAGGGAAAAAGTGGGTTGTGGAATTGAAGGTGGTCGATGAGCGGGTTTTGGAACCTTCTGCCGGAAAAGAGGCCAACAGCGACCTCTTTCCTTCTTCTCTCTCTCTCCTCAAAAAGCATGGGGAGTCGAGTCGAGTCGTTTGAATATTAAATCTCATGGATCTCCAGCAATCCACTCCGGCCAAGAAGGTGTTGTTGAAAGTTGAGCTGTAACAGTCGGAGGGGATCTTGGCTTCTTGCTTGTTTGATTTGAGGACTTTTTCATATTATTTTTTCCTTCTTTTACACTTCCTATGAAACATCCCCCTCCTCCCTTCCATCCTTGACGCTTCTGCTCCCACCTTGCGCCTGCTGGGCAACCTCCCCCTCCCCCTTCTCCCTTCAGCCCTTCCAGCATCTCCTCCTTCTCCCGGAACTTGGAAAGAAGGAAAAGAGAATAGGACAACGGGGAATAATTTTTAAAAATCCTCAAGGGAAGAAAAGAAAAATAAAAGGTCCCCAGCAATGCCTGCACGGCGCACCTATAGAGCCCCGGCGCGGAATGGCTGTTTTGAGTGCAGGAACCGGCGAATCAAGGTAGGTGCTCTTGGGGTTTTAGTCCCGGTGAAGCTTAACTTAAGTTGCCTGGCCTGGCCTGCTATTTTCTTGGTTGTCTCTCTGGTCCACTGAAAGTTTCCATCCTTTTTCCCTTCTTCTGCTGCTGCTGCTGCTGCTTCTTCTTCTTACATTTTCCCTCTTTTTTAATTTTCTCTCTTCTGTTTCTTTCCCTTCTCCATCCCCCATTTCCCTCTCCCTTTCCTCTCCTCCATCATTGCCTGGGTGCCTGGATGCCTGAATGATGCAGTGATCCCTTCCCTTCTCTTCCCGGCCTCCTCCCTCCACTCCCTCCTCCCTCTCCTACTTTAGATATGTACCTATCAGTGGAGCTTTATCTGCTTGTTTGATTGCTGCTGTGGACCGGGACCTTTGCTACTTTCCATTCCCACCACTACTACCACCACCATCATTACCACACCCCCCCTCCTCCCTCCCCTGAATTACACCGCATCACTTTTTAATTTCAGTGGTTCTTTTCAAATTGGGACTGGCGGTCCTGTGTCGCCCTCATAGATGCTAATTGGACCGGGATGCAGTGCCCCAACGAACACCCCCAGTGCTCCCATTGCACTAGCGACAACATAATATGTCAATATATTCCCTCCTCCCACTCCTTGGTCTGGCCTAGGGTCAAGTCTCGCTCCACCACCCCGACCCTTCCCCCATCCCGCACCGCCTCCCCTTCCCACATGAACCCCAGGATTCTCGCTGAATACCGCGTCGTCATGGACCCCGTCGCCCCTTCCAATCCCACCGGGGAGCTCAACATTCAAGACCTCGAGTTGATGATGCAATGGTGCACGACCACATACCGCTCGGTCTCGCGAAATACCTCGGTAGAGGGAATCTGGCAGGGCGTCGTGCCGCGGGAAGCCATGCGCCACCCATTCTTGATGCACGGCATCTTGGCTCTCTCCGCCCTGGACCTGGGCTTCAATTGCCCCTCCGGCCCGCCCAAAGACTACTACATCCGAACCGCCCAGGCACATCAGTCCCGGGCTGTGACCGGTCTCGGCAAGGTCGCCGGATGTCTGGATCAATCCAACTGCAATGCCGCTTTTGCCTTGTCCAGTATCATGGTCGTCTTTTCCTTCGCCCTCCCTCGGACGACGAACAAACACGGGGACGTCCTGAATGAGCTTCTCAACATATTTCGGTTCACACGCGGGTCGGTGGACGTCCAAGGAGGAATCATCGATTGGGTCGCGGACGGCGAATTCAGCCCGCTGCTCGAGTGCGACACCTCGCAGCCAACCATGCCCGACACGTCTCGGCTGGCCATCATGTCGCTGACACGAATGAATGCGGACCTCGCCAGCCGCGATCCCGCGCATGATAAGGCCACGTATGACACGACGATCCGGTACCTGAGCTACTCGCTGGACAAGCTGGCCCGGGGCGGAGAAACCATGATTATTGCCTTCCAGTGGATCTTCCAGATCCCGCCGCGATACTTGGATTTGCTGCAGCAGAGGCAGCCCTTCGCGTTAGCCATCTTGGCCCATTACGCGGTGATTATCCACTCGCTGCGAGGACATTGGTGGATGGGCGAGTGGGGAGCGCGACTGATCCGGGAGATCGGCCAGCACCTGGGTGCAGACTGGAGAGACTCAATCAGTTGGGTGGTGGATGCGACAGGCTGCTATATTCCTCCAGTCTGAGACGGTTCATGGAGATAAGTACCTATTTTTTTCCACTCTCCAGGCCATGATATGCAGTTCAGACACCGACAATGGATGCATCCGCACGCTGGAGAGCACATCGTATGGTCAACATAACCTCCCTTGAGAGACGCGTGCAGCGTGCACGCTGCCCGTCGATAGCCTTGAAACCCAAGGGAAACACTACTGCCATCTGTGGGGCCAGGCTCTAACTTGACTGGCCTACCCGGAACTCATGCAATCGTGAACAAGAGGGAATTATGCAGTGGACTGCAACAGAAAGAAGACCAAGACATGACGGGAAATCACATTTGGGGAGGCCGACCGGGGATAAGCACTAAGAGCGGAGCGGAATAAACACCACAACGAAGAAAGACAAATGCAATAAACTAGTGGAATACTTAGTTGGCTAGCCGGTGGACATGAAGGAGAAAAAAACTCCGATCGCCAATCACTCAACAGCGCAATTTGAACAAGGGTGCTGGACATCTACAACATCTACTACTATCTATGGCATGATCACATGGGACGCATACTCGCTTGGCATGAGATGGATGATACCTCATCAGCAATACACGGCGTCCTTTGGTATTTCATTTCGGTTTCAGAGCAAGCTATGCATACATACATTTCAATCCAATCATAGATTCACACACGATCTACACTATTTACCTCGGCATTAGACTGAGTAACAGAATCCCTCATAATAATACCCGTAGTAATAGCCACTAAAGAAACAAGGCAGGAAAAAGCAATATGCAGCCATCCCCATTCCCAGTCCCCATAGATAAGCCCCCGCGATTTCATTGGAGACGCACTAACAATAGTGCCAACAGCCACATACAAAAGGGGCCCGGTGAGCACTTGTTCAATTTAAACAGGAAAATGAGATTATATTACTAAAACAGAGACATATAATGGTACCCCGAATCCAAGCACAAAAAATACCACAACAGCAATCAAAAAAGATGACAATGAGATGAAATGAAATGACAAAATCCGCCCATCGCGCCGTTCTTTTTCCCACGTCCGGGTTTCTTTACTACATGGGTATTCTTCAAAACACAAAAACAGATCCAGATCGAATGGGAGGGAATATGAAAGGAAGAAGAGATAAGGAAGAAGGGGATGTGAGAGAGATCTCTCCATCTGTAGGTGATGGGTATAAAGATGGAGAGATAGGTAAGTGGGTGGGTGGGTGAATAGGTTGGTGGTGTCGAGCACGACCTGCACACTGATTGCTGGGTTTTGTGTGGAGCAGGCAGTGCAGGTATCAGTCGGTCGGTCAGTCAGTCAGTCAGTCGAAGTATAGATAGATAGATGGGATGGAAACATCCCATCCATCTCGTCGGTCCAGTCCAGTCCAATCTATCTCAAGACAGAGAGGACCGGAACACAAGCACGCACACATGGGTGCAACAAACACACGTTTGGAGAAGAGTTAAAGCCAGAAAGGCACAGTGCAGATATAGCAGGGGAAGGAAAGAGAAGAGTAATTTGTGGTGAGCGAGAGCAATACCAACTCACTCACTCTCCCTCACTACCTCCCCCCCTACCACAGCACACCATGCCATACACTGCCGTGTCATATCCGCCAGCAGAAAACGACTGACAGAAATGACATCCCAGCAGTAATCCAACCTCATCCTCAACTCCAAACATGTGCTAGTCAACTGGACGGATTCCGTTCTTCACCACCTCCACCACCAGCACCAGCACCACCCTCACCAGCGACACTCGCGGTCTCAGCGTCCTTCCTGCGATCCTTCGATTGCGTGCGCACACGCCTCAACTGCTCCTCTTCCTGTTCGCGCACGCGCTTCTCTTCTTCCGCGGAGGGAATATATGCATTTGCAGCGCCGCCTGGATAACATTACAACCCATTGATTAGCTCATTGCCTTCATTGCTTGCTTTCCTCGAGGGACAAGAAACACACGGGCAAAAGGGAGGTATAGGAGGTATAGGGGGAATTACCTCGGCCCATAAAGTGCGGTGCTTCTTCCACGCGCAACGGGGGCGACTCCACATCCTGCATTTCTCGGGCTATCTCGGGGTGTTCCGGATCATTGTGCATCATGTTACCGGAGCCGCCGCGACCGGTGGTGAAGATGTCTTGCTTGATGGTGGGGGTGACGAGGTCCTTTGGAGTGGTGCGGGATTCATTGTTGCCGGAAAAGATGTTGCCTATGTGGAGAACGATATCGCGTTAAAAGAAGGAGTTTATTTTTGAGTTGGGGAGAGAGAAGCTGGTGAAAGAGATAGTGCTGAACATACCTGCGCCGCCGCGGCCGTGGGAGATGTTTCTAGCGCCGCCCATTGTTGCCGAACAGGGGGGAGGGGAGGGGAGGGGGAGGGCGGAGAGGATGCGATCGGGAGAGTGGGCGAGCAGAGTAAGGTCGAAGTATGGGATGCGATTGATTGCGGAGGCGCAACGACGCAAGGAGATTTCTCGATCAGACAAAGAAAGAAAAGAAGATGATGAAGAGGAGGGGAGGGAAAGCACGCAATAGCTAACCCAACGATGATCAACACAAGAAAAAAGAGAGCTGGGGGAGCCGCAAAAGTGGCAAAGGCCGCGAGCGAGCGAGAAAGAAAAGACTGAATGGCGGCCAAGACTTTGATTTTGATCAAATGACGTCCTGCTTTGGGGCCGAATGACCGAGACGGTTTTTTTTTATTTTTATTTTTTCACCCTCTCCATTCCACTTCTTCCAACTGAGTTTCTCGGATCCTGACATTACATCTTCACCATATTATATTATCATCCAGTTATTCATTCATTCAACAATTCCCCGTCCTATCCGTCTACCTTGGAGACCGCGTTCATATTCTCTTACCTCATGGGCAACGACCGGACCTGGAAGTGGAAACTAATCTAACTTACCTGACCCCACTTTTTCCTCTTTATATTACTATATTACCTTGGATTATGATTTTCCTATTCATTCCAGACGCCGACTGGAAACCTACTGGAAAATTCTTCCTATTGTTCTTTGAATACTAGTGTCGTTTGTGGCATGTTATTGATTAGGTAGTATTTTTAGTTGGTTAATTGTACTATCTGGTGTGCAGTAGGGCTAGGCTTTCCCCGCAGGGATTACTTTCTCACTGAATGCTATTATCTCTCTGTTATCTGGAAAAGGATCATAGCTATAAGAAATAGGGCATCGTATGATACTACTAATCAGTGGAAGAAGAATAATTGCATAATACATTAGTTAGGAATTATGGTTCCCTCGTGACTATTTCATATATTGAGGGGGGTAGTTCGGTTTTAGAGCGAGGGGATGGGCGATAGAGTATAGTACTAGTTCTAATATAATGCAATCGTTATACACAGTCAATTGTATAGTGACTCTATAATAACAAACCAAGGAAACCATCATGTATATATATACACACCATACCATAAACATTAACCCAGTCATGCGTGTTCATAAACCAGTGCATCCCATCCATGCCATGCGTTGCTGCATACAGCGTATATAAATCATGCCGAACCGTCCATCTGGAATAATCGATCCATATCCGTCTCGTACGCCTGCTCAAATCCCATACTCCAGACCCCATGCGCTCCCTTGACGCGATACGGCCCCTCCCACTTCCATGACTTCTTCTTCTCCTTGTACGAGACTGCTCCAACATGCTGCATCTGCGACGGGGAGATGGCCAGTCGGTCCAGCTCGGCCCGCCCCGCCTGCATCTCAATCACGCTGTCCACCGCCTTGGTGGGGACCACGTCCTCCATGTGCTCGAAGTACTCCAGGAGGGCTGGAACATTCTCGCGATTGAAGAGAAGGGCCTGCGAGCAGCAGCCGTGCGCGTTCATTACGTGCACCCCATTCTGCATCGGGTACCAGGTCACCCGACCGGCCAGAAAGAAGAGGGTGATCAGTAGCGGCACGCAGAAGAAGCAGACTACCAACAGGAACGAGTTGGTGAGAATGCCCTGCGTAGAGCGAATCTTTCGTCGAGTGTACATGCCCGCACTGGCGCAAAGGGAGACCAGCAGCACACTCCAGGACAGGTAGATGGGCCAATTCTCCGAGTTCCAGCCGAGGAACTTCTCCGTGTAGAAGAGCCGCAGGTATAGCCAGTCCCTGATCGTATCGTGTCGGCGCCAGTCTTCTACCTGTTGAACGCTGCGCATAGTATGCTCGTACCAATCGCGCTGGGCCACAACGTCGTCCTCCAGCATGATGATCCACGGCGCGTCGGTCATGTCGTAGCACGCCTGTAGCCCGAGTCGGTAGTCAATCAGAGATTTCTTCTTTATGTTGTTCTTCTTCTCCAAGTTCATTATGATATACCCAGGTGCGTCGACATCGTCGTAGGTGAGCACGCGGTCAACGACATTTGATACCCATGTCTGGTTGTAGTCCGGGTGGTCGGAGGGTTTGCTCAGGGCAAAGAGCACTTGGACGGTCAGCGCGGCCCGCTGCTCCGGTGAAAGGGTATCAAGAATCGAAGCAATGGTTGTGTCGAGGTCCTGCTGCAGGGGACGCTTCACGGTGACGATGCCTACACAGGCAGTCTTCTCTCGCGGCGGGCTGACATGGGAGACGGGCCGGGACGGGGCAGCATCGGAGCGATTAAAGGCAGAGAGCCACTCCAGCGATTCGTTAATACGCTGAAGACTGTATCCCGGGCGATAGCCTTCGGTGGGCTGGAAGAAGAACGAGCCTGGGTCACGGGCGGACCGAAAGTGACAGAGGACGACAAGGAAGAAAAATAGGATGGCGAAAGAGGACAGAAGCAGCCTCTGCTTTCTGTTGAAGTGATTGAGAGCCATCGGTCACATACTGGTTGGCAAACGATCAGGGAGAACGGAGGAGAGGATGGAGGGGAGGAAGGGAAAAGAGGGAAAAGGAAAACAAAAGGCAGGACCGGATTGCGACAGCAGATAAGCCAGCAGCGGACTAGCAAGAGTTAGCTTGGAGCCATGATTCCGAGGCTTGCTGCTTTGGAAGTCCTGGGCCCTCAGGGTCTGCCCATCGCTTAGTCTGCTATTAGTCTTTGCTGGCCAGCTGATAGTCCGGCCGCTCTTCGTTTATCGGCCCAGTGGAGCGGTGGTCAAAACCCTGCGAATTGACCCACGTCCGAGTAGCCAAGTTTTGGGATCGCGCTGGCCCATTGGCCGATCACGCGGTGGGCGCCAGGGCTGAGGCATGCTGCGTAAGGCATTATCCGGGTAGGGATTCGATAATAGGTGCAGAGTTGGGAATAGCGCCCAAAGCCATTGTGGATTTCTAGAGGGTCAATTGGCTGAGAGAGAGAGAGAAAGTCGGGATGACGATAAGAATAGGCTGGCTGGATGGCTTGCTTTGCTTGACTTGCTTGACTGTCTCGGAGCGAAAGAGCGAAATTGCATCCCGCGCGGGCTAAAAAAAGCCTGCCCAGAAAAAGCTTAGCCTCAAACGGTGCCCGCCGCCAGAAGAAGAAGAGATGGGCAGAGAAGAACATTGTGCAAGAACATTAGGAAGGGGAAAATAATTGACACATTTCCTTGCATCCTCAGAGAAGTCTCATCATGACACAATCAACAGGGCAGTGTCAATGAAACAATTGATTTAGCGTCTGATGGCGAAGCAGTTTAGCACCACTCATTGTCTCAATTATTCTTGGTTTTGGATGGAGTCGGTCCTCGTATTGAACCCACTTCAGTGCGCTGTGCATGCCTCATCCTGCACTCTCAATTATCGAGTCCATCCTGCAGACTCGATCACATTAACATGCTCGACCTGTCAAGTACGTCAAGGTGATTAGCGTAGTCTGTTAAGCTAGGAGGTCAGCCTACCGTATTTACTGTAGGGTGCATACCTCGGCATCAAGGGACCGGATTACAACATCCGTCAACTCTAACGGCACATCGGTAAATAGTTACCTGATTACAATATCTGACACATCTGACAGCTACAGCTATCCAGATCTTCATTGTACATAGCTACTGAGGTGAACATAGCTCTCAGATCTCATGTTAGAACTGCGGGGTAAACTCACCACATTCACGGAGTAATAGCCGGACCTCGGCGCACATCATCCATCATCCATCACCAGCATACTTCTATAGTGCTTACTGAACAAACTCTGATAACCGAGTAATTGACTATGTTCTAAGTTGGGACATACTATATAAAGCAAGATAGTAAGACAAGGCGAACACTCGATAGCAGTACCATCACAATCATCACACACTTCAACAATCATCACAATCCATCATAATCATAAATACTATCAACATGTCCATATCCCTCCCTCCATCCTACGAATCCCACCCAACATCCCACATCAAACTCTCCCATCACCCACCCAACACCCCCTCCCCAACCCCCGTCATCATCATCACCCTCAACCGGCCCGAGAAACGCAATGCCTTTACCTCCACCATGGCCCAGGAGCTCGAATGGGCCTTTACCACGCTGGACCGCGATCCCCGCGTGAAGGTGATAGTCCTCACCGGGAGCGGAGATACATTCTGCGCTGGAGCGGATCTCGAGATTGGATTCAGCGTAGGCGAGAAGGGGAAGAAGTTGAATTTGGGTGATTATCGCGATAGGTGGGTAGCATATACCATCATTACTACTAGCTTTGTCTATGACCCGTTGAAGTCTGGAATTGAAAATAGGAATACATAGCTAACTACAGACATGAAAACAACAGCGGCGGCCGCGTCGCCCTCTCTATCCACCGCTGCCGCAAGCCCACCATCGCCGCCATGCAAGGATCCGCCGTAGGAGTCGGCATGACCATGACTCTTCCTGCGGCTATACGGTACCCCCCTCCTCTCTTCCCTCTTCCCCACCCTACATACAAACACCTAACAATATGCTGCTGTATAGAATCGCCCACACCCCCAGCAAATACGGCTTCGTCTTCGCCCGCCGCGGCATAACCATGGAATCCTGCTCCAGCTACCTCCTGCCCCGGCTAATTGGGTACTCGCGCGCCATGTACCTCGTCTCCACGGGGGCAGTGCACCCGCCCACATCACCGCACTTTGGGGGACTCTTTGCTGAAACGTTCCCAACCAAGGAAGGCGTGGTGAAGCGGGCGGTAGAGTTGGCGAGTGAGATGGCCCAGCTGGTGAGCCCGATGGCCGGGGCGTTGAATCGCGCCTTGATGTGGAGGGCGCCGGGGAGTGTGGAGGAGGCGCATTTGCTGGAGTCGAGGGTTTTGGGGCATATGTTTGCTTCGCAGTAAGTTTTTTGTTCTTTTCCCTTTGGTGTTGATTGGTGCTGACAAGGGGATGCTGTAGGGATCAGAAGGAGGGTGTCGGGGCGTTCTTTGAGAAGAGGAAGCCCGAGTTCAAGTGTGATTTGGACGTGGATGGGCCGGGAAATTATCCTTGGTGGGGAGAGGTGGATATTGATCCGAGGAAGGAGGTCGAAAAGTCGAAGTTGTGAAAGGCAGAAAAAGACTAGGAGGCACCACTGGCATGTAGATACTGTAGTAGAGAAGTGAACATATTCAATAATCATTTTTAAATCGCTCACTGATATGAATATTCGTACAAACAGGAAGTAGAGAACTCAATCCACGGGGTTCTCGAGAATGCCATAATAACAATCACTCAAAAGAAAAAAAGAGGCATCCCATGCAAAACAGAACCACTAAACTAAACGATGAAATGACGTCTCTTGCGGTTATACGCCCGCTGATCCTTCAACCACTGGCGATAACCTTGCACACTACCGATCTTCTCACCATAGTAATCAGGAACGGGGTTAGCAATGGAGTTGGACGAGGGGTCGACACGGAAGCGTCTAATGCGGTCGAAGAATTCCTTCTCTTTCTACACACACAAAACCCACTATCAGTATCCACGTTTCTTCTCAACAGCAACTTAAAGTAAGGGGAAAGGAGAAAACTTACCACCATGACAGCAGGCTTATATCTGCGATAAACCAACCCCCAAACAGCATTCCCCACAAACGGACCGACAAGCCAACCCGCCGCACCGCACGCCGCCGTTGCCATACCCAGCACCACAAACGGATCAAGACCCATGACCTGCGCCCCGAGGGACTCCAGATCCTGCGTCGAGAGAACCTGCACACCAATGACCGTGGTGAACAGGGAGCTCACGATCGACGAGGCGAGCGAGTACCGGCGGCGGCTAGCGCGGAGCTTGAAGAACGAGTCCCAGTCGAGACGGACGGTTTCGCTCTTGGCAGCGGCGGCGGCAGAGGAGTTGGCGCGGCGGAGAACCAGAGAGCTCGGGAGCTGCGTTGTCGTCGTCGAGGGACGCAGAGCTGTGGTGGGCTTCAGGGTCTGTGTGCTGCGGACTCGCATGGAGGAGGTGCTTGCGGTCCGGGTCTGAGAGAGCGCTTGATACAACGGGTTGGTGCAGCTGCTGGGGTGGGCGAAGGGGCCCAGCGTCTTGGAGGTGAGGCGTCCGCTCAGCATGGCGGTGCGCATCCCGCTGATCGAGGGGGCGTGCATGGTGGATGGATGTTGGGTTGGAAGTGGTAGGATGTTGTGGTGATGGTGGTTTGATTGATTCGTTCTGAAGTTCGGCGGGTGAAGCTGGGGATTATGTAAGCGGGACTGAGACATGACCTCATTGGGAAATGCCGCGGTAAATATGGACTATACAGAACGGTGCTTGCTTTGAGTGATGAGTGCTAAAAGATATGTCTATTGCATTCAGCTTCTGCTAGGAACTAGTGCTTATAGAAAGCTCATTACTCCGAGAGTGGATTATGGCATTGAAATACTGCAATGTTCGAGGCATTACTTATGGTCGCTAAGCCAACCAACAAAATCGTGAAGCAGATGAAAAGAAATGCATGTCAGAATTAGGTGTACAGATAGAAAAAATCCCGCCATGTTGCATTTCAATCACCACGTATATTGGTGGTGCGTTGTAGAAGAGAAGACCCGCTGGTTGTGATCGGTTGATCTGGTGCTTGAATAGGATGCGAAGATGAAGATTGCAACGTCGATATTGGGTGAGCAGCGGATTGAGACCACTACTAGGGGGTTCGAGTAGTTTCTCTGAAGGAAGATTGGGCCGAAAATTTAATGACTGTAGAAGGCTTGAATAGGCTGGTTGTTTGGCAGACACTATTTCTGTTATGTAATTTGCTCTTGGTGTTGAATGAGCTCGGCTATAAAATGCGGGGGTCCAGAGCGCTTGCGGGGTATCGAGTCTAGTGGTTGAAGAAAGAGATGCGTAATATTGTATGGTATATCTCGGGAGTAAAGGACTCGTATATATCGTATTAATTGGCTGAAGTGTTAGATGCTGGTAACAAATATGATCGCTTCTATACCTTGGCGGGTTATATCTCGTCTGAATCAGTAGGTCCACCGTCATACCCTGCAACTCAAGATATACGGTTAGATACTGCCGTTGCTTTTGATCGCTCCAGGACGAGACTGGGCTTTGGCGCTCGTTCCGTATCCGTTCACGCGGCCATAGAGCCATTTGAGGGTTCCCGTGCTCAGCGCCATGACAACGGCGCTCAAGGCGAAGAGTCCAACGCGACCCTCAAATCCTACAGCATCGAAGACGGGGTAAGGATACCTGTGCGGTCAGTAAGTCGCATCTCCATAAAGGCAAATACAAGACGTACCATCCGTTGAACTGGAAGCAACGCTCGATCCAAAACCAGTATCCAAAAGCGATTGTACTGGACAGAGCTAGTGCAGGGAGAACAGTAATCGTCCAAGGAGGGGAAAGGAGGAGAAGGTCAATCAGTAATACAATCGACGGTACAGCATGGAAGCCGACGTCTTGCACTCGATATTAGCAAGATGAGACTTCAAGTAGATCCGAGTCCGGCTTACCGGCATGCATAGGAAGTATCACCCAATCAGGAACAACCAAACGCTTGTCGATCTGTTGAACATTTAGATGGCATTCTAATCGTCCATGAGGAAAGTAATTACCAGACGGAGCCCCCAGTATAGGATGCTGATCAACACTTCCATTGGAGCGCTGCATACAGAAAGAAGGTTCTTGGCTAAAAATAGCCGAGCCGATAACGTCATATCCGCCAGCAGACCGGCGGTAAAGGTGAGCGTGGCCAGCGTCAGCCCAATGACGGTCAGGTACTGGAAATGCCAACCATATGCTTCATTACTGTCAGGAAGGGTCAATCAGCATCCTGGTTACTCCAGGCCAAGGACATGGGGAGCTTACGCCCTATTGGGGTTCTCGTGCATGCTAGAGAACGGGTTGGTTAGTGGGCGGGCCGAGCACCGGGGAGCACGAGCTGTAGCGGAACTCAACGTACTACTTGAACGAGAAGATGAAGCTGGCTAGACCAAGAGACTGCCATGGGGGAAAGAAACATCAGCCCAAGGAACGAGCGACCGACACGGATAAGTGCTCACATGGACCAAGGCCGAGAAGCCTCTAGACGGGCTGGACAGGCGCTGCAGGGGATGTTTCCGCTGAAGCGACCGAATTGTTGCAGAAGACGCCATACTGGAAGCGGGATAGAGGTAGAAAATGGAAGGACTTCGATTAATTAGAAAGAGAGCTCGGTTACAACAACCCGGACACTTTGCAATCACTGCCGAAGAGGCATTGAATAAGAGAGATAGGGATCTCACTAATGCAATGATCTAAAGAGCTGGCTAGGATGCCCGGCTATTCCGGGGAGGCCTTAGTAACCTGGGGCAGCTAAGCCTGACGGGGTAAAGCTGGGCACAGCTGAACAACAACCGAACAGGACAGACCGCCGTGAACCGGAGAAACCCGCCGCCCGGACCAGCTGGGCTCTTGGCTTATCAGGCCGGTCTGATTGATGGAGACGGCCGATGGCCTCCCCCCCACTGACTGGTTATCGGCTGGGCTTGAAGACTGTTGACTGGCTTGTCTTCTCCGCCGGTCTCGTGTAGCATGTATCTTGGTTCGGTGATTACTTCCACTCCTCCCCTTCTTTTCTTCCTTCACTCCAAAAGTCCTAAATTCCGCTGGCTTTTGCTTCTTATCCTCGAACAACAATAGCGTCACCCTATACCTTCCCTAAATTCTTGGCTACTCTTCAGCTTGCAAACGGAGTCGATCGACTAGTAGGGTTGCTGTCAAACCACATAGATTACCGTGGATTCTTCCCCACACCCCGATGAGTACGAACAACGGGTGTGGGTGTCTTGTCGATTATCGTTTCTTATCGTCTTGGGTGAAACGCCCTACACGCAGGAAAAAAGCCATCTTCAGCCCCTTGTCTAGATCGTGATCGCTGTTTCGGTCTGTATGGCGATCTTACTCTGCAAGGTAGATCGGAACCATCTCAGATTCCGGACCATTTATCGCTGTGGTCGCGATTGCTGTTTGTCGGATTTAATCCCTCAGCCAGATCGGGTGTGAACTTCCATGCCTCGCCCCAGAAGACCCGGCGCGCCAGAGCCGAAACGACGATCACGTAAGGGCTGCTGGTGAGTTCGCCAGGATGCCAATTTACCTATAACCTATCATTAACCAGTCCCAGGCCTTGCAAAGCCCGAAAGGTGAAATGGTTTGTCTAATACCCAGGCCTTATTTAGTTTGCTATCAGAATTGCTCTTCATTGAGAGCGTTATGCCATCACATTTGGAGTTGACGACGAAAGCTAATTTCTATGCAGCGGGGAGGAGAAGCCGTCGTGCCTCAACTGTCGACGCCAGAATGAACCATGTGACTATAGCATCAGGTTGAATTGGGGCGGGAGGACACGGAGAAAATCTTCTGTAGACTCCCCCAGCTCTCAGTCCAGTAGTCCGTCGGGCCACTATGCCACCTTCAGTTTCTCGCCCTCAAACCAATTTCATCCGGATGCCCCGAGTCCAGCCCAGCAATTCACGCCCTTTTCCATTCGAGACGGAACGACTGCGCCGGATCAAGCTACAGGGGACTTGCTATGGGATGTCGGACTTGCAAGGGGTATGGAAATAGGAACATCCACAACCAGTCCTAAAGGATTACATGATATCCTCCATGAATCTCCGACTGCCTTTGGCCAGTTAAATAATGAATCCAACTGTACAAATGGCAAGACCTCTGTAGACATGGGGGCTGCGTCGCAAGAACAAGAAGCGACCACCCCATGGCCAGACCTGTCCCCCGATTTAGCCACATCGTCGTCGAGCGAGACTCTGCTCGCTTTCTCCCCGCCTGCACCCCAATCGCTGGACACCATCTCATACCCATCGCCTACAGATACGAACTCGACGGTCGGTTCATTCGCGGCTTTCGCCTTTTCCTCTGCCACGATATCGGGGCCCATCTCATTTCTCCGGCATACATCGGATCTCCATCATTCCCCGCCCGACTCTAATCACATGCCCGATTCTCGTACTGAGTTTTCTAGCTATTCCTCGTCTACGGATGTGATGAGCATCTATGCAGACTTCAATTCACATGCATCATCTTCTGTTCAGAATGCGGCATCGCCAGGGTCCGCAGAAGCAAGTTTGCTTTCGTCAGGATTGGCTCACGAGGCCCCAGCGCTGCAGGCGGGTCCAGCCGTCCATACGGAGAACTTCTTCAGCAAGATCATGAACGATCCGCTGCATCCTGATAGCCAATCCGATGGGGGTTATTCTCGCCCAGGATGCGTTTCCCATGCTGCTGACGGTGCGGGTCAGAACCTATCGGAACCAGAGGATGTTTCCATGTCGGAGAAGAGGTGGCAGGCTTATCTGACCAGGGTCACGGACAATTACGGGTTGGATTGCGGGCGCCCGGATCTCGATCTCAACAAGAACGACGATCATTCCGCCATTGACATCAACTATGCATTGGACCTGTTCAACGCGGACAGTCAACCTGCTTCCACTTCGACCTCGGAAGGTTCGCATACAGGTAATGTGAAGTACAATGGATCTGCCTGCAACAAGCGTGGCTACTATGTATCGCCGGTACCAATCAACATACCGCGGTATCTCTCGCCTTTGCCACCGTCACTCGTGAAGACGCCGATCAACTTGATGTATTTCCACCACTTCCTCAACCATACTGGCCGGATGCTGGTTCCTCATGATTGCGAAAATAACCCGTTTATCTCGGTGTTACCGACCAGTACGTACCATTAGTTGTTGACCCAACTCAGCGCATTTACTGACATGAATTAATCAGTGGCGATTGGCGACTCTAATCTCCTGAATCTGATGCTGGCATATTCCGCTAGTCATCGGGCGCGGTATTTGGGCCATCCCGAGCCCGCAACCCGGATCGCACACTGGGTGAGCAATGTCTTTCCCACTCTGCGCTTAGCGCTTGAAGATCCCCGTGAGAAGGTGACCGACAGTCATCTGGCGACTGCAATTATGCTCCTTTCTTTGAAAATCATCTCTCCCAGCACGTTTGAAGTGCCCATTCCATGGCAGAGTCACTTGAAGCTTGCTCGGGACCTGTATTTGGCACGACAAGAGCAGATGTCATACCCTGGAAACCGTGTCGGCGCATTTCTCACGCGCTGGCTGGGGTATATTGATCTCATGGGCGCCCTGTCATGCCGACAAAGTGGGCCACCACTGTCTGCATATGATTCTGTCTTGTCCATATGCTCTGATGCAGGACCGCAGGGCGAATATTGTGTCGACTGCTTCAGTGGGTATACACCAAAGACGGGTCTATTCTTAATGCGGCTGGGAAGATTAACTCACGAGTGTGATAACGAGCGTTTTGACGAACACGGAGTCTTTGTCCCGGACTGGGAACCATCGCCAGACGTTGTTTTTGAAGCCGAAACCTTGATAGCGGATCTCGGCGTTCTGGAAACCTACGCGTATGCTGATGCAACACACTTCGGTCTGGGCAAGGCGGATTTCCTAGCCACTGACCGGGCATTTCGCTATGCAGGACTATTGCACCTTCATCGTCGGGTGCTGAATGCGTCACCCTTCTCTGATGCGGTTACGGGGGCCGAAAGGGAGCTCTTCAAGGCAATAGGCGACATCCGGCAGAGTGCGTCTGCAGAGGTCGGAGTTCTGTTCCCGTTGTTTACTGCGGGCTGTGAAGCCCGGGATTCTGCGCAACGAGCAGAAATCCAAGAGCGCTTCGATTTCCTCGAAAGAACAGGAATGAAACAGGTGAGTCAGTAGTTATCCACGCATTAACCATGTCTAACTTTGCCACTAGATGCAAAGCGCTCGCACGCTAATGCAGCGATGCTGGTCCGAAAACTTGCCATGGATCGCATTGGCCCAGGGCGAATTTCTAGGGTAGCCAGGCAGATTGACCTTGTACATCTTTTCTTGCTCATAAGTCACTACTACCGGGTGAAGAGCATATGTCGTACCTGCGGGGTGTGTCACGCTGATTGCGCTTATTTCATATAAAGCGGTCGCAGACAGCAGGCCTGACTCTATTGAATATACTATGTACATATCGAGAGGCCGTTGAGGGAGGGTCACTTGTAGAAGCCATTGGTCTTTGATGTTCAATCGCTCATCACACAGGCAGTACTGCTAGGTACACATGGCGTGCTGTATACTCAGGAACAATGCACGTTTGGTTTCTACTCGGATGGCGACACAACCATCTCAGATCTCTCTCTCAAAGCTTTCCCATTCAGCTTCATAGAGTATTCTAATTGCCCTCTAGGCTTGACCACTTTCAACTCACTCTACCTTCCACGGCTGTTGGTAGAAATTTGCTAGTAGTCCTATAAAGTCTATTGCGCTCTTAATCCTCACCTAACCTACAATATTCCCTCATCCATAGATCTTGGAACCGATCTGCTAGCAATCCTATATAAAGACCATCGATCCTTTGATCCTCTTCCAACCTACATAATCTCCTCATCCTCGCATAAAATACCTTGACCGTCTGAACAAAGGAAAGGTTGCTAGGCGACGAAGCTCTTCACCAAGTTGTGGCGCCCGAGAACTTCACAACACACCTACTACCAGCGCCACTTCCCAAAATGGAAGGGTGCCCCTCCCAGCCATACCAGAATGGTCCCCCGCGTGACTCAGGGACCATCCTAGTCCTGTTGCTTATAACCATAGTGTTTCTTTGCTTTGTGGTCTACCGCATAGAATCTTATGTATTCATAATGCTTCAGACGATCGAGCGGGGAGACATGGCTCACAAAAATGAAAAGAACAGTCTCCAGATGGAGCGGACCGCGCTGGCTCCAGTGAATCCATGTGCTCAGAACAGTACTGCTCCGCTCTCCAGTCTCCTCGACAGCGGGCTTGACGACATCAAAGTCCCCAGCCTACAGCCACTGTCACCTATCAAAAAGTCTTCCGTTATCCGGATCACAATTCAGAGGCAGCCTACAGAGAGAGCGACGAGCCTGCTCATTGACCAGCACGTTGACAGTCTGTCTATTCCCGTGCTGGAACCCCAGAAAGTGAGTCCTAGTTTCGGTGCAGCTACCACTATATCCCAGGTCCAACTACCATGGTTAACCCGCCCGGTGTGTGTTAAGAAACAGCCGTTCGTCACGATGAAACCACCAGTGCTTGTGCCGTGGGATGGTACAATCAAATGGGCCCTCCAAGGATGCAGTGTCTTTGAGAACACGGATGAAGAACTCGACGCGTTGCTGTATCGCCCGAACATTGTCAGCAAAGGATCTCCAGCTGAGCTCTGGATGTTTCAGTTCGGTCTGCGCTATATACCCGCTGAGAGTGACAGAGATGTATACCGCGCCGTCACTATTGAGAAACTACCATCAGATGTGACTCTGCAGCAACTCTTGCCTTTGGTCCACTGTGAAATATACTCTGCGCACCTCCTCGATACTGTATCTATCACAGGGTCTAACACCGCTTTCATCGTCTTCGTTACCCAGGCAGATAGTTTTGACTTCCTCGAAACTTCAGGCGGAAGTCTCGCCCTGGGGGCAACACAGGCTAAAGTGACCCTAGTCTCGACTCCAACATATCCTATGACGGCTGGTATGGCACGGCTGGTTTTCGAAGAGGGTCATACGCGGTGTGTCTGTATATCTGGTGTGCGGGACACTTTGAAGGCAGAAATTCGTCGGGTCTTAGGCCGCTCGCCGTACTTGGACTATCTTGAACGGATCGAAGACGGACAGGTACTCGGGGAGGTCTATGTTCGGTTTCACTCTATCAAGGTGGCTACTGCCGCCTATGGGCTTTTGAAGAGTCATCCGAGCTTCCATGAGTGTAAATTTCGGTTTCTGGGAGCAAGACCTTCGGCGCGGCGATCCCGAATTGGGATCTGGGATTGAAGAGCAGTCTCGTCTTCCCGTGCGTCTGTACAGTAGATAGCCTTTATATCGTTTTATTGCTGGCGTTAATGGACATCTTCCAGTAGCAATCGAGCCTTGGTAAGCTGGTAAGCAAGTAAGCAATGCCTAGAACTTCCCCGCGTGGGGGCGGGTCTCCAGCATTCCTTAGCCGAGCTCTACCCCGGCCGTGACCCATCCACAATAACCACCCCCATTATCCATTGCCATTGATCCGGGTGCACTAAGAAAACACAGCATCTCAGATGTCATTATCCGAACTGATTGCGGAAGTGAACTTCATCGCCGTGCTAGCGCATTCCACAGTAACACATACATAGCCGACTCAGACATGGTAGTCCTTGCTTCATGCTGTGCAGACTTCCACCGCGGGGAATAACCCTTCGTTTGGGCCCGACTAACTTTTGGGTTTCCTCCTCCAGTTAATCTCGGGCCAATAGACCTCACGCACACCCTTGGCGATCACCATGATTGGTTTCTCGTTGGGTCCTTTTGTGCTGATCGGTCTGTCTATCCTCGCTTCTTGACCCTAGATCCTTCGCGAAGAGCATCGTCATTCAGCTGCAGCTATGATCACGATAGGATTACCAATTGCCGGAAGCCCACCCTTTAAAATGCTACTGGCGCCTCCCCTCCTTTTCTTCACTGTTCCTCCCTAGTGTCTCAAGTCATTGCTTTCTGCCCGCTCCTCCTCTTTGTCCATCTGCCACAAAACATCATTATGGCGCAGGTCGACGAGAAACCAGCGTTAAACAATTCCTCACGGGGCGTGGTGGATACAGAAAAGGCTACTACTGTCCACGGCTTACCAGAGGAGTCGCAACTGGACTTTCTTGATGATCCGGATGAAGGTTTGAGTGAGGAGGAAAAGGCGAAGATCGTAAGTAACCTCCCCTTGTCAACACCAACAGGGATGATGAGCTGGACTAATGCAATAGCCAGGATCGTGCATTACTGTGGAAACTTGATTTGCGGCTTATCCCGTGGTTGAGTCTGCTGTACCTGATTTCCTTTTTGGACAGGTATGCACAGTTACCCCAATGATCGTCGTAGGAAATTAATCGTGGCTTAAATAGGACGAATGTCGGCAATGCAAAGCTCGCTGGTCTCCAAGGGGACTTGCTTATGACCAACTCGCAGTACAACGACTCCTTGACCATTTTCTTCGTGTCATACGCGATCTTCGAACCTATTACCAATGTTCTCCTCAAGCGCTGGCGGCCTAGCGTGTTTATTCCGATTATAATGGTAGTATGGGTATGGATAATAAAGTCTTATGCAGGGTGACTTGCGCTGATTTTGGGACAGGGCATATGCATGACTTGTATGGGACTCGTACACAACTTCTCTGGGATCATGGCGGTGAGTGTTTGCATACATATACTATCTCCAAATAAAGGAATTCGCGCGGCGCAATTGATATCCCTGCTGACGGTAGTAGGTGCGATGGTTCCTTGGTCTGGCGGAAGCCGGTCTCTTTCCTGGCGTCGGATACTTCTTATCCTGCTGGTACAAAAGATCCGAATTCGGCGTTCGCATGGCCATCTTCTTCTCCGCCGCTGCTCTTGCAGGGTCATTTGGCGGATTGCTCGCGGCAGCGATTGCCCTGATGGATGGCATTGGAGGCAAGGCGGGCTGGTCTTGGATCTTCATTCTTGAGGGTCTGCTGACGATCGTCATCGGCGTGCTGTCTGTATGGATGGTCTACGACTTTCCGGACCAGGCCAAATTCTTATCCGAACCGGATCGGAAGCGTGTACTGCGTCGTCTGGCAGCTGACAAGCAAGCTAGTGCTGCGTACGAGAAGTTCGAGATGACGTATTTCTGGAGCAGTCTGAAGGACTGGAAGACCTATCTCAATGCGATCATCTACATGGGTTCATGCATGCCGCTATATGCATTCTCCCTATTTACCCCAACTATCATCAATGAGCTAGTATGTCCTCCACAACCTGAGCATATTGCACAGCACTAACAATAGATAGGGTTTGTTTTGATACTCCTGTGATTCGGTAGGGATCTAACCGGCGCAGGCTATACCGCGATTCAGGCGCAGCTTCTCAGTGTCCCGCCTTATGCCGCTGCGGCTATCGTCACTGTGGCGGTCGGGTTCATCGCAGATCGGACCGGCCAACGTGGCATCTGCAACATTGTGGTGTCAATCCTCGGTATCGCCGGGTTCTCCTTGCTTCTTGGGGCGAGTTCCGCCGGGGCACGATATGCAGGGGTGTTCCTGGGCGCCATGGGTATCTACCCAGCGATCTCGAACACCATTTCCTGGGCCAGTAACAACACAGAGGGTATTACATCTCTATTGAATAGTGGAGAACTGTGGCTGACTGTGGCAGGTGTGTACAAGCGCGGTGTCACGCTGGGTATTGTCATTGGCTGGGGCAACCTGAACGGCGTCGTGTCCTCCAACATCTACCGCGGCGGAGACGCGCCTCAGTTCTATCCGGGACACGGGGCAGTGCTGGCATATTTAGTGCTGTTTCTGTTTGGCGGATCAGTAGTGCAGTATGTCCTTCTCCGACGGGAGAACGCGAAACGTCGTCGGGGCGATCGAGACCACTGGATAACAGGACTGGAGAGACAGGAGATCGAGAAGCTTGGAGACAAGCGGCCAGACTTTATATACACGCTGTAGCTGCTATACCCAATCAACACCAAACAACATCTCCACTCAGCTTCCATTAATCCAAAATCTATATATATATTCTTCTCCTCTAATCAAACCGCATCCCGCAAGGTATAATAGTTCACAATATCCTGATCCTTCTTCGGCCCCTTGACCACATGTCTACTCGCCCAACTAACCACCTCCCCAATCCCATCCCCATCCCCATCCCCCTTCAGCACCCGAAACGCATACGCCGTGCGATACATATCATTAATACAGAGATGATTTCCCCTCGCCGTAACCACCACCGTCTCTCCCCCAGCAGCTGGCGGCACCGGCGCACTCACATACTCATCATCCTCTTCCCCTTCCCCTTCCCCACTGGTAGATGTATCTGATGTATCCGTATGAAACTCCATCCCATGAAACAAATAATCCGCGACCTTCTCATCCCCCACTTTCACAAACCACACTGACAAATCATCCTTGACTGCAGATGTAGATGTAGATGGAGTTGATAACCTCCAAATATAAGACTTCTTCCATTGCAGGTTATGACCGATATGTGCGGGGAGTGTGCCGGTCTCAGTATAGAGGAGTTGGCGCTGCGGGGGAGATTGTGGTTGTGCGGTGGTGGTGTCAAGCGGAGTGAAGGATGCGGTGCCGTGCAGGTTGCCGTTGATGTCGTGCGGGTTTGCGCTTTTGAGGACGCGGAGGAGGGTCCATTGTTTTTGGGGGAGGGAGGTAAATAGGTGGGCGAGGTTGAGGGCTGGGGTTGTTGTTGTCATTGTGGGGGCATGGTATGGTTTGTATGTGATGTGTAGATTTGTGGTAGTGTGGTGAAGAGAAGAGAGGGGGATGGAGTGACGGGGGAGGAGGAGGGGAAAGAGGAAGAAGGTCGGGTGGGGAGCTGCGGGAGGTGTGGGTTGTGACCCACTGAGCTAGTCTTGGATTAATACGCTTAAGTATTGATCTAGCATTAATGGAGTGAGGTTGGTGTTTGGGGTTTGTTCTTTGTTGATCATTATTAATGAGTAATGCTCACATTGAGATGAATGTACATCTTCGCTTGGTATATTGAGGTCAGATGGTTTGTTGGTTGGGCTAGCAGCACACCTGATCTGATGAATTCCGGCCTCGGATCTATCCGCAATCCCTGCCCTCTATCTAACTAGTCGCTAACAAATCTCTAATATAGTCCTATACGGAGTACACGGTTTTTAAATGCTAACTCCAATGCTGGAGAGATCTCCTCCCGCAACAATCAAATCCTGTGTGTATTCTCTGCTAATCTCATTTTCTCTACCTCTACTCCCTCCGCGCTCAAGACTCGAACATACAAACAAAAACCAGTGCATCTAAAGATCTCTGCGAAGTAACAGGACGAAGTTTTTCTTTATTATTTTATATGATTAACTTTTTCATCCACCCATATGGACCATAACAGCGCATCTTGCTCCAAACAAGCATACACTCATCCACTGACGCGACTACCCTAGCAATCACCGTCTCACCCCACCCTAGTTGGGCCTAGGCTGATTCTGCGGCTTGCGGTCCTTGTGCGGCTTGTCGTCGTGAGGCTTGGGCTGGGGCTTCGGCTGGGGCTTCGGCTTCGGCTTCGGACCATTGTCATGCTTCGGCTGGTCCTTAGGAGGTTTCGGACCATCGCGCTTGTGGTTGTCCCCATGCGGAGGCCTAGGATCCTTGGGAGCGGGGCCCTCCTTGTGAGGCTTGGGCTTGGGCTGATTGTGAGGTTGGGGAGCCTTCTTGGGCTTAGGTACGTCAGGCTTAGGCTCATCCTTCGGAGGCTTTGGCCCGTCACGCTTGTTGTTGTCGTGGGGTCTGGGAAGAGGGGCGTTAGGAGGAGGGTTGGGGGGATGATGAGGTTGGAGATCAGTAGGACCTGAAGGTGTTAGCATGCAGGTATGTGAAATTATTGCAAGACATACGTGGAGCAGGAGGGGCAGCGGCAACCAGGCCGGCTACCATCAAGGTAGAAAGAACGGCAGAAAGCTTCATTGGGATGGACAACAGGAATTGAAGAATATGGAAGAATAAGAAAAGCCAGTTTTCTTGATGTTCTAGTGATGATGTTGCTGATGAGTCGATAGCCGGGCTTCGACGTCCCTTTTATACCTTTCTCTACACGCCCATTCGGAGCATCATCGGCCTCTCAAACAGTCATTTATCAATCACGCAGGGAAACTTCGCCCGGTATTCTCATCCGGATGTGCTATGTTTGTCTCTGAACTGAATAAACTTTTGCGTGTACCGAACCATGGGCCTGATGTATCGGCCTTGCCGTGTGTTTCAAAATCGCATCAGGTTTGCAGAATTTTGGTCAGGATGCAATCAGCTATCATGGACATCATCCGAAAGATCCATCGCTCAACCACAACGTTGGTCAATTTGTAGAGACCAACAGTTTCGTCTCTGATAGTCTAGCAATTTTCTCAGGTGCTCTGTCCTAAAATCGGGTGCAGGTGCAGGTGCGGTGAACATGCTGTGTTCCTCGGGTTCTCGGGCCGGCAGCTCTCGTCGATCACGAAGCTTAGCGTTTAAGGTGTCGATCAGTTGCTTGGTTTTAGTGGTTCAATGAGTCGACGGTATGATAGGCAGGCGTGGTGATAAGTCGGCTACAGGCGGTTAAGCATACTGTAGAGTAGTCCCTACCTAGGGTATCATACTCTGCATCACCAGTAAGTCATGGTAAATATTCCTACTATTCCAATGGGCATAAACTTGCTTCTCGCACGAACATCTAACTTTTATACTTCTCCACTTACTTCTATTAAGCTGATACCTCCTAGCGTGAATTTGACTACCGGATAACCTTATATCCAGCTCCTCAGAAGGGAGGATCTAGACCTCTCGACCAGTCCTTATTCCCGCCGGTGAAGGATTTTTTCCATTTGAAACACTCACACAAATAACCCTTATGCAGTAACTGAGCCTATCCGGATACTTTTAAGACTCTATATCAATCTAGAACCGAACAGGCGGACATACCTAACATATTAGGTATATGTCCGTGCCCACATAGGGGTGCTTATACCCGGTCTGTGTCAATTGGAAACTTTAATGACAAGAGGGTCTAGGTTGTTTTCTTCAGGAATGTGCCGTGCAAGCACAAATAGCAATTACTGCTTGTTATAGGTTTCATCACGACCAAACCCTTCCAAGTAGTAAAAGAAGAGAACAATAACATATCCAACCATATCCATGTTGTGCTTCGTGATAATTGACTCTGACAGCGTAGAAGTATGCTTACTACATCTGTCTAGAGGGAAACAGCATACGAGATGATCCTACGCTTCAGGCCAAGAATAGTATAAATACAACGAAAAAGGCCAAGCAACAACTCCACCACCCAGATAAAAGTAGTACCCCTCCGTGATCGGCGTCCGCGAACCGGACCGTGAGTCAAAAGACACTTGGCTAAACTTGGCATCACATAGTGAGACGGATACGAAGTTTGAATGAAGGGGAGAGACGAGCGGGAGGGGATTGATTCTATTATGCTGATCCTTCCCTGCTTAGTTAACTTCTTTGGTTCTTGAGCTAGGTTGTTGGGATATCGAATGTATTTCAATATAGAGTCCTAGACATAAGGGTTGTTCATATGAATATTTAGTCCCATCAACCCTTTTACTCGATACATAGACAGACAGCCTTCCTTACATTCAAGAAAATTGTAAAGTCCAGCCAGCAGTCGAGATATAACCCACAGATGCAGAGACCCCCGAACTCGGCATGATCACACTGACACAGGAACAGTTTTGGTTGAGTCTCCTCCTTTCCAAGTTCTCTGGAACAGGGATGTACAGCTGCCGCAGGTCTACCTTTTTCCTTCATATCGAGAACGCATTCTACACTCTCTTATTCTGAGGAAAGGAGGAGACAGAAGACGAAGAAAAAAGTCTTCTCGTGTACTTCCTTTGTTCTGAACGTAGTACAAAGCTTCGCTTACTACTATAGTAGCAGTGGCAGAAAGCTGCTAGCTGACCGCCCTATTGACCGCTCTAAGCGGCAGAACCTAGCGAACCTCGCTCTGAAAACCTCGGATTTAAGCGGATTTAGGAGCATACAGTCCCCAAAATACTCCCACTGGATTCTGTATGTTTTTTGACCGCTTTTGGAAGGAGGTGGCAGAAAATGGTCGCTGGTATGTATACCTGTTAAAAGTATGAGAGTAGTCGATTCGTCTGGATATTATTCAAGCCACTTCTTTTTTCTTTTCTTTTGTTTTCAATTATGGTGTCTTAATGTGTGTTCGAAAATGGATTTATGATATTATTGTCTTGTAAAGCTTGGTCTATTAGATTTTCTTCGTTGATTAGTTGGCTCCTACATTAGTATATAACTAGGGCTTCTTTGGTCGTATCATTTACATGCTCATATAGTAGTAGTTTCTGATGATAACGTTATGATGATGGGAGTGATACTTCTTATATAGGGGTTTTTCACTCTAATTGTTCAGTCTATGGTTGTCTTCGTTGAAGAAGCCTATTCAGCTATTGCTTGTTGCGCGACCGAACGCAAATTTCCAATTGTTTTGATATCATATGCCCTTCTTACAATGAACAGATTATAACGGCCAAGCAATTGTAGATGACAGTAAAATCTTTGACTTCTGAAGACATCAAGGCTCAATTTAATCAAGTGCAGACCTTGTGGTTGCAGGAGCAACCTATTGCTCTAGGCTACTAGACAAAGCCCATCGATCGATTAATGCAGCATGTGCGGGGATCATGGCGTGCGCAAGAACCCCGCATGCCACCGCCGTCGATCCATCTCTATCCTTCATTCTTCCAATTCCCATGATAGTTCATTTTGGTATTCCAACATCAAAAGCCGTCCAGTCATGTCGTCACAAAAGGTCTATCTCGACCACTTGCTTCTCCAATTCAGCAAGACCGAGTTCGAGTCGCCTTCGAAATGGTTGACTGATCACTTTACTATCATTGAGGGCGGTACTCATGCGGGTAAGATATTAATATCCCTCGTTTATCGGATAAGATCTTTTGCACATGCTTATCAGTGGCAGGTGGTCTGAGTCGCAACAAATTAATCATCTTCCCCGACGGCACTTATCTGGAACTCCTAAACTGGATCAACAAACCAGAAGATTGGAGAGACCGACCGGGCGATTTTGCGCTTACATCTTTAGCACCAGTCTCGGCCGAAGATAACCATGACCGTATAGTCAAAGCGCTGAATACCATCGCTGATGATAGCCTGGGGGTGACGTACTCACAGCCGATCGATGGAGGACGTCAGACGCCCAGTGGGGTTGAGATTCGTTGGAAACTACTAAAGGCACTTTATTCCGATACAAAGTCAACTACGCCAGATCTTCATCCCAGAGGCCGCACAGATGCACCCTTCTTCTGCCATGATGTCACGGACAGGGTTCTTCGCGTCCCGTATGATCAGTCTTCTATCGTTGATCACCCATCAGGCGCGACGGGGATTGCGGGCATCGAGCTGCTCGTGCCTAAAGATAAGCTGCAATCCTATGTGGCCCTTTATACGTGCATAGTGGGAGCATCCCCGCGCTTGTCCACTACCGAAGCGGAGTTCGAGCTCAGAGCGCCGGGTTCCCTAGATTTCTCCGGGGTTCTTCGCATTCGGGCTGCAACGTCGGAGAATGATGATCAATATCTGCGGGAGAAAGGGATTGGCATCTCATCTCTGATCATCCGATCGAAAGCTATCGGGGATTTTCTCTTTCCTGTATCAGATTATCTGCATTGAGGCGCTCGTGCTAATCCGTGTATGTACCAATGCAACTTGGAACTTGAATCTTCGATAAGGAACTAGTCAAAGAGAGGAAATGATCAATCAACATCAGTGTACTGCAGTCGCAGATCTCAGTCCATTGAGAGAAATCATGATGTTATGCGCATGCTCTGTAGCCTATGATTGCGTACAAGGTTCTAGCAGGCCATAAGTAGGCTTGAAGATGCTCTCTAGACAACTGTTCCAGAAACAGACAGATGCCTGATCGAGCAAGGGATCTGTCATCCTGGCTTTTCCGACCGTATAATGATCTTTTTATAGGTCGCAGATCGATCAGGAGGTACATGGCCCTTGCTTATCATTTCCGCATTAGTAGAACTTATTCTGGCTTGTTAAGAATGCTCGCGGGGCTTCTGCTTGAAGTCAGCTGTGTTGCTCACCGCTGGAGCGGTCACTGATATGAGCTCGTTCAGCTGCTTCAGAGCATGCTGCGAAGTCGTATCGCTTAAAGGTACTCCGTACTTCTACTCCTATCTGCACCGGGTGAGCCACACTTGGACAGGTCCTGGTGGCGTCATGGACACATTCCTCCCTGCCCCTGGAATGACCGATCAGCCCGGGGATGAAGGAGATCGGTTCCATACGGCATCCAGAGCGATCCGTGGATCCACGGCCTTTAAACTCAAATCAGAGGAATGTGTCAAACGATATCAACAATGTAAACTTAGAATTCATGTAGATGTTAGATTGGTGAGTGGTGAGTAGTGAGCAAAGCGACGGATAGATTGGGCGATTTCAGAGGGTCATCAGTCATCCAAGGAGGCGAGTGAAGTCAATACCTCTGAGACAGTTTTTCCCCAGAATTACACCCTCGCAATATCCCTGGATGTGAAGGTATCACGGCACCGTTGCATAGTGGGGCTTGGAACCAGGCGCCCCAGATTATTGGGAATAGTGTGCTGCAAAAGATACCCACAGGTCAGTTTGACAGGGCAACAGCCACGGATTCGGGACGACGCATGCGGCGAGGGTTGAGGGGAGACTGAAAGGGTCCGCGGAAACCAGGAAGATGTAACGAGGTACTGTTAGGGAGATGGGGACAAGTGGATCCCAAGTTGCAGAGTGTGAGATTTGAGGATGATGAAGATGAAGATCTGGAAGAGTACGGAGTATACAGATTAGAGAAGGGGGGCAAAGAAAAGCAGGAAGAATGAGATGCGATGGGGCAAAAATCAGCCAGAAAGGCGTTCAGGGTCCAGACTGCGCGGCCAGAGATTAAAATAACCGGCAACTAAACTGGAGGAGGAAAAGAGCATCCAGCAGGACTTCGTAAAAGACTCCATTCTTACGCAAACCTGGACTTCGGGCGCAAATGAATTTTCGGCGCTACGCAGTGGGACTAACAAGGACTAACACCAAGGCAGTAAGCATCATCCGCCCGTGTCTCCCTCCGGCCGCAACCGGCCAGGCAATAATCCTTCCTCAATCTTCCTTCTCCTCTTCCTTCCCTCCTTTCGTTATTATTATTATTATTATTATTCTGGTCTTTTCGCTCCCTCGCCTATTCCCGCCGTTATCGAGGGCTGACTGTCGCCTCTCCAACCATCTATCCCGTCACTCGTTCGTCTCCGACCTTCCACCACCACCACCGCTTCCACTGCCACCTTCGCTACGCCCGCCCAATCGCCAACTTTTATATTCTCTCTCTCCTCGCCACCACCACCGCTCACTCGCCTTGGACTAGATTATCGTCGTCATATCATGGTGGGCACCTCCCAGTGAGCGATTCCTCTCCCCCTCGACGGTCCCCACCGCCCTCCTTTCAGCCGCAAGATACCTCGTCATGGCACGTTGGCCCCGGGCCTTGACCCCCAGCCATGCTGCCAGTTCAACCTCCTCGACCATGCTCTTCTATCTCTCCTTGATGTCCATCGCTCTCTCGACCGTCGTTCGCGCTCACACTGTCACCCTTCTCCCATCTGTCGCCTCGTCCGACTTCCCCGCATGTGCCTTGACCTGCTCGGTCTTAAAGGAGGCCCAGAATGAGTGTGTGCCTCCCGTCGCCGCCCAGACCGATCATGCGACCTACGTCTCGTGCTTCTGCCAGTCAGCTCTGCTCGACCAGATCCCTTTTCCGACTGGGGTCTGCACAGAAAGCTGTCCCAGTGCCTCGGATCGTGCGTTGATCCGGACATGGTATGACGAATTTTGCTCGTCCGAGGACACCCTCGCCGCAAGAGACACCACTCCCTCCATTTTCGCGAGAGATTCGCGCTCCCAGACCTGGTAGGTAGCCCCCGCCCCGGTGAACACCTGGACCGGCGCAGATATTGACATAGCTAGGTGGACAACCCACTACCAGTGGGTGATCATGGTTATTGTTCTGGTTGTCGCGTTTTCCGTCATCACCGTCGTGGGCGTCTGGCTTAAGCGTCGCCACGACCGGAAATACCCTGGCCTCTACCACGCTACCAACACCGCAGGAACCGATAGCGCACTGTTGGCAGCTCGTCAGCAGGACAACAGTCCATCACCTCAACCGGGACCTCCCCCACAGGGCGCGTTCAGGCCCGGCCGATTCGACCCCACGTTAAACTCCGAGTCGATTGCCAGCAGTTCGCGCACCAACATCACCGCTCCGACGACCCGGCCCGCTCGAAGTTCGTCGCGTCTACAGAAGGCCCAACCAGTTCCAGAGGGTGATATAGAAATTCGCGAAGTTAGCCGGTGATATCCGTGCATGATTATGGTTTCTTTCCTTTTGTCGTTTGCTTTTTCTATTTCACTTCAAGTGTCAATCTTTTCCCACTTTGAGAGCGGGAGAAATGCGCTGTTCACGTCGTTAGTACCGGCATGACGTGGGTAAAGCCAGTCGGGAAACAAATCGGCGCATCTCGCGAAACAAACTTGCATATACCTGGCGTTTACGTGTTTGTGGGGTTCAACTGGGAGAGTCCGATTCCCTATCGTCCCACCCTACACTTCTTTTCTTCTTCGTCTTTTGACTCTCTCTGCCTCGCCTGCTCCGAATGATTGTGCATAAATATGGTTCAGGTTTCTATTTGGCTGTGGTTACCTTTGACCCTTGTGTGATCGAATATAGTCCCTTCCGTTGCTCGCTTTCTTTGATGCATCGATATTATACTCCTATACGTGGAGCATGACCAGGATCGAATATATATATATGACTGATTATTGTAAGATTCTTACTTCATTCAAGGAGAGGATGGACCTGCAAAAGCAAAACAAAGAACTCAATGAACATAAAGTGACACGGATTTCCTATTTACTTTTGTTGGCAATCCCAGAGAACACCGTGCTTATATATTGACAACTGAATCTGTCTTTAGTGTGCTTTCGGTGGGTTGGAATTGCAGCCTGCAAATACTACCTCATTACTAATCGTTTCACCCTGAAGTGGTGCAGAGACAAACTGCACTGTATACTACCAACATGACAGGAGCTTATTTTCTAAAGTACTAATTCAGATCTTGGTCTACCGTGATTGATACTACAAGATTAAGGCATAATCTCATACCTCCTACTAACCAATTACTGATGCTCTTGATGCATGTATGACATACCATTTTAGTATGATAGTATATAATTGACCCACTGGCCTCAGCATTCTCACGCAATATTGAACACCCCCAAAAGACTCTGTGCATGCGGATAGTAAATATTCCCTTTATCTGTGTTTGCTCTATGCAGCAACACTTTCACTTATGCTAGTCATTAGAAAGAGACTGGAAATCGGGTGTTGATCATACTACCAACGCACTCAATAGTCCACGGGGTTCAAAGCAACACATGATATAACCCATACGTTGTCTAGCTAGTTTTCCGAGGGCCATCCTTCTATAGTGATCATGTAAAAATCCATCAGAGCGTGTGACATATTAGTATCTAATTGGTACTTGCATAAAGTCACTAGAGTGATACAGCAATACAGTCCCAGTACTGACTTCAATGATACATATTGAATGCTAATTTACAGGGTAGTAGTATATAGAAAACGGGTAAAGAGAAACACAAAATCGCTGAACTTGATATAGAAACCAACAATCCCTACCAAAGCACGTAACAAAGAGACAACCCCTAAGTAACCGTTATACTCACGATCTTAATATCCTGCTCCGGCTTCTCCTTGAACGTCTTCGTGTTCTCAATCTTATGCACGACATCCAAACCCTGCACCGCACGGCCAAACACAGTATGTTTCCCGTCCAACCAGGGCGTCTTTTCTGTCGTGATAAAGAACTGACTTCCATTCGTATTGGGACCCGCGTTAGCCATGGACAAAGTATATGGTTTATCGTGTTTAAGACTGGAGAACTCGTCCTCGAACTCGCCGCCCCAGATGGATTCACCGCCTGTGCCGTCTCCCAGCGGATCACCACCCTGGATCATGAACTTGCGGATGACACGGTGGAAGATGGTGTTGTTGTAGTAGCCGTTGCGGGCATGGGTGGTAAAGTTCTCGACGGCTTTAGGAGCAGCAGAGGGGTAGAGGCGAAGGTGGATGTCGCCCATGGTGGTGTGCAGGATGGCGGAGGTGCCGAGTTCGGCGGCCTTAGGTGCGGCGGCTTCACGGCCGGAGGCGGCTTCGCGCGGCCGTTCGTTTTGGATGTCGCGGTTTGATTTGGAAATTTCAGTGTCATTTGTGAATAGGTAGAAGCGGACTTTGGCAAATCCTGTGCTGACGAGGATTGGATCGCGTTCTTCGGCTTCTTGGAGAAGTGGGTTGGCACTGGCAGCCATGGATACGGTCACGACGCCCTTCTTTTGCGGTTGACCTTGGTACATGGCGAGGTTGAGGGAGCGGAATGGCTCCTCTTTGGCGTAGACGCGAACGACGCGGTTGGTGTATGTGTTGATGCATTTAATGCCGTAGAGGGAGCCATAGAGAATGAAGTGACCGGATTCGTCGAAGAGGACGTTGATCTTGGGCTTGGTGATGGGGTTCTCGAGTTCCCGTTCTACAGCAAGTCGGCGGCCGAATTCGAGCTCGTCGAGTTGGTAGATGGCTGTGCCGGCTTGCTGCATTGCAGTGATTGTGTTCAGTGATTCGTCGTACTTGCGGTAGAGCTTGCCCGTGGCGAAGTCGAAGACGCGGACTTGACGGTCCGGGAAGGAGACGGCGGCGAATTGTTGGCCGGAAGGGGAGATGCACAGCGACGCAGGGACCGACTTGGCCTTTCGGAACTCGAAAAGGTTGGTAGAGGACTTCAGCTCGAAGACATTGTCGGGCTTCTCGAAGGAACCGTCACCCGCTCGCCAGTACTCAATCATGCCGGAGTCGTCGGCGGAGATGACACAATCGTAGGCGTCGTTGAAGGCAATGGCGGCCACGGGGCTTCGGTGGATCGACTTGACGGTGTGCAGAGGGGTCTGATTTTCACCGCGGCCATCGAAGACCTGGATCATACTGCTTTCTTCGTCTGTTACGGCCAGCAAAGGTAATGAGGCGCCCCGACGATGGACCCAGCATACACAGCGCGGAGTGAATTCGACAGTGAGCATGGCAAGAAGGTCTGCGATAGTGTTAGTGCACTCGATCGCTGCGATAATAAGAAGCTTATATGCCTACCAAACGTGATAACATCAAAAATCTTAACCGTCTTGTCCGCTCCGGTCGTCGCAAAACTTCTTCCATCGGCGCTGACGCTGACGCTCTTGATCTCCGAGGTGTGGGCGCGAAACTCCTTCACGAACTCGACACCGACGGCCATCTTCTTCCAAAACTTGACGAAGCCATCAATAGACGAGGTTATAAGGAAATCGGTATGCGGGGTCACGGTGACAAAGGACAATTGGTCCTTGTGCATGAGAGACTTGGAGTACCGCGGCGATGCGGGCAGCGCGTTTACGTAGACCTTCTCGAAAGGGAGCTTGCGACGCTTCTTTTTCGGTGCATCAGCGGAAGGGAGGGCCGGTCCGAAGTCATCGTCAGAAGATGAATCGTCTCCTAGAAGAGCTAGTCAGTAGCTGTTCAGCTGCGCGTCTTGTCTTCATAGCTGCTCGCAGGAGCTGTTCCCGACACTGCGGACCTACCATTCTCGTCGCTACCATCCACGGCGGAATGGGGGCGCTTGTTCGTCGCCAGTTTCTGTTCCTCCTCTGCAGGCATTTTAGAAAAAGGATCAAGGGTAATTTATGAGTAAATATTGGGATGAGCAAGACAGCAGCGCTGGTCAAGAAGCGATGGAGGAGCAAGGCCGGGCGGTCTGCCACCGCCGGCGGAGCTCGGGCCACATCGCGAACTTTTCTGGTTGTCCCGCATTGGTTGGCCTCGCCGTCTCTGAGTCCTCACCGTCCAGCAGAAGCATCCCCCTGAGCTACCAGTCTTTGCCCCCGACGGTAGCCCATCCTTTCATCCACAATCAGTCACCATGGTATGTTGTTTATGACGCCCATCCTCTTGTTACGTCGCTTTCGACTAATTACTAACCGCCCCTCAAGGCGTCCTTCGCCAATCCCACGCAGATCTTTGCGGACGATGTCATCGAAGAGAAGGGTGAGAATGCTCGTTTGTCCGCCTTCGTCGGTGCCATCGCCGTCGGAGACCTGGTGAAGAGCACCCTGGGTCCCAAGGGAATGGACAAGATCCTCCAGTCAGCGTATGTGGGATGACCCATTCGAGCTAAGCGGGGTTGCACCCCCCGAACACCACACTGATATTACGGCTGATACAGGTCGACCGGAGACATCCTCGTTACGAATGACGGTGCTACGATTCTTAAGTCAATTGCTCTCGACAACGCTGCGGCCAAGGTTCTGGTCAACATCTCGAAGGTGCAGGATGACGAAGTTGGTGACGGCACCACCTCCGTGACCGTGTTGGCTGCGGAGTTGCTGCGGGAGGCTGAGAAGCTCGTGAACCGCAAGATCCACCCCCAGACCATCATTGAGGGATACCGGATAGCTAGCAAGGCGGCTCTGGAGGCCTTGGAGAAGGCGGCTGTTGACCGTAGTGCCGATATGGAGTCGTTCCGCAAAGACCTCCATGCCATCGCTCGTACCACCCTCAGTTCGAAGGTCCTGGCCCAGGACCGTGATCAGTTCGCTGCCCTCGCCTGTGACGCTGTCCTCCGTCTCCGTGGATCGACCGACCTGAGCCACATTCAGATCATCAAGAAGGCCGGTGGCAAGCTTAGCGACTCCTACCTCGACGAGGGTTTCATCCTCGACAAGAAGATCGGTGTGAACCAGCCCAAGCGCTTGGAGAACGCCAAGATTCTGGTCGCCAACACGGCCATGGACACAGACAAGGTGAAGATCTTTGGTGCACGGGTGAAGGTCGAGTCGACAGGCAAGCTGGCGGATCTCGAGAAGGCGGAGCGTGAGAAGATGAAGGCCAAGGTTGAGCGGATCAAGGCCCACGGAATCAACTGCTTCGTCAACCGTCAACTTATCTACAACTGGCCCGAACAGCTGTTCACGGAAGCTGGCATCATGTCCATTGAGCACGCCGACTTCGATGGTGTTGAGCGCTTGGCTCTGGTCACTGGCGGTGAGATCGCCTCGACATTCGACCACCCCGAACAGGTCAAGCTGGGTCAGTGCGACGTTATCGAGGAGGTCATCATTGGCGAGGATACGCTCATCAAGTTCTCGGGCGTGGCTGCCGGTCAGGCATGCACCATTGTGCTCCGTGGTGCCACGGAGCAGCTGCTCGACGAAGCCGAGCGCTCTCTCCACGACGCTCTGGCCGTGCTCTCTCAGACGGTCAAGGACCCCCGGGTGACCCTGGGAGGTGGCTGTGCCGAGATGGTGATGTCCAAGGCCGTTGAGCAGGCTGCCCAGAACACGACCGGCAAGAAGCAGATGGCCGTGGATGCTTTTGCGTACGCTCTGAAGCAGCTCCCTACCATTCTGGCGGACAACGCTGGTCTGGACTCCAGCGACCTGGTGACGCGACTACGACAGGCGATCAACAACGGCATGACCAGCTCCGGACTGGATCTGCTCACCCCTGGCGGTGGCATTGCTGACATGCGCGAGTTGGGTGTTGTGGAGAGCTACAAGCTGAAGAAGGCGGTAGTGTCCTCTGCGTCGGAGGCTGCAGAGGTAAGAATCACATTCCTTGAGTTTATCTAGCAAGCTTGATTATACTGAAAAACTAACCAACCTACAGCTTCTCCTGCGTGTCGACAACATCATCCGGGCTGCGCCCCGTAGACGTGAGCGTATGTAAGGGACGAGGGAGATGTCAAGTAAATATCCAATATCCAATCTTATGTGAGCGTGGAAAATAATGTGAGCTTGAATCAAACCCGCCAGGGATGACTTAGGAGGTGGATGGGATGTCCACTGTGCTCTATAGGGAGCGTAATCACCATGCTATAGACCTTCCGATGGGAAAAAAAGCATCTGACGAATGATTTTTGAATATGCTTATATTTCTTTCTTTTCTTTCACCTGGACGATGGCACTCGTGCTGCCTCTCGCTGCCTTCACAATCTGGTATGGTATGATCGGCCTACTTTCGATTGGGGCTGCGTAAGAGTGTCCTTGAACCTACGCTGTGTAGTAATTGCAGCACTCTGATCATCTCAGACACGGGAGTTTAGAGCTGGTGCGATGTGGGTCGAGGGAGTTGTTCCTGCCGCCAGCCTGCCATCATTTGACGTGGTACAGCATATGGCCCCAAGTATGACGAACTCATGTTTATCCCAGCTCCTCTTGCAAATACGATGACAAGGCACCCCTCGACCAGCAGTAGGCAGAAACAATAAGGAAGTAGGACAGCACCCTTTGACAATAAGTAATAGTTAGTAGATAGTACTCGTAGTCTACTAATTTAGACGCGACAAGTTCCCTGTAAACAGCCCCCAACGTACAGGAGGACATGGGAGAATTGCAGCAGCACCCAGCCATGATGATAAATAACTAACTAATTAGACGATGATGGCTGTGCCAGGTCAATCCAGCATCTGCGCCAAGGATGATAAGCGGTCGAGGATCCAAGTTCCAAGGTGTTTGTGCGCACCAAAAATTTCCTGGCCGATCATCCCAGCAGCCAAGACTGACACGGGCGATTTCCTATATTTAGTGAGCGTTAAATGTTGTGGGGGGACAGACAGTGTTGTTATTTCTCCGAATATGCGCATTTTGACAGCGGATGTGTTAGGGTCGGTCGCATGGCTTACTTGGAGATATAAATGCGGACAACATTATATTCTAGTACTTGAATACTTATTATGTCCTAATTCTATAGTGCTGCCCGGTTTCCTCATTTACACTTGACTGCGATGATAATTCTGTTAGCGTCCACTGAGTACTGTTCCGCGGGGCGATCGATGGAGCAGCCCCCGCAAGAACGGGCCAGTCAGAATCCCTAGCGGCAAGCCATTGCGCGTTCGGCGGTCCCCCCAAGGCACCACAAGCACCACAAGCACTGCTGGACCCTGAAGCTAATACCCGAAAGTTAGTAACTCCCAGTTCCCAGGGTCCAGCAGACAGACGCCCGGACTAAGTTAGTTTCATCGGGTCCCTGAACATGAACTGGGTGGAAACGGTGGGAAAGCCTTGGGAGGGGAAAGGCCCTGTTCATCGTCCATCATCCTTCGTCTTTCCCTTGGCACCGACAATACGACCCCATGGCTCATAGCGGAAGGGGTTGCGCTCCACTGCTACCTTTCTGTGACTTTATTACCACCCTCCACTCCAGTACCACCCCCCAAGTGACCTGATGCCGTCACTGCAGTCTCACTACAAGCTGGTCCTGTACCATATCCAGCCACACCTCGGCTGCTGCTCTTTCACTCGTTCCTCTTCTCCTGTCGTATGTCATGTCGACTGCTGCAATTGGACTGGTCAAGATCTCCCAGGCTCTGTCAGCACTTGCTTCGGTCACTGCGCTCGTTTAGATCCCCAGTTGCAAGGCTGGACGTGATTGATCCCCTCATTCCTCTCCTTCCCCCTCCCTTCCGCATTCCGCCCACCACGTTCCGTCTTCGTCAACGGAATTTTTTCATCCACCTCTTCACACGCGTGTTGATGCTGCTGTCTCCTTCGTCCTTCACTTGAGATTTCGCATTTAGCGTCTATTGACGATGGTGGTGCCAGGCTGGATATGGGCGGTCTTTCTGACCATATTTGTCTCCTTTCAGAGAACAGTGACGGCGCTGCAGCTGGACATTAACGATGAACGTAGGTGCTCCCGACTCGTGCAGAAATGACGCACACAGGTGCAGGTACTGACCATTGCGCAAATATAGAATCTATCAAAGATGCCGCCAGGACCACGGCCTTCAACATGATGAGCTACTATCATGGCAACGAATCGGGCCAAACGCCAGGAAAGCTGCCCGATACCTGGTGGGAAGGTGGTGCTATGTTCATGACCTTGATTCAGTACTGGTACTGGACTGGCGATACATCCTACAACGAGGTGACCACCCAGGGTATGCTCTGGCAGAAGGGCGACAACGACTACTTTCCAGCCAACGATAGTAACTATCTGGGTAACGATGACCAGGTCTTCTGGGGTCTAGCGGCCATGACGGCTGCAGAACTAAACTATCCCGAACAGGATGGTCAGCCATCGTGGTTGTCGCTCGCCCAAGGTGTCTTCAACACCCAGGTCCCCCGATGGGATACTACCAGCTGCCAGGGTGGACTTCGTTGGCAGATTTGGCCTTACCAGGCTGGTTATACCACCAAGAACGCCATCTCGAACGGAGGTCTGTTTCAATTAGCCGCTCGTCTGGGACGCTACACCAAGAACGATACATACACCGACTGGGCAGAAAAGATTTGGGACTGGAGTGCGACAACGCCGCTGTTGCAGACGGAAGACTGGTACATTGCCGACACAACCACCACAGAGGCAAACTGCAAGGATCATGGTGATATACAGTGGACGTATAATTATGGAACCTACCTCAGTGGGGCCGCATACATGTACAATCTGGTCAGCACCTATTCCTCCAATCCCCGAATTTAATCCCCGGCTAATCAGATTCTAGACCAATGGCGCCGACAAATGGAAGAAAGGTCTCGACGGTCTGCTTGCAAGTACTTTCTCAAGGTTCTTCCCGAAGGAATACGGCAGCAACATTATGTCTGAGATCTCCTGTGAGCCCAACATGATGTGCGACCGGAATCAGGACTGCTTCAAAGGTTTCTTGTCCTCCTGGCTTACCTTTACTACAACCATTGCGCCCTACAC